TTCTTAATCGATTTACGAAATTTGAACTACTGTCGCCTTAATATTTTTTCAAAACGGTTGTGTTAAATGGTAGTTTTGGCTCAAATATAATAATTTCAGCATGTGTCATCAGAGTGACAGCACACGTGACCTCTATAATCTAAAGTGTCCAGATTATATCAACCTGTCTATTTATCAATAAAACAAATACAATTTGACAGGCTATTTGCAATTATAGGGGTAAAATAAAAGCTCTTATCATATATCCTCCTTTATTTTTAGGAAAGGCTTTTAATTTTATAACGAAGCCTGCTTATCTCAATTACATTTGGACAAAATGATTTGTCAGATGATCTGCGTCTTTTATTTAGAATCCTAGCTAAAACAAAATATTGTTTCGAAGTCTGAATTTCAAGATGGCAAGATCCGAAAATGTAATTAACACTAATGAATTTGGTGCGTCCCATGCGATTTTCTGCATATGCCTTATTATACATTCTTTCAATATGTACAGCGACTCAATGTTTTAACAATCATTCGAACAATTGTGAACTTCCATTTCTTTGTGGCAAGATTCCAGCAGCGCCTGCATATGGAGTATATATCTCTAAGTTGATGCAATATTCCAGAGCTTGCATTTTCTATCATGATTTCCTCGAAAGAGGGTTGCAGTGGTGCACAACTATTAAACCAAGAGCAAAACTACGTGTGCCACAGTTGGAGCAGAATACGATTCCCATTGTGGAGCATATGCGATAACCTCGGTTTTTGGTGGAGTTTGCGTTGCTCAGTCTTTATTTTTCTATTTGTCTTTTGGTCGTTTTAATTTTTTAGCCATTGACTTGGGAGTATGTTGTCGACGTACGGGTTTGAATATCCCTTTAGTATCGTTCGCCTCTATTTACGCAACAGATTTTAAAATTGATTAACCTAAAGAAATTGACATTACGTTCAGATAAGAAAATAACCTGATTGAATTGAAAAGGGTGATAATGAATTCAATTGTATACCTGTTTTGTTCTAAATAGTTAAAACGTATTATATTAAACCAGTTTATCAAGTAAGTCGAAAGAATGACAATGTTTACATATTTTGAACGATATAACCTTTCAAGTGATTAAAAATATTTTGAAAACATGTACATTTAATTTCTAATTTTCTGATCAGACCATTACAAAAAAAGTACTGTGAAACTGTAAGTGTAAAAACAGGTGCTAAATTGTCTTTTCTTTTTATGGTGATCACGGTTTTAACAGACGTGGAATAGTTCTACGCCTTGCTTCACTTCGACCACTGTTTTACCAGTTATATACCTAAATTATAATTACTCTTTAATTTAAAAAAAACACTATTAATGTAAAGCATTATGTTGTAAAGATCGAATTAAATGCCGTTATCATCTATAAAAGATAGTCCATTCAAACGTGGGAAATAATACATTTTGTATGTAAATATATATAGTACCAATATATACCTCTTACCTGATTGAAGATCATTGACCAGTTGACTTCGGAGTTATTTCGGTAAAATTTAAACATGTGACCGAATGTATTGTTTAAAAAGAAAAAGATATTACAGTAACAAACTATCATGTTAAGAATATTGGGCAAGTAGAAGGAAAGGCAATTACTCCTTAATCATTTCATATTTAATTGAATGACACCGGATAGCATAAAATCAGCAAATGGACCGATGTACCTGGTGTTGAAATCGAAAATATACACATATATAATCAATAACTATACATACTGTTATTATATCAAACCAATATATTTTATGTAAGAGTGATGCTCCTTTACTAGCTTCAATATAAAACAAATATCAATCTTACGGTGTAAAGTGAAATAAGACGGGATCCACCTTGAATACAATACATATTCCTTGTTATAAATTCGTAAATATACTAATCTATATCTCATTTAATTCTTGGAATGGTATTGGGTAGTCCATATATAGTTAAAAAGAGACGATGTCACGATAGGTTATTCCTATAAATAAAAAAAAGAAGAACGTACTGGATGAAACAGAAACGTTTGGTTTTCATTCTCTTAGATTGTCTTCTGTATATATAATAATAAAAATAATAGAATATGCACGAGTGTGACAACAACCATATAGCACAATAAAACATGAATAGACATCTATAGGTCAAAATAGCGTCTTCAACAATAGACATGAAATGTCTTTATCATATAACAAACTGATAACAAGATTAGATTGTGTAGACAAAATATGAAATAAACTGTTAACACAGAGATATGTCTCGCCTATTTGTTATTTTGATAATGCAAATGTTGAAATTAAAATATTAATGCTTTAACATGTAAGTTATGCAAATATTCAAAGTCAATGAACCATGACTGAAGGTACAGGGCTAAACAATCTTCATGGAAATGAGATGTGTCAATGCTAATACAACTGCAAACCAAATACCATTGACTTTTCATAAGTCGTTCCCTTTAAACAAACCTAAACACAAACATTAACTTGTAAACTATGTAAAAGTTTCAAAGTCAATGAACCATAATTAGGGGGTGGGATTATATAATCTCCATGGAAATGAAACTTGCAAACGCCAATACATTTGCATACCGAATATCATTGACTTAACATTAGTGGTTCATCTAAAACTGACCTAATCACAAACTAATACATGTAAACTAAGCAAAAGTTTCAAAGTCAATAGACCATGACTGAGGGGTTAAGGACCAAATATTCTCCATGGAAATGAGATGTGCTAATGCTTATACAACTGCATACCAATTCGCTAACGGTTCCCCTTAAATTGACCTAATCACAAACTAATACATGAAAACTAAGCAAAAGTTTCAGTCAATAGACCATGAATGAGGGGACGGGGTCAAATAATCTCCATGGAAATGAGATATGCCAATGCTTATACAACTGCATACCAAATATCATTGACCTACCACTAGTGGTTCCCCATAAACTGACTTCATCACAAACTAATACATATAAACTATGAAAAGTTTCATAGTCAATAGACCTTGACTGAGGGAGAGGGGCCAAATAATCTCCATGGTAATGAGATGTGCCAATGCTAATACAACTGCATACCAAATATCATTGACCTACCACTAGTGGTTCATCATGAACTAGACCTAGTCACAAACTAATATATTGTTGACGCCGCCACCGCCGCCGACGCCGGAAACAGCATACCTATGTCTCGCTTTTTGACTCTGTCAAGGCGAGACAAAAACCTTCCAAAGATATATCTGTCATCAACCAAAAATTCGTTGAAGTAAGAAACATAAAAAGAAATTATTAAAGACAACATCCGAAAAGGAGTTAGAGTATGAGTTTGGATAGGTAAGTTAACATTTAATGAGGTGTTCGACTACTCCATTGAGTCCAATGTATTTAAGCCTTTATTATCTCAATCTATGAAAATGAAGCAGAATTAATATGAAGACTTTGCTTATAGGTTGTCTTTCATTCATTTCATTTATTTCTTATCAAATTAGAAATTTTACAATGGTATTATAAATTAATAGCTGTAGTACATCAGACTCATTTATTTGACATGTAAGCATAAACATAGGCAGTTATGATTGCCAATGAGAACAATAAATGACTAGGATGTTAACAGTAAAATTACGACCTTCAACGATGAGCACATAAAAGGTGTAACATTAAGAATGCAACTGACAAGGCTTCTATAACATGCAGATTGTGGCACTCACAGTACATGAGACATTAGATTGCTGTTATCCAATCCTTCAGCTGCATATTGATACTTCTTGCACAATCTAATGAGTGACTTTAGCAGGGCGATCTGATTGAACATTAGTCAATCAATTTAAGACATACTTATTAGATGGTAGAGTTAAATCAGAGCACTACTTATGACCTTCAATCACCTGTAGTCATCCCATTTCACAGTGAATCACTCAACACCAGTATGAGTGATTTTTCACTAATAAATCTACATGTGTACTGTTTTTATGATGTTTATGAAACAAATAATTGTTGGTGTTGCGGTTAATTTTCTCTGTTTAATTCATCAAGTACTTGTCTATAGTCAACTCAGGATGATTAAGTACTGACTTACTGTCTAGGCATTTGTACTGTTAAAGATGGTGTGGGTTTTTTTTTCTCTAAGTTGCTGTCTCAATTAGACTAAACAATTCAAATTATTCAAATAAAGTCAATGCTACAGGCCTTCTTGATTTCTTATCCTACATAAGAACGAAATATTACCATTGGATATGCAGAAAATATTCGACTACCTTGAAAAATAATCCATGAAAATGAGGTCAAGGTCAGATGAACCATGACAATCGGATATGTACACCTTACAATTATTCTCTTCACAAAATATACTGGTAGTTGACTTATTGCTTATAGCATATAAAAATACAGACTTGACCTTTAAAACTAACACTGATAACAAATCTGTAAAATAATGTCAAGGTCAACTGAAAAATCTCTTCATAAAAAAGCAGTCACTGAACCATAAAAATGAGGTCAAGAACAACAGACATAAACCAGGTTGCAATTTCAAACATGAAACATCTGTATACAAGGTATGACGTATTCTTTTATCTTCTGAAATATAAAGCTTTAAACCATTCTGCACTGCAGGTAAATCAAAAATCAGTTTTCCTAGTGTTAGCTATAAGTTTGACGTCTGTAATTGTTGCCAAGACCTTACTTTCAGCAAATTTTCCAAATAAGAACTTCAGTGAAAGCTCTGTTTCTTTAATACACAGATTTGGTCATAAGTATTTTATGTCTCAAGCATATCAAACCCTGCATATCCTTTTTTTCTATTAATTGTAAGGCAATGAAACTTAAAAAAAATATCATTTAAAAAATGTATATTTTTCATTAAATTTTATTTATGTAACGCGGCTGATTTTGTATAAATAATCAACATAAAACATGTAATTTAACATACATTAATTATCATTAAATAAAGATTTTGTTTTTATAATACATGACTTAGGTACAATACAACATGACACCACTCAATCTACAATCAAATGAGCTCTATATATATTGTTTTATCAGTCAAAGCTTTGTTGAATTAAATATTTAAACATACTATCAAACATACTTAGCTTCCCCTTCCATGAGGAAAAATGTATGTATATTTATGTATTACTGTGCTACCATCCTGACCCCCATCTAGCCAATTAAATATGAAGACTTTTCTGATTTATAATTAGACAAACTCAACATCTATGGTTTTGTAAACCAAATAAAGTTGCAATTCACTCATTTCTTACTCTACCAACACTGCTTTTGAACATTTGAGAGTTAAAAAACAACTAAGTGCAGTGAGGTAAATTTTCATTAGATCATGTCCATACCAATGTCAAGCATTTGATTGATAATACATTGACGTGTTTGTGTATAATCATACTTTGTTAAGAATACCATTTTATTAAAAATTAACAAATGATGTTCAACTACAATTAAGGGCAAAGGAAGATAACTCAAATTCAAAAAATGTTCTAAAGATGTTCAATTGCAATTCAGTGATTAAAATTCAAAATGAATGCAACCTTTATACCCTTCAGTGCTACCAAGCATTTGGATAAAATATGTTTCAGGAATTGCTTTTTGAAATATTTGTGTATAATGTAACCAATCTGTAGAAAAAGATTATATTTTTGGAATCATTTCTTTTTGAAAAAAAAACAAAGTTGAGATAGATGTATAAATTTGATATCAGGATAGCTTTTTTTCTTCGTTCACATATCAAATAGTTCTTAAGCTATTCAATCCACAAAATTGAATTATGTAAAAAAAATATACATATAAATACAAAGCTAACATTATAAAAAATACTTTGAATCATAACCATTTACATTTAACAATTGTAATACTGAAATGTAATAGATATTCATGTATGATCACTTTAAATATATTTATATCTAATGTCTATTCTCTGTTTGTTATACTGTAAACCAACTTATTTCACATAAATTATATTTAGACATTTCTTGCTGACTTTGTGGCAATGATTTTTTTTTTCAATATTTCCTTCATATTCTTGAGATGTTTATATATTAATGGGGAAGATCATATTTTTACAGATTTGTGTTGATTGATATTTCTACTTGCATAAATGGGGAAAATCAACAGCTTGCAAAACATTAGTTGGTTTACAGTTTGTAAATGAAAACAGTCAGATTTTGGTGAAACTGTTAAAAATATGAAAATCTCAAATAAAAACAATTAGCAAGATAAAATATTGCCACAATGAAAGATGAAGATAGACCATTGTCACATGAACTCATATTTATTTTAATTGTATTATATTCTTATGTGATGATTTATCTGAATAAATGTTGTTTAAACTAACTCATAAATAAGGTTACTTTCTTTTTTAAGAGCAAGAATCAAGATACAATACAATTTTATATTGATTCACACTCTTCATTTCTTTTATTATTTCAAGATATTTCCTTTATTATTTCAAGAGTATTTCTTTTATTATTTCAAGCGTATTAACTTTTATTATTTCAAGAGTATTAACTTTTATTATTTCAAGAGTATTAAATTTTATTATTTCAAGAGTATTAACTTTTATCATTTCAAGAGTATTAACTTTTATTATTTCAAGAGTATTAAATTTTATTATTTCAAGAGTATTAACTTTTATTATTTCAAGAGTATTAACTTTAATATTTCAAGAGTATGTTCTCTATTCTTTTAAGAGTATAAATAAATGTGAAATGTTAAAAACAACAACAACAAAAAATAATGCTCACTTCATAAAAATTAACTAAATTTCACTTTTTTTTTATATTAAATTAATGTCAGTACTCACAATTTATTGATATATATCTTAAAACCAACATGAAAAATCCAGTTCAAATGTACTGTTTAATTTTCAACATACCTGCCAACCTTTTGGAGCTACAAAGTGGGTAATCTCCTTTTTGATCTTTACTAAGGGGGAGATGATGTGTGACGACATTTTTCCATTCACAATTTTGTATCAAGATACAATGTATTTTCATATCGTTAAAAGCACAAAAGGATGAATTGTCTATTCATGGATTTAATTAGCTAAAACAACATTCTTTATTCTACTATGCCAATAAGAATAATACTTGTGATATTGCGAAAATCAGTCACAGAAAATACTAGAAAAACTTGATGATTTTTTAACAAATGGGAAGATTTCATTTTTTTTCAGTAAAAAAAGGAAGTCTCCTTTCTAGAATTGTTATGTTGGCAGGTATGTCTAAGCAATCACAGACACTATTTGATAAGGTACATTTTTTAACTTATTTGGCCCTGTAAATTAACCTGAATATGAAAAATGGCACAAATTCTGATCATATTTGATAAACATTTGATAAACCTTTAAGCCCACCCCTAATATAGAATATAAGAATGGTTAAACAAAATAAAGATAAAGTACCAGAAGCAGATACAGATACAGGGCTTCAAGTGGGGATTTTTTTATAATGTTATGGAACTTTATCCTGATATCCCTAGGGGTCGTGCCCTTACTGACGTGTTGTGGCAAGTAAAGGAAGAAGAAATATTTTTTACATTTTTATGCCAAAAAAATGATATTGATTCTGATTAAAAGGGCTCATCAATTGTTTACACCTGCCTTTGCCTTTGCAGATCAGGAAGTAAAAAATTCACAAACACACAAATGTAAAAGATTTCACTTCAAGGAGAATCAAGAGCTTTTAATGCAGATGTAGAATTTTCTATAAAATCCTAAAACTTTAAAAGATATGATTGACTGAAATGTTTTTTTCATTTTACTTAAGGATGTACTTAGGTGAGGTTTAGAAATTTGTGTCAGATGTTCGGACTCCTTGGGTTTTTTTCCTACAATACAGGGTAAAATATTTTGCTCCATAACACCCATTTTTCTTTTCATATAAGACTTCAATAGCTCATAAAAGGTCATTTACCAAAATTTAAGCAGATTCTAGATTTCATTTCTTTCGATTTGAGACCCAAATAATACCAATGCAAATATAAGGTAAAAGTCGGAGTCAGTCTTTTCCCACCATTTTTAAACAAGACTGCACACGCCTTCTTTACTAATCATTGATATTATGTTGATAGTCCTAAATATAAAGCTTTATTACAACTGTCACATAAACTTAACATTAACCAAGTAAACTAAACATTGACCAATGAATCATGAAAATGAGGTCAAGGTCAGATGAACCATGCTAGGCAGGCATGTACAGCTAACAATTCTTCCATACAACAAATATAGTTGACCTATTGCTATTGTTTATAGTTTAAGAAAAACAGACCAAAACACAAAAACTTAACACTGAGCAATGAACCTTGAAAATGAGGTCAAGGTCAAATAAAACCTGACTGACATATAGATCATAAAATATTTCCATACACCAAATATAGTTGAACTATTGCATATAGTATTAGAAAAATAGACCAAAACTCAAAAACTTAACATTGACCACTGACCCATGAAAATAGACCAAAACTCAAAAACTTAACTTTGACCACTGAACCATGAAAATGAGGTCAAGGTCAGATGACACCTGCCAGCTAAACATGTACACCTTACAATCATTCCATACACCAAATATAGTAGACCTATTGCATACAGTATAAGAAAAACAGACCAAAACATAAAAACTTTACTATAACCACTGAACCATGAAAATGAGGTGAAGGTCAGATGACACCTGCCAGTTGGACATGTACACCATACAGTCCTTCCATACACCGAATATACTAGACCTATTGCTTATAGTATCTGAGATATGGACTTGACCACCAAAACCTAACCTTGTTCACTGATCCATGAAATGAGGTCGAGGTCAAGTGAAAACTGTCTGACAGGCATGAGGACCTTGCAAGGTACACACATACCAAATATAGTTACCCTATTACTTATAATAAGAGAGAATTTAACATTACAAAAAATCTTAACTTTTTTTTCAAGTAGTCACTGAACCATGAAAATGAGGTCAAGGACATTGGACATGTGACTGACGGAAACTTTGTAACATGAGGCATCCATATACAAAGTATGAAGCATCCAGGTCTTCCACCTTCTAAAATGTAAAGCTTTTAAGAAGTTAGCTAACGCCGTTGCCGCCACCACCGGATCACTATCCCTATGTCGAGCTTTCTGCAACAAAAGTCGCTGGCTCGACAAAAATCAAATATCTCAAAAAGGAGCTCCATAACCTATCAATATTTTTAGCTTATTTTGTTCCTTAACTAATGCTCTTCCGACTTATAGTATCAATTTTAAATTCTAGATTTTTTTAACTTCACCTTAGTACATCCTTAAAGGAGAACAAGCAGTTTTTAATTTCAAGGTTTTTTTTTTGTTGGAACTTCCTGTTAACAAAATAATTGAAGCCTGATATCCCCTTAATTTAATTCTTTGATGATTTGATCATCTGATAGGTTATAAAATGCCTTTTATAAAATAGGTTTACCCAATGGTGAACGTTAATATGACATTTGTTTGTTTAAAGGATTTTAATTAAAACAAGTCACCTAATTTGTTGACTCATTGGATACAATATTTGAATGGAAATGATAATCCCAGGAAGATTTTATTTACAGTTCCTAAAAATCTACTCACCAAAATGTTTTCACCATTTTCAAGCAGATATTTTTTGTGACCCCACCCTTTAAAATAAAACCTAGTTATTCCAGTGAGTATAATAACTAACTAAAAAAAACATATATAACAAAAATAAATATCACTATTCTGATTTATCTTTTAAACAGTTTTAAAAATGAAAATTTTCTTTTTGATGGCTTTTCTGTAAAAAATACTTGTTCTGTTAGGCAATGAGTGATGCAACCAGGAGAAAACCGTCCTTCTAAATATTTTGTATGACTCTTTTCTCCAGGACTATATGTTTCCAAACTCATACAGGTTAAAACCTCTGTCAAAATATTCAGGAAGTTAATGTTCTGAAAACTACCAGGATCTTTTGTATAAACCTTAAGCTGCTGGTAAAGCTTGTTAAGTAACCAACTACCAGCTGCAGGGCTTCGTACAGCAAAATTCCCTGAAATAATAAATTTTAGACAAAGTAAAAATAAGCAGGTTTAAATAAGCTTGTTGATGCTGACACATTGCTGAAAGAAGTTTTGATCACCAGCTGCTTATACAGTCCTTCCATTTTATCATTTTTTTTTAATGTGTGGTCTAATTAAATTTTAAAATGGATGTGTCACATGGATATCTCTCACATTCATCTTGATTTTGCTCATTGTTGAAGATCTTACAGTGACATGTAGTTGCTTACATCCATGTCATTTGGTCTCTGGTGCAAAGTTGTCTAAATGACAATCATACTACATACTCTGATTTGAATGTTTATCATAAATTCTAACACATCAAAAACCATGAAACAATTTCATTCCACCATAACTTTTTTAGTGTTTTGTGAATGTCAAGTGAGAATGTCTCTACCTCAAGTCCAAGTCGTGGATATATGATTGTATGAGGAAAACATAAACACTATCTATGAAACTAATAACTTGACTTTGATTGATTGATTGTTGGTGTTTAATTTCACTTTCAGTACTATTGCCAATATCATTGACGCCAGTTTTATTTGGTAGAGGAAGCTGACGTGGCTTGAGAGAACTACTACCTTTCTGTAGGAAATTTGGCAATTCTAGTCATTTAAATTCCAGATTAAAACACACCTGCCATGAGCTAGGTTTAAACTCACAAGCTCAGTTTTGACAAACTACTTAGACCACTATGCCTATGAGGCCAAAAGTTTATTTTGAAGGCAAAGGTCAAAGTTACATGTGGATCAAAATGAGACATGAAAATTGTGTTGTGGTGAGAGAGTGACATGCCAAATATCTTAAGTTCAAGCTTCAAATTAAAGAGCTTTCCAGTAAATACACAAATTTTTAATGAATTCTACCTTCAGTCTTAACATTGAGATTAATTCTATATATTGGACAATTTGTCCCTGTTCAGGCCAAGAAATGTTTTCAAATTTTCTTTATTATTCTGAATTTGAGGAATTCGAGGGTCAATTTCAACTACAGACTTTTGTAAATATGAAATAAGCCAACTTTCAAGAAATAAATTTGAAGTTCTTTTTAACATATTTTGTTATTGATGACTACTCAACCTTGAAAATAAATGCATCCATTATTTAAAGTATATTGCTGACTTATTGATACAACCTTTTATTAAAATATACAGAATAAAATACATCTGAGCTGTGTTATTTCATATAAACAAAAATGTTCATGTTTTTGTATTCGCAACAGAAATCATAAGAATCAAGTCAATTAAAAAATCAAAACAGCAGGTGCACAATTCTTTGTCCTGTAGAAAGATCTATAACTTCAAAATAAGTGTAAAACAGTACAAACCTGATGTTGAAGCAAACATAATGAGTGTATCGTCTGGACAGGGTACTACTGTAACCATGGGAACAACATATTCAACTCTCCTCTCAGATGGTTTATAACCTTTGGCATCTACTTCTTCAGTGGATAGTTTACTGTCATTTTTTCTTACCAACTTTTTATCGTCTAATTGTAACGAAGACTCTTCGTATGCTGAGGGTTTTGTTTTATCTACAGAAACAATTTGCTCATCTGTTTTGGCATTTGCAGGCACATCTATCTTGGAAAAACCACTGCCTACACTGACTTTAACACTGTCCTCATCTGGCATCAGTCCTTTAGCATCCAGCTCCTCTATTTTTTTTCTCCGTAATCTCTTTTCCAATTCTAATCTCTGTTTGGGATGACTTTCTTTTGACAAATCTGCATCAATTTCTATTTAATATCAAAAGAACACAATTACAAAAATGTACTAAAAATGTGAAAAGGATTCTTGGAAACTCTGTGTCTTATCTGTAATATTTAATTTTGACTGCCAAACACTAAGTCCATTTATCAATAACATACAGAAAAGGAGGGAAATATATTTTCAAATTTTTACTTGAGATGTTATCTCGTAATCATATAAAAGCTTCTGTCAACAAAGTTTCATAAAAAAAACTCTAGACAAAGTTAATCTCAAATGATATGACACCATTTAATCATACTTCTCCAACTGTATAAGAGGGGCGTAAAGGGGGGTATCTGCACGGAAGAACACCAAATAAAATTGCCATTTCACGATGAACAAACAATTAAAAATTTCTTGCACGTTGATCTTTTTTCCGATTTCACGAAACACAGTGAATAACGAACCTTTTTCACAGCTGCCGGTGAAATAAAAATGGCAAAACACGTTGCACGAAAATAACCCTTTAACACCCTCGTATAATAGTCTCTTTAGCTTCTAGAACACTTGCCGCCAAAACTTCTTGATGAAATATAATTCAAGAAAACAAGAGGTTTGAACTATGCAAATTTTGTATTGGATGGTTAAACTTTAGATTCAGTTCATAAAGGAGATTGTTTTGTGAAAACATGACATCATTTAAATATGGAATAACATTGTATAATTCAGCTTCTTTATTGATAGACTGTTTTTCATAGCTATGGAATTTATTTTTTTTATGTGTTAGAAAATAGTATACTAGGGTTTGGATAATGGTGGCCAATAAAAGTAGAAATAATGATTTCTTTGTCAGAGTTTAATTCTTTTTAGTGCAAAACTTCAATTGTACAATTAGACATTGGGAAATTAAAAACAAGAATTTTTAAGTTTATTAATTTTTCCAAAGAGAAACACAAAATGTATAGAAAGTCCCAAGAATGCCAAAAGAATTTATTAGTCCAAATCACTCAAGCATTACCCGATAATAAACAAAAATGCTGGATAAATATGATAAAAAAGATATCTAAACAGGGAACAGTTCTGAGCAGAAATAAATGGAAATCCATCCAAGCAGATTGTGGGCTGTAATAACATTATCTTAGCCTGATATTTGTAGCAATTACAGAAAAGTCATAATGGTCCTCATCTATGTTTTTTTTAAATAAAAAGTTGTTGACATATGGAACTAAAAATTGGTAAACAGCTTTCAGAAGAATCAACTGTTAACACTATATAGATAACACATAGCTGAGAGGGTGATAGAGCAGATTGTTACCCTGAGAAAACATTGTCAACTGAGGCGAAGCCAAGGTTGACAATGTCTTTTTGAGAGGTAAGAATTTACTCTATCACCCTCTCAGATATGTTTTATTTAATTTATTATACTGAATGTTCTATTATTACTGTCAATTAAATTTCAAATTCAAAGTAATAAACTATGTCGTCTTGTACATAACAATCATCTGTATTTATTAAAGCGCACACTTGAGCAAGCGTCTCCGTGAAGGGTAATAGAGTATTTGCCATGGGATAGAGTAAATTGTCTCCCTCCTATTAACCAATCAAAATCTGGCATTTTGACATGAAGTATAATAACAAGAAATGTCCCATCTTTTGTGACCAAATCCAGTGGTGACAATTTTTTATGCCATCACTGCCAGAAACAGCACATCCAAGTCTCCCTGCTATGAATTTCGACACAGGTGAGATAAAAATTGTCTTATTCATACCTTGAAACTTAGCTCTAAACTCTGCAAAGTCTTCATCATCATCTGTATCTGATGTCACTACATCTTCTTCATCATCCACACTGTCATCCGATTCATCAAATGTTTCATCTTTAGAATCTTGCTTCTCACTTGTATCTGGTTCTAAACAAAAAGTAGATGACAGATGTGTTAAAGAGACGTGAAAAATACCAAAGGGACATTCAAACTCATAAGTCGAACATAAACTGACAACACAATGGCTAAAATAGAAAAAAGACAAACAGACAAACAACAGTACACAAAACACAACATAGAAAACTAAAGACTGAGTAATTTACATTGTAAAGGACAACAAATTTTCATTGACAATAAACAGCTAACAGAAAGAATAAATTCATCAGTGTAATGAGTGTAATCTTTAAGTTTTAAGTCTTTGAATTACAATTATTATATTAATTATTTTTTTATCTCAACTATTTTGTTATCAGTTGTTATTTTTCATTAAAAATTGAAAAAAAACAGCAGCCAATTTTGTCCAGTTTAAACCAGTTTGCAATTGCTGGCATAGGAAACAACCTGTGTTAAAAGTTTGTAATGACATAATCAAATTGGTAATTGACAAATAGACTATTGATCAGTTCGATATTGTCTGAGTTTTTGAAGCTATCTCTTAGGGATCAAAACACCAATCACATTAGAAGCTTTTGTCATCAAAATTCATCAACAAATTTTCTACAGAGTTCTTCACTAGCTTTAGTCCGTCGTTGTCCATCGTCATCGTTAACTTTTTACATTTTAAACTTCTTCTAGAGAACCACTGAATGGAATGAAAGCAAACATGGCATGAATGTTCCTTATGAGGTGCTGACCAAGTGTTGTTACTTTGAAGCTGATCCATTATCCAAGATGGCCGCCAGCGGGGGACTTAGTTTAACATAGGACCCTATGGGAAATACATACAAATGATTTCTTTTAGAGAACCAGTGAATTGAATGAAACCAAACATGGTATGAATGTTCCTTATGAGGTACTGACCAAGTGTTGTTACTTTGAAGCCGATCCATAATCCAAGATGGCCGCCAGCGTGGGACTTAGTTTAACATGGGACCCTATGGGAAATACATACAAATATCTTCTTTTAGAGAACCACTGAATGGAATGAAACCAAACATGGCATGAATGTTTCTTATGAGGTGCTGACCAAGTGTTGTTACTATGAAGCTGATCCATAATCCAAGATGGCCGCCAGCAGGGGACTTAGTTTAACATTGGACCCTATGGGAAATACATACAAATGTCTTCTTTTAGAGAACCGCTGAATGGAATGAAACCAAACATGGCATGAATGTTTCTTATGAGGTGCTGACCGAGTGTTGTTACTTTGAAGCCGATCCATAATCCAAGATGGCCGCCAGCAGGGGACTTAGTTTAACATGGGACCCTATGGGAAATACATACAAATGATTTCTTTTAGAGAACCAGTGAATTGAATGAAACCAAACATGGTATGAATGTTCCTTATGAGGTACTGACCAAGTGTTGTTACTTTGAAGCCGATCCATAATCCAAGATGGCCGCCAGCGGGGGACTTAGTTTAACATGGGACCCTATGGGAAATACATACAAATATCTTCTTTTAGAGAACCACTGAATGGAATGAAACCAAACATGGCATGAATGTTTCTTATGAGGTGCTGACCAAGTGTTGTTACTATGAAGCTGATCCATAATCCAAGATGGCCGCCAGCAGGGGACTTAGTTTAACATTGGACCCTATGGGAAATACATACAAATGTCTTCTTTTAGAGAACCGCTGAATGGAATGAAACCAAACATGGCATGAATGTTTCTTATGAGGTGCTGACCGAGTGTTGTTACTTTGAAGCCGATCCATAATCCAAGATGGCCGCCAGCAGGGGACTTAGTTTAACATGGGACCCTATGGGAAATACATACAAATGTCTTCTTTAAGAGAACCACTGAATGGAATGAAACCAAACATGGCATGAATGTTCCTTATGAGGTGCTGACCGAGTGCTGTTACTTTGAAGCCGATCCATAATCCAAAATGGACGCCAGCGGGGGACTTAGTTTAACATGGGACCCTATGGGAAATACATTCAAACGTCTTCTTTTAGAGAACCACTGAATGGAATGAAACCAAACATGGCATCAATGTTCCTTATGAGGTGCTGACCAAGTGTTGTTACTTTGAAGCTGATCCATCATCCAAGATGGCCGCCAGCGGGAGACTTAGTTTAACATAGGAGCCTATGGGAAATACATACAAATGATTTCTTTTAGAGAACCACTGAATGGAATGAAACCAAACATGGCATGAATGTTCCTTATGAGGTGTTGACCAAGTGTTGTTACTATGAAGCCAATCCATAATCTAAGATGGCCGCCAGCGGAGGACTTAGTTTAACATAGGACCTTATGAGAAATACATACAAATGTTTTCTTTTAGAGAACCATTGAATGGAATGAAACCAAACATGGCATGCATGTTCTTTTTGAGGTGCTGACCAAGTGCTGTTACTTTGAAGCTGATCCTTCATCCATGATGGCCGCCAGATGGGGACAATGTTTAACAAAGGACCCTATGGGATATACATACAAATGTCTTTTTTAGAGAACCACATACTGAATGGATTGAAACCAAACATGGCAAGAATGTTCCTTATGAGGTGCTGACAAAGTTTTGTTACTTTGAAGCTGATCCTTCATCCATGATGGCCGCCAATGGGGGGACTTCCTTTAACATAAGACCCTATGGGAAATACATACAAATGCTTCTTCTAGAGGTGCACTGAATGGAATGAAACCAAAACATGGCATAAATGTTTCTTATGAGGTGCTGATGAAGTGTTGCTACTTTGTTGCCGATTTATTGTTCAAGATGGCCACCAGGATTTTTTATTAAATTACAGGACCAATATTAAACCAAATTTGGCCTCACTCATTATTAGGGTATCTGTTATGATTTTAATCTATTTTTACATGATTTCCAAAACCAAAGTAGAATCAGGTGAGCGACACAGGCTCTTGAGAGCCTCTAGTTTTTTTGTTGTCACCGTTTATTTCAACATTTCATAGAATATATTTTCTAGCTAGTACAATATTAATGATGGAATGCTTTATGTTTCAAGGACTGAGATTAGAAAATCTATCGTCCTATTTGCTTCTGCTACCGTAGTACCTGTCTTAAAACAAAAATTGCATAAAATTGTCAAACCAAACTGTCGATAGGAAAGGACGGAACATAACCATGTCCCCTTTTGCGCAACACACAGGGGACAAAAAGCCTTAAGATTGGCTGGAAAAGTAGTGTGTATGTGTTCTTATCTAGGATGATTGGTGTGCCAAAAACATTCAAGAGAATTTAAACTAAGGCAATGGTAAAATGCGTATATTTTAATGCTGTGACTAATAGAACATTTTTCTTTATTATTTACCCTGAACTGAACCATCTACCATATGTTTGCCTTTTTTCTTTGTTTTCTTCTTTTTCTTCATGTTTTCCTCCTTAGTGATTCCAATCTCCAGTCCTTTATCCATTCCTTCATCACCGCCTCTATATCTTCCTATTCTGCATGCCTATAACAGAGAATAACATGAGGTTATTATATTGAACTCTTGTTGACATGGTTGTTTAATTGCTACACACACACTTATATGCACCTTAAACTCATGCAAGAGGTCAAACCTGTACTTTGAATATGCAATAATGAATAAATAAAAATATTATCATTTACATCATTTTTTGTTTTAAACTCCATCTTAAATATATGTTGTGTACAAGTTATCATTTTGTGTATTTTGACTTTGTACAAATTGTAATTTGTACAAAATTTGACTTAAATTGACTTATAACTTGTACAATAATTTAGTATGGATTTTGTTATAAAAAAAAAGCATTGATACACACTATAGAATTTTTATTCAATGACCACACATCAAACCTTATTTACAAAATACAAAAATAGTTATAGTGTATCATTTGTTTGAGCATGTGAGTGAATTATGGCATCGGGAATTGCACAACCATCTTTTGCTTTTTACATTTACATTTATAAATGCTGCACCCCCTTTTCATTTACATGAAAGAAACCCCTGACAGACCCTGACCACTAGTTCGTGAAAGCTTTTTAACTGATTCACGTAGCGAAAGTTAAAGCTCAGGAACCGTTGCGGCGAATAAAGATGTGTCTTTAACAGCTTTAATTTGATTTCTCAACAAATATCCTGTTAAAATTCCTATAGCTGTTCTAATGTGGTACTCAAATTCTCCAGATTTAATAATTACACCTAAGATATTTCAAGATTAGTTGGGGCAGGATCATACTGAGGAATTGGTATAATGACATTATCCCCCACAGCAAGTTCTGATAATTTCCATTTCGTTTTCTTGGTTAGATATTCGGCTTGGATCTGTCGGCCAGACAGCACACACTTTCTGGCACATATGATTGGTGTTTCAACGTCAGTGTCATCCTGGTTGTCACTGGGGCCAATTTCTATTATACTATCAGAATTCTCACTTGGGCCAATTTCTATTATACTATCAGAATTGTCACTGGGGCCAATTTCTATTATACTATCAGAATTCTCACTTGGGCCAATTTCTATTATACTATCAGAATTCTCACTGGGGCCAATTTCTATTATACTATCAGAATTCTCACTTGGGCCAATTTCTATTATACTATCAGAATTCTCACTGGGGCCAATTTCTATTATACTATCAGAATTCTCACTGGGTCCAATTTCTATTATACTATCAGAATTGTCACTGGGGCCAATTTCTATTATACTATCAGAATTGTCACTGGGGCCAATTTTATTATTCTATCAGAATTGTCACTGGGCCCAATTTCTATTGTACTATCAGAATTAACTGACATGCATGTATCAATTACATTTCCTGTCTTCATCTGGGTATTTTTGTAAATCAGGTTTATTGTGTGGTCATTGAATAAAAATTCTATAGTGTGTATCAATGCTTTTTTTTCTAACAAAATCCATACTATAAATTTTTGTACAAGTTATAAGTGAATTTTAGTCAAATTTTGTACAAATTGTAATTTGTACAAAGTCAAAATACAAATTATAATTTGTACAAAATGATAACTTGTACACAACATATACAATAATGAAGAGAAAAGGTTATTATTAATAAAAAAATATAATTAAAAAAAAAATGCAAAAAAAAACCGTTTGAAGCTGTGTATAATACCTATCCCCTTTACCAACTATATGTCTTTGCTAAAAAAAGTGCATATAATACACACCCAAATACGATAATGTTAATGTTTTGACTTTTATTACTATTGAACATTAATTGAATTTACATGCATATAAGATTTACATGATTTTAATGATAAAGATGAAGTTTATAAACTGTATATTCCAGTATCCTAGTTATCCCAAAGAAGAGGAGTGTAGCTCCCCTCTACCCTTTCTTTGCTCCCTATAGTTTTGTGCACCCCCTGCCTTTATAGTACTACCCTATGCATTTTTTTTGTCTGCAGGAAATTAACACTTTTCAATGCAAAATACTCATTTCAACTTCTGGAAAAAGCTATTGTTTCAATTTCAATTTTTTATCTATAGAAATGATCAATTAATCCCTTTTTAAAATAAGAAACCATACTAATGTTCCCTTCATATTAACATTTTGCCACTGTTGAAGACCATATGATGAGGTCACAATGTCTTTTGTTTTTTTTGTGTCTTTTGGTTGAAGTCTCTTTGAGTTCAACCAAACATCTCATTTAATTCATACTTAAGGTGGATAGGGGGTCTTCATTAATATCCATAGAATTTTTTAATAATTTGTCAAAATGTAGTTTATATCATGCTTTTTTCAAAAATATAATAAAAAGTATGGGTCACTGGGTTTTTGTGTGATTAAAACAAAACTACACCATAGAATTGTAAGATAAAATATGAGACACTGGGTTTTTGTGTGATTAAAACAAAACTACACCATAGAATTGTAAGATAAAATATGAGAAGATAGCTCTAATAATATGCTTTCAGATAAGAAAAAGAAAAAATGGGGTCACCGGACTCATTTTCTTGCTACATAATAAAATAGGTAATTTCACAACACATTCTATTATAAAAGTTACTTTATCAGAGTTACTTTATCAGAGTTATCTCCCCTTCTATATGAGTTATCTCCCCTTATGTGGCAAAGTTGAAAAAAGTGAATCAAACAAAAATATATTCTGGTTTTGTATAATACAACCATAAATATGATAAAACACATAATTATCTATAGTTCCACGAAAAGTCTTACACATGAATTACATACAACTCTCGAAATTTGAACATTTCATTAAAGATCTAGACCGATTGTTATCTGCTATTTCAAAATGCAAGATGAAGGAAGACACCCCAGCTACCTTAATACGTTTTGTTTCATATTGATAACATAAAATCATTAATTACGATAAAATATATTATGTACAATGAATACTATGATTCATTATTAATCATGTTACTAATTTGCATACATTTTGTTGGTATTGGTAAACTTCAAAGTTTAGTGTTTAACAAATTTCAAATTTTCTACAGGCTTGAACAGGGACTTTTCTATAGAAAGTCCCTGGCTTGAATGAAGAATGTTTTAAAAACGACATCAAATATGCATGAAAATTTGGTACCAACAAAAGTAAATGCATCAACAGTAATTAGATTTCATTATAGTGATTTTAGTATAAAATTTCTTTAATAAATGTGAAAAACCTGAATAAAGAAAAATTTGGGTTTGCCTTGTAAACCTTCACAGTTTTCTCCATCAAACTTTTCCACAAAATCACTTGTACTCATTTCCTTCCCATCAACCCCCACAATCACATGTTCCCTCTCATGTGATCGACTGTGGACGTCAGTGTCCTTCTGTGATTCCAAGCCATGTGATGCCACAACACAAACAAAGCAATCAGATCCTCTGTGCTTTTCCTCCATTCCAGCCACTGAAAAATAATATTTTTATAAATTTTTCCAAATACTATGAACATATTCCATTTTAGTAAATTCTTTTAAAATATAGACATCATTTGCATATTTTAGACATTTCTTGATCATATCAAATAAATGAAGAATGTGTCCATGGGACATAGATGATACCCCAGCATATAACGTTATGAAGGGACATAACTCTAGAATGTTAAAAGGGATGCCACCCAAATTCAAACTTGAGCTGTGTTATGTGGTAATAAGCATTGTGTATCAGTTTCATAACATTTGGTTGCGGCAAACTAAATTAAGAGAACGGAAACCAATTTTGGGACATAGGGACGGACAAGGGTAACACTAAATGCCCCTCCTGTGACGCGGGGTCATAAAAATAAATAAAACCTCATCAGGGTTTGTTTTTTGTCATTCAAAGAGTTTGATGATGATGACAGATCATGAATACATAGGTTTCAAATGAACTTATTAAAGCTGAGATAGTTCCCTTGCCCACCATTTTGGAGGGATACACGGTTGATTTTCTTGTTTGACTAACCAAGTTGAAACATGATGTACAAATAATAAAATTGAGAATGGAAATGGGGAATGTGTCAAAGAGACAACAACCCGACCAAATAGCAAAGAACAGCCAAAGGCCCCCCATTGGGTCTTCAACACAACGAGAAAATCCCACACCCAGAGGCTGGTAAGAGATCCTTACTAGATCGTAGGAATGAATTAAGCAAGGTTAAAAGCAATAAAAATTGTTCAGAAAAACTCTATTTCTATAGTCTAGCCATCAGTATAACTAATGGAGTTTGTCTGATTTATGAAGGAATTTGCACACTTAGACCTCCAGCATGGCGATAAAAGAGAAGTAACTCTTGATCAAATTGTGTCAATAAAAACCTATCTACAGCTTTTTTCCTTTTGGCCATGATATTGTTTATTTGACCTCTGTAGTTTGATTGACCCCTTAGTATCTTCTCCCATTTTTTTTTATTTTCTGATTTTATATACTGTGATTGATGGGTGGATTGGTGTTTTAAGTCCAGTGGCACAAAAAAAAACGTTCATATCCTAACGAGAACATAGTGATGGGACATGAATGGAACCCTGCTTTGTACTAGACTGACTGAGCTGGATTTTTAATGTTCTAGTTCACAAGGAAACAATTTGCAGTAAGAAATGTCATCCTCCATTGCACATTATTCTGCCATCAAGCTGACCAGTCTCTGTTCATATTTATTAAGACTGCATGCTTAGCAGAGAAGTAGCAAATAGCAATTTTCCAGGCAGTCTTTGGTTTGACCCAATTAGGGATTCAACCCACTACCTTCATGAGACCACCAACACGACCAAGGTAGTTGATATACTGTGATTCTGTTGTTTGACTTTGATTTTTTACTCTAGATAGCCTTACAAACCTTCATCTGCTATTTCCAATATTTCTCTTTTAGTTTTATCTCTGAAGGAGCACACTTTGAAGCCCATTGTCTTAAAGATTTTCTTCATCCTTTTATAATCCCTATCATCACCAGGTCTATTCTGATATCCAGAGGACTTCAAGAAATATTCATTATGGATCAGTAAAGCAATTCCTCTCTCCTTCTGATTGAAATCATAGCTACCTTCCATTCCTATATATGAGAAAAGACAAAGTATTTGATTACTACAGCTTTAACATACATGTACATTGTACCTGTAATCTTGAAATACAGGAAAAGTTCATATTATTGAATTTGTAAATAAAACACTTAAACAGACATGAGTGGTTTTTCATAACATTTTATCAGGTTGTATTGAACATTATCATCATACTTGACTTTTATACTAATGTATGCCATGTATATGTTTGCATTTTGTTTATGCTTTTCAATGATAAGGGCCTCAGGGAAGATTAGTTATATAGCTAACTGTGTAACCCTCTTAAAATAAAGTATTGTTGTTATTACATTGGAGACAAATTGCTGGATTGGAGGGCTGGGTAAGGAACCGATTAATTACAAATGTAACAATAATATTCGTGCTACGGTTACATTGTGTTATTGCTACGTTATATTTATTCAACTTTAACCTTCTATAGTTTTGTTGCTTAATTCTTCATTATGTACTTAATAATAATAATAATAATAATAATAATAATATTATTAAGTACATTATGGAGAATTAAGCAACAAAACTATAGAAGGTTAAAGTTGAATAAATATAACGTAGCAATAACACAATGTAATTCCGTAGACACGAATATTATTGTTACAATTGTAATTAATCAGTTCCCTACCCAACCCTGCATTCCAGCAATTAGTCTCCAATGTAACAATATCTTTTTTATTATTGTTACATTTCAATGTAACCATGGTAACCGTAGCCAGTGCCTATATAATAGAAACTGACATCCTAATATCCCTCACTTGATATGGTCCTAACATGTTCCAGCTTCCAGGCTGTTACAGACAACAGTTATAGTTATTATGTCTAATCTTATGTATTTGTATGTAATGAGATAAAAGCTCTTTATAGAGCCCTTTAATTGGGAATAAAATATTCTTATTCTTATTAGAATTACAAATGTCACATGACTTTTACAGGTGACTGGATCATCAACATGATCAAGTTACAAGTGACGTGTACATGTTTATTAGTTTATGTGTAATTATATAAAAGCAATATTAAAATATCAAACCAAGAATGACCAGTTATTTTCTCAGAAAAAACAAAGGGAAAATAGGTTGTAAAAGTTAGTACAAATCAGGATTAACCTTAAAATGCGGAATCTTGGACTTGGGACGTTAGCGAACTTCATGTAAAAAAACGAAACTAAAAAAAAATAAAATATAATGCGGCGAATAGATTTAAGTGTATAGGGAAAATTGAATATTTTTGGCGTTAATCAGTTGCTTTAAGTAATAGGTAAACGGAAAAAAAGTCACAAATTTTGTAGGAAAAAAAGTCACATATATGTGAGGGTTACACGGGTGGGTCTTTTCACCGCCGAACACCACCGCACACCACCGAACACCGCCGAACACCCAAAAAACCATCAACGACTGAGAAAATCAGTGATTTTATACAATAAAACGGTAAAATCAATTTAATTACGTCTAATTTAACAATTTTTTAGATGTTTATATGCATCATTTTTCTGTTAAAGTCGATTATCAATATAATCCATATAAAGAAAAACGTCTCCGGATTCATCACTATTTTTTCCGGATTACATTGTGTGTGTACAAGAATCATTTGAAATCAATTACTGATGAAGGATATTAGTGTCCCGAAATATTTAACATTTGTTCATGTCTTTTTTCTTGTAATTGGTACAACTTTTTTATTTAAGAAGAAAAAAAAAATACTTGAGGTGTCCAGTGGTGGTTTGCAGAGTTGTAGTGTTATAAACTCTCCTTTTTTGTTCGATGTAGATATTTGTTCTCTTAACCTTATTATTTGTTGAATTAATAAATTAAATATCATATTTAGGTCACATTTATAACAATAAAAGTTCAAAAATATTAATTTTTGTGGTGTTCGGTGGTGTTCGGCGGTGTACGGTGGTGTTCGGTGGTGAAAAGACCTACCGGGGTTACACTAATGTCCTGACCAATGACCTGACGATTGTCCTGACCGAGATGAAAAATGATAATAACATTTTTGTTCTTGGAAGGATCGACTTCAAATTTGACATCAAGGAAGATTATAACATCAGATATGAAAAAATAAGCAAAAAAGCGTAAAAAATAATTAAGAGAGTTAGAAAACTTGACCCGAACATCGATTTTGCCCCGACTAATGTCCCTACCGATATAAAAATGCTAATAACTTTTTTATTATTGGAAAGAATTGACTTCAAATTTAGTACCAAGGAAGAGTATAACATTCAATATAAGAATTTAAGAAGAAAAATGAAAAAAAAACAGGGAATCTGTTAGAAAATTTGACCTGATCAACTTCAACTTTGCCGTGACGAATGTCCTGACCGATATACAAATGTCAATTAATGTTTTGTTGTTGAAAGGAATATCATCAAGTTTGGTATCAAGGAAGATTATAATATTTAATATAAGAATATAAGAAAAAAAGGTGAAAAAGAATATTTTAAAGGTAAAAAAAACTTGACCTGACCGATGTATACCTTGTGTTCATCAATGTCCTTACCACTAAATTTCCTTACCGATGAAATAATGACAAATAACTGTGGTTTTTTTTCTCAAAAGATTAAATTAACTTTTTTAACAATATTAAAATATCATTTTTTGTTAAATGGAGTTAAGAAAGGAAGGTGCACTTTTTATTTTAAGCTACATGAATTTTGACCTGACCACCTTTAGGGAGCTACCATTTGATTTTTATGGGGGGGGGGAGGGGGGAGGGCTAGGATGAAATTTGGAAAAAAAAGGAAGGACAGGAGCTTTGAGTAAAAAAAAAAGGCAGGATGGGCAACTTGGCAAAAAAAAAGGCAGGATGACAATTTATGTAAAAAAAGTCAGGATAAACTAATAAAAAAAAAGGCAGGACAGAGATTACAACTAAAAAAAAAAGGCAGGACAAAATTTTTCATCCTAGCCCCAATACAAAATCAAATGGTAGCTCCCTAAACTGCAAAAAAAAAAAATTAAAACGAAAAAGATGTACAGAATAATTTAAAGGCAAAAGAAAATGACATGAACAATTAAAATTTAATCATACCTATATCAATTACTGTTATCACAAATTGGAGTGTTTACTAACCTATCCTTTAACTTATTTCACTCAATTGTGATTATACATGTCAAATGACATGATTATGGGCTGGAAATGGACTTCGTTTGATTTCAAAATGATGTTGATACAAACATACAAAGTAAAATTATTTTTGGAATCACATAGAAATAAAATAACTACACTTTGAACACATAATACAATACACAATACAAATTACATAAAATGCACAATACAATACAATGTTCAAGAGTTGCGAGGTTCATCACAGTACCAACCAGGATGAACCCACTTAGTGCAGCTGGTCCTTCCTCCGGTTCCGCTTCACATCCTATCATGTTCTCAAAAACATCCGGATCACACTGACAACTACACTCGATTGTTCTGGCAAGAATTCTAACAAAGTCTGTACTTGATGTTGTATTATGAAAAAATGGTGTAAAATGTCTTTTTTCCAAACACGATATTAAATGAGGTCTCATGTATATTGTTTTAATCTTAGAAAACTTGTCAAATTACAATAAACACAAACATTAATATACCATACCCCTTTAGAGATTGAAATGTCCAAATCCAGAAAAGGACAACTACAGCTGTTTATGTTAGATTTAGTTAAAGTAAGTTCTATTGGGTAAATTTTGGTAGTATATTTAGAGAACTCTGGATTATTTAACGAAAAAATATCATCTAGATAACGGAAGGTATTCAGTGTTGAATGTATCAACCAAATGTAACAATGACGTGTCTTTACTGAGTTTGGTCATAAACTGAGATTCATAGCAATACAGGAATAAATCTGCTATGAAAGGGGCGCAGTTAGTGCCCATAGGAATACCTACTACTTGTCGATACACTTTATCGCCGAAACGTACATACATGTTGTCCAGGAGAAAATTTAAAGCTTCAATCATATCTTCACATTTCCAGTAAGTGTATCTAGCATACTTTCCTTTTTCGTTACAGAAAAAGGCTTTAAACGAGTTACAGCAAATAAATTTGTAATGAGATTTTTCAAAAGACCATTTAATTAAATATGAAAACTTTTTCTTGATAAGAGTGTGTGGAAGTGTAGTATAGAGAGTAGGAAAATCATAACTGTCAACAGAATTAAAAGGACCATCAAAAGCATGTATTTTATCTAAAACCTCTAAAGAATTTTTAACACTCCAAAAATAATTAATACCATTATTTTCATAAGCTTTATTACAAAATTTAATAACAAGTTCTTTGATAGTAGTAAGGGAGGTAGTTAGAAGCACTGATAGATTGGTAGTAGAACACTTACTAGATGCGGAGATGAAACGGAATTTAAATGGTTTTTTGTGCAATTTAGGTAACCAGTACATAGTAGGGACTTTCAAATGTTCGGAAGAGGCTTTAAGCTGGGTAGTGGCAGTGATAAATTATGCTTGTTAACAATTTGACTCTCTCTATGGAGCGTACGGACCTGAATGTAGATGAATTTGTAATTTCGTTTTGGAGAACTTCCGTGTAGTATATGTGTCACACCACCACTACATTATTTGCTGCTTTGTCTGCCGGTACGAACACAAACCGCTTTGCGAGTACTTGGAGTTTATTTTTTATTCTGGAAATGGGAATATCATGGACCCTATTACTAATTTCAGAATTGTTTTCAAAATGAGATATACGAATATTAACAGTATTCATAATTTTATTCAAATAACTGTCTAGATATTTTTAGAGCGTCTTTAATGACATGACGACACTGTTTCCAATCTATTTTAGATGAAGGACGATATTTCGGTCCTTTCTTAAGAAAAGTTATGACCTCACGGTCTTTGACGATGTCGAGGTCTCCTGTAAGGACATGATCATAGGGAACATATCTAAAACTATGTTTCACAATCTCAAGTGGAAGGAACATTATTTTCTATATTGACGTCTGATGTAACTGACGTATAATTAAAAATCAAACTTCTGCTGGTTTTTTTTTATAAGAATACGAAATAATGGGTGGTTCTATATTATCAAAATATGGAGGTATTTGGCTTTGGATGGTAGAGTCATTGAATATACTAGATAAGTTAAAAAAATCAATACCTCTATTTATATATTTTAATTTAAGAAAATGCCGTTTATGATTTACAGGTTTATCGATACTAGGAAATAGCCTATGATGACAAAAGGCTGTAATAATACGGGTGTATTCATACATTGGGCTAAAAAAAAAGAAATTGTATCACACTCCAGAAAAATAGCATATAATTTACTTATTGGTATCTGACCCAGTTTGCATAATACTTGATGTCTGCCATTATTTTTTATTATAGATAACAGATCAGCAAGTGTATAATTTATACGATGTTTAATACGTTGATTACGGTTTTTGCGTTTGCCATGAGACCTTTTATTTCTAAGTCGTTTATCGACAATATTAATGACATCGATTGAAGTTTTAGTTATGTTCCTCTGTCCTAATATTTTGTCTATCAGACCGAGAGGATAAGCTGTTTGAAGTCTTTTTATCCAAAATAAGTCGCGAACTTCACGTGATTTTTCAAATTGCTTGTGTGATTCACCTGGTTGTTTCTGAACGGTTTCAAGTGGTTGGAATTTAATGAATTTTAGATTGTGATTATGCTTATCTAAATGTTGATATATCAAACTTTTGAATTTTTTAGGTTTACGAAAGCGGTAAAGGTGTTCTTGATTTCTTTTGTAATACGCTCGTCCCATCTGTCCCACATATTGAATACTGTACAGTATTTTGTGAAGTTAATCTAAAACAGGTTAGTCACTTTTTGGCATTGCACGGTAACATTTGTGGATATCCACGCGCATTTTTGTTAAACAATCTGGCTGTTTGTTTAAGCACGTGGATATCCTAGAAGTTGTGTTGTTAATAATTTTCTTTCCATTACGTAAAATCATGATAATTAAATAGGGATATAGGAAAAATAAAAAAGACCGGAGGTTGTAACAATGAATAAGGATCACGATTACGGAATAGGAAAAAATAGCCAAAGCAGTAAAAGAAATCTAACAAAAACTGGTATAAAAGGCCCGACGTTGGGACTTAAGTATTACAATACTGACATATAACAAACACAGGGCAAAAACAGAGATTGTAAGAAATCTTAGTAAAACCATAGCAGGGGGCAATAATAAAAATAGCAGGCGTGGATGAGTATTTATACATCCAAACACCATAATATATAATTGACAATTAAGAACAAATTAAGATATAATAAACATGTGAAAGCTCTCTCACAAGCAAACAACCCATAGTTGAAAAATATAAGGGCATACACCACAAGCACGGGGACACATTCTACTGCATCCACACAGCACGAGCAACAAACCCTGCAGTAAATAGATATAAGAAGATGTGGTATGAGTGCCAATGAGACAACTCTCCATCCAAGTCAAAATTTATAAAAGTAAACCATTATAGGTCACAGTATCGTGTCTTCAACACGGAGCCTTGGCTCACACCGAACAGTAAGCTATAAAGGTACCCAAAAATTACTAGTGTAAAACCATTCAAACGGGAAAACCAACGGTCTAATCTATATAAAAAATGAGAAACACTTATGAACCACATCAACAAACGACAACTACTGAACATCAGTTTCTGCCTACATCTTAATAAAAACATATTAAAAATATTTATTTTCACAAATTTAATACACTATATTCACTCTTTTTTATTATTATTGTGACTTTATTTCACATGTTTCACCCTGTGACCTTTTTTTCCTGTGACTTTTTATTTATGACTTTTTTCCGTGATTTTTTTTCCTGTGACTTTGTTTCCTACATTCAAGTTATAATGAGATCCGATATACTACTACTGCATTTATCGTCATACGTCTGATAATCATGAAATATTTTCGACCCAAAAATAACTTTGATAAATCTTTGAATGGAAGTTTAACTACTGAAAGAACTTCTTTATGATATTTTGTATGTATAATCTTCATTATATTTTGGTATTAAATACAAAATGAAAACGTTCTCAAGTCGTTACGTTTGAATTGTTATATATTTGAACCGAATCAAAATAAAACTTTCGTATTCTTATGCGTATTTGTTTTCTCAGATAGTACAATTCATTTTATTCATACTTGACTTTTCAGTGTGTTTTAAGTAAAGTCACAGTCAAAGAATGTAATTAGGAATGGTTGGCAATGCTGGTCTTCCCGCATCACTTAAACATACATGTATATTTTACAGTACAAATTGGAATCCACTATCCAGTAGGATCCAGAATCCTCTTATAGTACAAATATAGGGATTACAATATCTACAAGTAGAAATTGAGATATACAGATGTGTACTAGGAGGATCCTGATTGTACCAGGTAAATAATAATAATAAAAAGACAAGATAAAAAAAATATTTAATTTGTTTTTCTAAATAATGAAATAAACTAATATAATCAAACTTGTCTGAATCAAAAAGAAAAAAGGGGTAGGGCCAATTTACTATGAATTTATTTCATAGCAGAGCCTTTTTCAGAAAGTCCTTTAATTTTCGTAGTATTAATATTGTGCTGGGGAAAAAATCAACACACCTTTAATTGCATGTAAGAGAGAGAGAGAGTGCTGGTTCCTGGAACTTCGGGAGTACCAAATCAGGTATATGATTTATAAGATATATTGGTTCGTAAACGGGCCCTTTAATTGGATTAAATAAAGTATTCGTATTCATCCTTGGTATATCAGATACGAGAAACAGGTTAAGTATACTCCCCTTTTCAAATTTAATGGGGTTTTTTTTTATTCTTTAAAATTTCAAGTTAGTAAACAAATGTTCTCTACGATGATCAAGTCTTTCTGCTTTCATTTGATACCAACATTACCAAAATGTTCGACAGATTTGAAAGTTACACCTATGTGTATGAACTGTTTTGTTTTAAATATGTACTGCATGCATGCTGTTCTTTTTTCGGGAGATATTGATATGCTGATAACTTGCATTGATGTTTTCGGGAGATAATGATATGCTAATAAGATGTTTTCTGGAGATAATGATATGATGATAAGATGTTTTCGGGAGATATTTATATGCTGATAACTTGATGTTTTCGGGAGATATTTATATGCTGATAACTTGATGTTTTCGGGAGATATTTATATGCTTATAAAATTAAACATTTCGGAAAAACTCTCGGTTTTGATGAATTGATTGATTGATAGATATTTAAAGTCCGGCGGAAAATATTACATCAATATGCATATTCAGGACGATGATACTCTCGTGTATGGTGTATGATAAGGGTAAGAAGTATTTAAATAATACAAAAACATTACGACTATACAAATGTTTTATTAATTGTAGCAAATGCAGCTTAAATTATTACTGCAAATGCTATATGTATTGTTGCAAATGCGATAATTTTCACTGCATATGCTACATCTATAAGAATTGTAGCATTTGCTTTACTCCAACGCTTTGTACTATACTGTCAACTTTTGACATTTTATTTGTCCTTCAATTAAAATTTACACTTGCATATTTTTCATATTTAAATAAATATTTAACCAGAAAAAAATGGCGAGTAAAATTGTTAAGAAGCAATTGATTGACACGTTCAATCAATTTTACTGAGCTGTAAATCTTATTTTGCTGACCATTTTCGTGTTCACGATTTTTCTCTGTTTATTATAGCAGAGACATATAATACATTATTATATGTCTCTGATTATAGTATGTAAGATAACTGCTAAAAGTTCAAACTTTTGGTAAAAAATCACCAGTTAATGACACTGAATTACTCCAATAAGGAGACATTTATTGATTTTGTATTTAACAGTTTCTATCTATAGTGGTTTTCAAGATAATTGCCCAAAACACGAATAAGCAGTAGAAATTGTCTTCCAAGGGCAATAACTCATAGGAGTCTACTGACCATATTTGTTCTCAATATGTTTATCATTTTCGTTATTCATTTTTAGTAATTTTTTTATAGTTTCAAGAAAATAACCCAAAGCACAACATCAAAAAGTGTAAAATCTTCAGTTTTAAAAGGCAATAACTCCAATAAGGAGTCGTGCGACAGTTTAGTTCATATCGGATAGCAGGCAGATCTTGACATTCTAATATTTTTTTCTGTCCATAACACCTTTTAAGATATAAGACAAACTTTGCATTTTAACCCTATATTCTATTTTTAGCTATGTTGTCCATGTTTGTGTTAACTTATAGTATACTGTAAAGCCCTTTTCAACTGATTTTTATAGCTTGTTCTTATGTTCCATTGTTACACAACTGTCCCAGGTTAGGGGGATGGTTTGGTCAGAGTTTCCAAAAAATATTTGAGCCAGCCGGATATTTTTTGTTTTAACCCGATTTTAATCCCTTAAGAGTAAGGATCAAAAGGCACTCATGGTAATCAGAAGGACATCATACAAAAAATGATTGATATAAAAAAAAACAATATAAAACTTGACTTTTGATTTAAGTTTTATGTTCTGATGTAAACCATCTGGCTCCAGCAAACTTGTTTAAACCCACCACATTCTGTATGTGCATGTCCCAAGTCAGGAGCCTGTAGTTCAGTGGTTGTCGTTTGTTGCTGTATATCATATTTGTTTTTCGTTCATTGTTTTGTACATAAATAAGGACATTAGATTTCTCGTTTGAATTGTATTACAGTTGTCATTTCAGAGCCTTTTACAGCTACAGACTATGCAGCATAGGTTTTGCTCATCATGTTGAAGGCCGTATGGTGACCTAAAGTTGTAAACTTCTATGTCATTTGTTCTCTGGTGGAGAGTTGACTCATTGGCAATCATACCACATCGTCTTATTTTTATATGTAAAGGTTATAGTGACAAATCTGGTTGTAGTTGACCTGGCAGTATCATACTTTGGTAATTTAAAAGCTTACTGACAATGGACAGCAGAAGACTTATAATGAACAGTGGCGGATCCAATGCATTTGAATGGGGACATATAGTTGGAACCCTCCCTTTATCCTGGGTTAGGAACCCCCCTTTTATAAATGGCTGGATCCGCCCCTGAATGAATGATGAACTGCAAAATGATGACAATACCTCATTAGAACAGATGATATTTGATTTGCTATCAGTTTAATATCAAATTTCACTAACTTTTAGAGAATAGTGGAAGGGTGCTAAGCTAACCATACTTGTCAATCATCAAGGCTATGGTAGCCATACTGGATAAAAGATAAACTTGTCTAGTGTAACTCAGAAAGGACATCTTGCTAACAATATCAGAAATGATAATCCAATATACCTTTTGATTTAAGCAGAGATGATAACACATTTTCTAGCCAATCTTTGACTCATATATAGTTGTGTTCGATCATTAGAAGGAATCACAATCAGGTTTGATTTTAACACAGGACATACATGTACAAAAGAGTTCAATTTAATTGTGTTTCAGAGAAGCTTGTTGCTAAAAACGGAAATATTGAAATGGTGAAGTTGAAGTATTTTCTTAGAAAGTTTTACTGACATCATCAAAATTTGGTTGACCATTATTAAATATTGGTACCACATATGACCACCAATATGTTTCATTTGTCATAAACACAATCCAGTCCTCCATGACTTGTTTTGTTGACATCACTGAATGTGACTTATTCACTGTTCGACTTACTCTGGAAGAGTGAAGCTTACCCTTCCAAAGCACCTGTGTTTACTGTCTGATTTTTGTGTGGTTTATATAAGCTTTGCAGTGTTGTGTGTCTGAATGTCATTTTCTTTTGGTCATAGTCTTGTGTTGTCTTTCTTCTGCTTATGGTTTTTCATTCCCCCCTTTGCATTTTCACCCCATTTGTCTTTTCTAAGTTAAGAACCTTAATTTACCATCCATTTCCTTACTACATTGTACTTACAATAAACAATGTACTTACACACCAAGTCATTAGAACTTTAGCCACAAGTCATTTAGAATAATTAAAAACAATGAACTCAGTGATAGCTGTACTTTAATCATTTAGAGGCTTGATGAAGAAACAAAAAACAAATTACATTTAACATGTTTATCTATATTGTGTTCTATAGAAATACCATAAAATTCTTTAAAGATGAATATTGCTATGCATATTGTACATTTCATAATTTGATCTAAATTTTGGCATGTGAATATTTTCATGAATTGGATTGTACATGCATTTACACGCACTTTTATTTCCTCAACATTTTGATCCCTACAAGAATCCAGTGAAAATGAATAAATCACCAAGAGAAGTTGGAATACAAATACACCAGGATGCATGGTTCTTGAAAAATTCAATCACTATACTCATAATGTGAACCAAAACAAGTAGAAAAAGAAGTCCCAGAATGCAAGGTTTCATTGTACAAAACATTGCTGAATAAAAGTATAAAGTCTGATAACTGCCATTGTTTAGCCTTTAACATCTTTAGAAAATCAAAGTGCTTTAAATATACATTATCAACAAATCTGAGATTCAAGCTATTGATTTAAAAGAATAAAATATCAAGACATTTAAAAAGGTATTTACTGGTTAAATGAGATTCAAGGTAAATTGATTAAAATTTGTTGAGAAGATCATAATCATGAAATTAATTCAAAATAACATTATGAAAATGGATTAGGGAAAAATGCTATCACAATACTTTGCACTGTCCTTTTGGTGCTTTCAAAATATATCATTCAAAATTACTTTACTCAAGAACCATAACAATTACACAGTTTCTCATTAAAATGAGTATAAATTCAAATGGATAACTCAGAGTGTGAACTTTAAACTAACCACTTTTGTTGCAATGAAATTTGATTTTCCCGTCAAACAAAAATCCAATATTTCATATGTGAAAAAAAAAAAATCTTGTATTTCACCCCTCTTACATCATTCAACAATAGATTTCAACAATGTTGCATCAAAATGAAGAGAGAACACATACAAAAAAATTAATAGTTCCTTGCATTTTCTACTTTATTAACATCATTAGCCAAATGCATGCAATAAATAAAATTTACTTTTATAAATTTTGACTTGGATGGAGAGTCGTCTCATTGGCACTCATACCACATCTTCTTATATCTAATAAATAAAATAACTAATCAGAGTGCACATATTGCAAAAATTTCAACTTTTGACAAAACATGAAATTTAACTCATGTGCTCTGCACATTCATGAATTCATGTTTTATTGCACCCCCTCCCACTTCAATATATTCAAAATTCAAATTCTGGGATTGAAGATGTACTATATATAATTGAGACAAAAAAATAACACCAAGAAGTAGTTGTTTATCTTACATTTACCTTCCTCCATACATTTTTTACGTTCAAAATTTATCAAAGAGATAAAATTACAAAGTACTCTTGAAAAAAGCCTGGAAACATGGGCAGATATTGCAAACAACAAAAAATATTTCTTCATAGAGAACCAATCACTTTTTTCTTGCCAGATCTCTAGATCAGTATAACTGCAACCATATGCCTTTTTCTGATAAGTCCATTGCAAATTAATTAAATGTTGGTAAGAAAACCTTTCTTTTACAAGGTTAAATACATGTACAAATGTACAGTTGCAAACACAAGTTTATTGCAATCATAAAAACACCTAATGGCACTGTGAATACAATATCTATGACAACCGAAGTAAATAATAAAAACAGTATGTAAAATATGGCACAGACTAATATATAAACATTTATATAAAAATAATAAGTTTCCAAATATCATCAAAATCATAGCTGAAAATGTTGCCATTCATGAAGATTGTTTAGATAACGAATCAAAGCTCTTAAAAAAAAAGTGGCACACATGAAAGGCACTTTGAAATTCATAATTATCAGTGGTTGATCCAGGGTTTTTTTAAAAAAAAAGGGAACTCATAGTAGGCCACAGAAAAAAAAAGGTATTACAGGCTCACGAGTCAAAAATATGATAAATGTTCTTGAAAGTGACACATTTTTTGGGGTGATGCAAGGAAAGGCCTGAGTGCTTTTATATTTTGAGAATCAATTTGGATACATCTAATGAATTTTCTTTATTAAATGCACTCATCATGCTCATTGTTATTTGCTTCTCTAATCTTGAACATTTGGTAATAACTGAGTTATCTCCCATCTGGGATTGTATTTTTAAGTTCTGTATGTTTTTACCATTTTCATGATTTATATATTATAATATCTTTTCATGATTCTCAAATCTCAGTTATGTTTTTAATTCATCAACCTAAGAATCAGCTGTCAATAGTATTTTGATCATTAACCAGAAATTTATTATATATTTTCTTTCATTAAAACTACATACCGGTAATTTTTTTTTCCTAAATCTAAACTATACTCAAAAATGGTAATAAAAGTAAGTTACAACTTTCATGACTTAAGAATAAAAAGTGCCTTTCATGAATACTTTATATCTTTTTGAACAAAATGACCCTATAGTAAAACATAGAAATAAAATTCTGAAAAATATGGCACTGTAAAAACATACAATATCACAGACAAAAAAAAACACATCTAAAAATATCTTCTGATAATACTACACTACACATGATTATCATAACTCATTTACTGTGCAATTCACTTTATTTCTGGACATTGGTTTTTTTCTGACTTGCTAAAAAGTATTTGTAAGATTCTTTAACTGATGACACTAGCCATTGTTGGCTTGAGGAAATATTACCCAATGAAACTCTTGAATATTACAGTGATTTTTGATTTGTTGTTTTTTTCAGCGAAATCCATAAATAAAAGAGTTAGGACATTTCACAGAAAACATCAATATTTCTATGAATTATTAGCAAAGTGGAGTAAATATCAAAATAAACCCCAAATTTCTTAACACTTTCAGCAAAAAAAAAAGTGATGCGTCAACATGGAAACAGTATTTTACAGAGGATGGACAGGGAATACAATTTTCCCAACCTTTCATTTTTGATACCATTACTTTTATTTTTCTTCCCCTCCTATTTCTGTCATCTTTATTCTCCAAGTCTCCAAATAGGTACCCTGTCTACCCCCTTAAATTACATGGAGTTGCACTTTGTAAAATACATGTGTTACAAATCATTAAATATCGATAATACAAACAAAAATAATGTCCCATTGCAAACTAGTATGCTATTGGTTCTTTCTATTAATCTTTTCCCACAATTCTTTGCAACAAGGCCTTATAATCGCCTGAACAGTCATCCTTAATCCAGTTCCATAAAGTTTGCCCGTTCTTTTCTAAGAAAATTTCTTTTATCTGCACCATATCAATCTGAAAAACAAAAATATGTTTAATATATTTCACTTCGTAAATTTTTTCCTAATACCGTTTTAAGTTTACAATTAAGTCTGTTAAAACATAACCTTATCAAAGATACCATTCTTGATAACTTACTAGGATGCCAAACATACCTTTTATCCACACAAGGTTTATGAATAGTACTAGAACCAAATCAATTATAAAGTTGAAGAGCATTGAAACAAACAAAAAATGGTTATTTTTGAAATCTCAAGAAGAGATTTTATATGAATTTATAGGGTTAAATATACTTACCATGAAATTACATTTATATTATATAGAATATGTTAAAATTTGCTTTCAGAACATGTTCTCATCGCAATTAACTAGGTGATTAAAAATTACATCCATAAGATGTACTCACCTACTCACCTACGTCATAATTTACTTGTGTAACACACAATATCTTCAGTTTTAATTTGTCGTTTAATTGAATAATTACAATTGTGTGAAACAAAAAACTGAATTTATACTAGGGGTGGTGGTGGATTGTGGTAAGTATATTTAACCCTATAAATTCATATAAAATCTCTTCTTGAGATTTCAAAAATAACCATTTTATATGAATTTGGTTAAATATACCATGAAATTACATTTATATTATATAGAATATTCACTGATTAACAAGCAGTGTTTTATTTTGGTGGAGGATAAATTCTCTCACATATACAATTTCCAACATATAAAAAACTATTTCAAAATTGTTAAAAAATAACCCCATTAAATTTTGTAAATACTGAAATTAGTCAAAACCGAAATTACAAAATTTAAATTTATTACACAATAAAGCTATGCTGTATAACTATATGTATCAATGGCAAAACTCTGCAGATTGCATAAATAAAACTTGCAAAAATAGACTTGAATAAATAATCTGCAGGCCAGTATAGAAATTATTTCATTAAAGCTCCTACATTATGAGTTAAATGTGTTGTAATATTATTGCAACAGTAAATAAGCATTTATTTTATTTATTTTTTAATTTGTCATGTGAATAGGTTGTTCTTATTGCTTGTACAAATCGACAAGAAGTAATCCAACCTTAGTATCATTTACTTTTCAACTTTGAAATATTAGTTTTCAAAACTTTAATTTATTTAAAAACAATTAGCTTCTATCTAATTTTCCATTGTTTTCTCTATAGTTTTATATAACAACAGAGAATATATGACTGCTGATCATTATCAATGTCTTTCAAAATAAATTCTTTTCTGCTTAATTGTCAAAGAATTATAATCAATTAAAATATACTTTGTAAATAAGTGTCCTTACCAACAAATATAATAAAGACTCAAACGAAAGTTGTTTCATGATTATGCTAAATCTGGATCAATCTATAAACTTTTTTGAAGTTATAGTCTCCTTGAGTACATATTCTTCTAGATATACTACTCTTGTTAATATCTAATAGATTTAGAAAGAAAATATTTTTTGTCAAGAGAAGTCCTGCATTATAGGAATGACATGATAATTTTCCTAAGTTAACCAACTAAATTTTAAAGTCTGATAGAAATTTCTATGAGTAGTAGAACCTTTGAATACAATGTCTACCAGTCCAACAATGAACAAACATTATCTTTGTGTTTCGTATTAGACTACTTAAGTGTAAAAATAAATAAAATGGACAAATCAGTGGAAAAATTTTAGTATACATGTTTTTCAATGGTATCATAATGCTTCTACAGAGCATTTGGATGTTGAGTAAGCCAAAACTGTTGTCCTAATAAGCCAAAAAGAATGCCGACAGATGAGTTTCTCAAACTATGAAAATCTGTCTGTCAATGTTGTTCTGACATTTCTAATTAATATCTCACAATGGTATACTGTCTAAAATGTGAACCTTAAGCCACGATTGTTTTTAAATTATAAATTGCCATGCACAGATCCAAATTTAAAGAAATAAAAGTTTGACATATTGAACAACTCTTAAACTGTTGCTCTTGACAATTGTTTTTATTTGTTTCAGAAAATATTTCGCAATCAGAAATACTAACATGCAACATGTCAAATTTAGTTCTATACATGTATTTAAAGAAAACACATGTTTGACAATATGGAAAACACTTGTACTAGCTTGTTTTTGATAAGTGTTCTTAGTTGTTTAAGAAATGGTTTCACAATCAGAAATGCTCATTTCATTTCTCTCTTAGTTCACCTTATCTGAATTCTATACATTCTGATATGGTTCAATATAAACTAACCAAAACACTTTTGGTATTATTTTTGTGACTTCAACCCAGTCATTTGGTTAAACTAAAAGTCACTCAGAAAAATTTTGCATTTGTCCACAGATTTGACAAAACAAAATGAATGGGATTTGTATAATCACATCTTTCAAAACAATATTGAATAAAAATTTAAACTAACTGTTAATAAACACATTTCAATTTTGTCTAGTATATTCTTGCATTAAATACTAACTATATGCCAGATATTTAATATTATTTCTGCAACTGCAAAAGTTGTTAGATAATTGTCTGGTCATTATGAAAATTGAATAGTGAATACCCTCAATTTGGGGATTAAATCACACCCAATCTATTTGGAAACCTTCCTACATGTAGATGAGTCACAACTTGACTTTGACAAGACTAGAATTTTTGTACTCTTTGTGTAATAATGAACAAAAATAAAAATAAACAGTGACATTTTAAATTTAGATATTTACAAATGTCTTGCACTTATAATCATGGAATTATCGTATTGCATTTTACTTCCACTTACTAACAGACTATTTAATGTTATTTAACTAATAATCAGTCTTTTAAATAAACTGCTTTTCATGTATTTTGCTTTTAGATTAACTGTTTCTACAGGTGCTAAAATATGAGAAGCAATTGAAATATATATATATATATGTTTATTGGTACAATGTAGCCCAAAAGACCTCTTCTTTTTCCTGCATCTTGTAAAGACTGGCTAAAAAGAAGATTTATATAAAGAGATGTATTAGATAGTTCATTGCTCAATCTTGTAAACTACTCTAATGTCCACGTCAATGTCTAGTATTTTTAATGAATCTTGCATCAACAATGCTTTATATTTTCTGTATTTATTTAGTAATATTTTACTAGTTATATCTAATTTGTGCAAAATCTATATGATATGCCTTTATTCTTAATCTAAATTCTCAAAAAACAAATCCTAATGATAATCTAGTTTTGTTTTTTTTATATACATGTATCAGTATCTTTGAGTCCTCTATAGTTCAGCTTTCTAATTCAATATAAACTCGAGGAAAAACATGTAGCAGTTTGATTAGCTGTTTTAACTAGCAATCTCACATTAAGATTGAAAACAGACCCAATGAAGATAGCAGAATCTTTTCAAACTTGTTGTCATTGCTTTGAAAACAAGACGTAAAGGCTATTTTCTATCTTTTAAAGAGCTTCCCAAAAATCTCTTCCTTTCATGATTGGAAGATACATGTATTATTTGTCTAAGTGATTCTCATATGGTGAGGGTAAAATATACCCTTAAGTCTTATGATATCACCTTTTTGTGTACTTAAGGCGAAATAGCACAAGTACATATTATATGTCATATGCATTGGCAATGTACACTCTTATTTATGTAATCAAAATATAAGCCATTTCCGTGAATCAAGTCTTTGTGAAATGCACCATAATGGCAATTATCCCCTAAACTCTTCTGAACCCAAGAGACAACCTAATGTTTACTTAAAAACATATCAAAATCTGTGTTTCATTAATGCACACAAACAACCAATTGGTCATAGCATTACATACTGATAATATTAATGTTCTTCTTGTCAGTAATAAACTGACCTTGAAAATAAAAAAATTATAATATGAGTTGTCACAAGCTATAGGTTTTAGAACGGTGTTCCATTCTTACTGACTCAACATATTAGTAGTTTCTTAACATCTGTAAGAGAATAATTTATCAGTAAAGAAAAATTTACAGCAGGTTCCTGCTCCGAGAAAATATTTCAGGCTTCTAAGAATTTACTGTCCTGTTTAAATCTGGACATAATTATAAATTTTGTGTATTGACATGTTTAAACTACATACACATTTGTAAGTACTAAATAACTCTGTACTATTTCAGTGTTTTTTATCTGTCTTGACCTTTTGCAGACACTCTTTCAATATATTATCTGAACTGTTAGTTCATCACAAAAATCAATGTGCAACCAAAAATTAGCTAAGATCAAAATGTGTGTTGTACTAAACATGCAACCTGCTTGTGCTTGCAAGTTGTATTAAATACAATACAGGTAGACCTACGTTATCTAGATGGAACAATTTCTACAACAATCAGATAGACCTGGACTAAAATTCACTATTCTGATTCGATTTAATTTTATTTCAGTACGTCAAATACTAAAAATTGTATTTCCAAGAATGATCTATGCTCCTTAAATATCAATGTGCGATCAATTAATAATTATGATTTTTTAGGAAAGATCAAATCTGTACAATGCATGCAACATACAGATCCAAAATCATGCATGTTGTTCTAGTTCCTACGTTCCCTGGATGAAACGATGTCAACATTAATCAGATAGACTTGGGCAAAATCCCTATTCTAATTTTAATTTTATTTGTGTTTATTTTAAATTTTAATTTGAATTTATTGAATCACTTAAGGTTCTACTGACATTAGTGGTCTACGCTCCCATAAGGACGTTATCCACATTAAAATAATCAGATCTGGTCAAAATACCTATTCTGATTGTAAAATAGTGATGTGTTTACTCCGTCTCGTGTAAAGACTGTAAACAATCAACTCATCCGAACTTAGTGACAATAGTGGTCTACGCTCTCATAAGGACGTTATCCACATTAAAATAATCAGATCTGGTCATAATACCTATTCTGATTGTAATTTAGTGATGTGTTTACTCCGTCTCGTGTAAAGACTGTAAACAATCAACTCATCCGAACTTTCCACTTGACCCGTTTCGTAGATTGCTCAAAACAGCTAAAATTCGGTCAGCATGGAAGAAGAATTTAAACATACATTTATTTTTATAAACGGAGTACTCATGTAACATGTCCGATTTTGACAGAAAAGTTCTGCCTTTCCTCGCACCGGACTAAAATTTTGAAAATGGCGACTTAACAAAGGTTAATTTCTAGGTCGTCGTTGTTACAGACTCGTAATGTTGACGTGTATATCAGAAACTTGACAAAAGCGCTGTATAAACATAGAAATAATTGTAAAACGATATTCCAAAAACAAATAATGTTTTTTTATAAAACATAAGGATTTTCAACAGTAGACTGTTAAAAATCCTTGTCGACGAGAAACATGGGATCACTTGAACGCAAAAATTAAAACTGAAGATATTGTGTGTTACACAGGTAAATTATGACGTAGGTGAGTACATCTTATGGATGTAAATTTTAATCACCTAGTTAATTGCGATGAGAACATGTTCTGAAAGCAAATTTTAACATATTCTATATAATATAAATGTAATTTCATGGTAAGTATATTTAACCAAATTCATATAAAATCCATTACTCATCCTGTTTATCATGCAAAACTCAATGTCAATGTTGTTAAAGAAAGAAAAAACAAGAATGTGTCCATAGTACATGGATGCCCCACTCACACTATCATTTTTGTCGAGCCTTCGACTTTAGTCGAAAAAGCGAGACATAGCGATCCTACATTCCATCTGGGGTCGTCGTCGTCGTCGTTGGCGGCGTCCACAAATATTCACTCTGTGGTTAAAGTTTTTGAAATTTTAATAACTTTCTTAAACTATCCTGGATTTCTACCAAACTTGGACAGAAGCTTGTTTATGATCATAAGATAGTATCCAGAAGTAAATTTTGTAAAAATAAAATTCCTGTTTTTCAGTATTTTACTTGTAAATGGACTTAGTTTTTCTGCCAGGAAACATTACATTCACTCTGTGGATAAAGTTTTTAAAATTTTAATAACTTTCTTAAACTATCCTGGATTTCTACCAAACTTGGACAGAAGCTTGTTTATGATCATAAGATAGTATCCAGAAGTAAATTTGTTAAAAAAAAAATTTCATTTTTTCCGTATTTTACTTATAAATGGACTTAGTTTTTCTGCCAGGAAACAATACATTCACTCTGTGGTTAAAGTTTTTAAAATTTTAATAACTTTCTTAAACTATCCTGGATTTGTACCAAACTTGGACAGAAGCTTGTTTATGATCATAAGATAGTATCCAGAAGTAAATTTAAAAAAAAAAAAATTTCATTTTTTCCGTATTTTACTTATAAATGGACTTAGTTTTTCTGCCAGGAAACAATACATTCACTCTGTGGTTAAAGTTTTTAAAATTTTAATAACTTTCTTAAACTATCCTGGATTTGTAGCAAATTTGGACAGAAGCTTGTTTATGATCAAAAGCTAGTATCTAGAAGGAAATTTTGTTAAAACTTGTACCTGTTTATCTGTATTTTACTTATAAATGGACTTAGTTTTTCTTCCAGTTAACATTAAATACAGTCTGCAGTTAAAGTTTTTAAAACATTTATTAGATTCATAAACTATCCTGGATTTATACCAAACTTTGACAGAAGCTTCTTACAATCAAAAGATAGTTTCTAAAGAAATATTTTTATTGATTTTTTTCCTCATTTTTGTTGAGCCTGAGATTAACAGCAAAAGTAGGCGAGACACTGGGTTCCGCGGAACCCTTACGAATTTTCTATGTTCAGTGGACCATGAAATTGGGGTAAAAACTCTAATTTGGCATTAAAATTAGAAAGATCATATCATAGGGAACATGTGTACTAAGTTTCAAGTTGATTGGACTTCAACTTCATCAAAAACTACCTTGACCAAAAACTTTAACCAAAAACTTTAACATGAAGCAGGACAGACGGACGGACGGAAGGACAAACGAACGAACGAACAAACGGACGCACAGACCAAAAAACATAATGCCCATAAATGGGGCATAAAAATCAATAAGAAAACGAAAACGATTACCTCAGATCTGCCCACAATAATCCTGATAAGATCTTTGTCCTTGGTACCTAACCCTTCCATGGTCCATGTTAGTCTCTCAGCAAAGTATTTTGGCCTGCATTTTATGCTCTTAACTAAAATTATACACACAGAAACATAAAATATGTATGACTAACATAATTCATTTGTTAACTTCCTCTCTTGCAAGTGTTAACAAACTCGATCAATTTTTCAATTATATCATTTTGATTTTTGTTGATACTTAAATAAAATCATTCAGACAAAACTTAAATAAATAATAAGTAAAATCTACTGAATGTGAATTGTTTATTTTTGGCAATATACAGATTCCAATAATACTTAACAGCTTTGTATACATATTTGCAAAATAGTCATAAAAAAACTTAAAGAGATTCAAGATTTCTTTATTTCAAGGAAAATTATATTCATCTTACCTCTAATCAATGAATACTTCAAGAAATATATTTGAAATGCTTTTGGTAATGAACTAACTATTCGCAAGTACAATGAAACTTTTTCTTAAAAAGAGTAAAGTCTTTTATCATGAAATTTCAGTAACATATGTAGATTTGTTACTGACGACAGGCCTGGGGCCATTACATTACAATTACTTTGTGATTCTTCCATTACAATTACAATTACAATTACATTTTTTCTCACATGTAATGCATTACATTACAATTACTTTGCCTGTGTAATGCATTATATTACACATTACTTTTTCAATATAAAAATATAAACATTTAAAAAACAGATTTTTATAAGAAATTGATAAATATTATCGGGGTATATGTACATATATATACAGTGTTAGTGACATAGACTTCAAATACTTGAAAAATAAATAAATTATCATATAATTTTGATTCTAACATTGATCACTTAATCATTAAGACATCATAAAGGGATTTCAAAGGGATATAATAAATGTGCCATTAAAGGATTATCTTGTTATATGCCTAAGGGCTCTGTGAGGACAAACATAAGTTGAGAAGATTTGATTGCAATAAAATCATTTTGATATCAATTATATAATTAGGTGAAATAACAACCACAGTTTGGTGTAAAAAATGTTGATTGACATATTCATTCTTTCATTGAAATACATGTAAGGTGTGTATAGAATTATGAAAATTTCATCTTCATATTTTTTCCATTCATCTATATAGTTTTGTTTAATAATTATTTTTAGAAGATGTTTTAAGGGCAAACTATCTATAATGATATAATACAGTAATTAACTGTGACAATAATTTTATTCAATACTTTCTTTTTTTTTTCTTAATATTTTATTTTTATTTTACTATATTCTCTAATTTTATGTATTTTACCAATTTGTAATGAAAAGTAATGTACAGTAATGGAGGCATTACATTGATTTTTAACTAAAGTAATCATTACATTACATGTAATTGTAATGCAGAAAATGTGCATTACAAATTACTTTGCATTACATCAAAAAAATGTAATATTACAATGCATTACAATTACAAATTACCATTACCCCAGGCCTGACTGACGATCAGTCATAAGCTCTCAAATTGTCAATAAAATGGTACCTAATATAAAAATAAGATGTGGTATAATTGTCAATGAAACAACTCTCTACCAGAGACCAAAAAACATAGACGTTAAAAACTATAAGTCATCTTACGGCCATAAAGCCTGGAAGGCGTTCAATAATCAAAGCAGATAGAATAGAGACAGTTACAACCATCCTATTCAAAACTAAACACTAAATCGAATACACCACATCTGAAGTAAGAATAAAGAAAACAAAAACTTACAAATTTTCTTTCCTGGCTTCAAAGAGGCACAAAAAAGTGGTCAATAAAGTAGACAATATCCTTTATTCAGGTGGTAAATAGCAAAGAATGAAAGAAAATGACATTTTCAACAATTTCGTTTGATGTCATGTTTTAAAAGAAGAAACTGGCATTTGTTTTCCACAAGTTTGTTTGTTGTCATGTTTCAAAAGAAGATACTGACATTTGTTTTCAACAAATTTGTTTGTTGTCATGTTTTAAAAAAAGATACTGACATTTGTTTTCAACACTTTCGTTTGTTGTCATGTTTAAAAAGAAGATACTGACATTTTTTTTCAACAATTTCGTTTGTTGTCATGTTTTAAAAGAAGATACTGACATTTGTTTTCAACAATTTCATTTGTTGTCATGTTTAAAAAGAATATACTGACATTTTTTTCAACAATTTTGTTTGTTGTCATGTTTCAAAAGAAGATACTGACATTTGTTTTCAACATGTTCGTTTGCTGTCATGTTTTAAAAGAATATACTAACATTTGTTTTCAACATGTTCGTTTGTTGTCATGTTTTAAAAGAATATACTGACATTTGTTTTCAACATGTTCGTTTGTTGTCATGTTTTAAAAGAATATACTGACATTTGTTTTCAACATGTTCGTTTGTTGTCATGTTTCAAAAGAAGATACTGACATTTGTTTTCAACATGTTCGTTTGCTGTCATGTTTTAAAAGAATATACTGACATTTGTTTTCAACATGTTCATTTGTTGTCATGTTTTAAAAGAAAATACTGACATTTGTTTTCAACAATTTCGTTTGTTGTCATGTTTAAAAAGAATATACTGACAATTTTTTCAACAATTTCGTTTGTTGTCATGTTTTAAAAGAATATACTGACATTTGTTTTCAGCATTTCATTTGTTGTCATGTTTTAAAAGAATATACTGACATTTGTTTTCAACATGTTCATTTGTTGTCATGTTTTAAAAGAGGATACTGACATTTGTTTTCAACAATTTCGTTTGTTGTCATGTTTAAAAAGAATATACTGACATTTTTTTCAACAATTTCGTTTGTTGTCATGTTTTAAAAGAAGATACTGATATTTGCATCCATAACATGCATATGATTTACTTGACTAGAAATTTTATTCTTGTAAACTTACTTAAAGTTATCAGCGCCATCTGTGTGTGGCTAGAAAATTCCCCCTCCACGGAATTTTCAATGTCACATTGCGTCAGCTGAAATCAAGACATACTATATGTTATACATGCTATAAATGTTTTTTTTATAACTGTTTTGTTTCATTTTTTTTTTTAAATGGTAAATTGGCATAAACAAAATCATTAAATCCGACTCTTGATGTGACATTATGACATACATGTAGGTATTGTGACATTGGAAATGTAAAAGGAAATGCAAGAATTTGAAAAATGGTGCATTGCCTCAATGATATTAAATAAAAATTAAAATTGAAAATTTGAGAGTAAAGTAAAAATAAATAAAAGAACAGAGTTCTGATGTCCCCTGCATTGCACTTATTTTATATTTCCAAGGGGCGTAACTCTTTTTTAAAAAGTCGATCGTCCACCATTTTAGAACTTGTTCGAGATATTGCTGATATTAACCTATAGTATAAGTTTTATAAAAATCTGGCAAGAATTGTACCCGTGAGAGCACTAACGAGGCCATTTTCCATAAATTTAATATATCCAAGGAGCATAACTCTTTGAAAAAAGTATATCGTCCACCATTTTAGAACTTGTCAGAGATATTGCTGATATTTACCTATAGAATAAGTTTTATAAAAATCTGGCAAGAATTGTACTTGTGAGAGCGCTACAAGGCCATTTTCCACAATTTTAATACTTCCAAGGAGTATAACTCTTTTAAAAAAAATCGATCCTCCACCATTTTAAAACATGTTAGAGTTATTGCTAATATTAACCTATAGTTTAAGTTTTATAAAAATCTGGCAAGAATTGTACCTGTGATAGTGCTAATAAGACCGGACAGACGGACGGTTAGACACATGGATGGACAGACAGACAGACGCCCGGTATTTCCATGTCCCCCGCAACGCGTTATGCGGGTGACAATAAAAGTGCACATGCTGAAATGTCTCGCCTTCTTTACTGACCATTGATTTTATGTTGAAAGTATTAAAGATAAAGGTTTAACTAAAAACATCACAGCAACTCAGGTCAGATAAATGCTGTCAGACAGACATATATACCTTACAATTTTTTTTACACAAAATATAATTAATCTATTGCTTATGATAATTGAAAAAACAGACCAAAACAAAAAAAACTTAACATTGACCAATAAACCATGAAAATGAGGTCAAGGTCAGATGATACCTGCCAGACAGACATATACACCTTAAAACCATACCAAAACACTAAAACTTAACATTGACTAATGAACCATGAAAATGAAGTCAAGGTCAGATGATACCTGCCAGACAGACATATACACCTTACAATCATTCCATACACCAAATATAGTTGACCTATTGCTTATAGTACTTGAAAAACAGACTAAACCACAAAAACTTAACATTGACTGATGAACCATGAAAATGAGGTCAAGGTCAATGAAACCTGCCAGACTGACATGTACCCATTACAGTAATTCCTTCTGAAATTTAAAGCTTTAGTTTTACGCTGCTGCCACCGGATAGTAATACCTATGTCTCGCATACTGCAACTTTCGTTGCAAGGGAGACAAAAATGCCCTTTCAAACTTTGAGTAGGGGAGGGGTCACATTTTGAAAAATCTTGCCAAAAAATATTTATAAATATTAACAGAAATTTCCAATTATTTGAAAAAGAAAAGGGTTTCTTCATCAATTGTGAATGACCAATGTAATACAAATAAATTTTTAGTGTGAGGTTAACTCACATAAACATTAAATTAAAAATATATGACTGCTTTCAGGTGTATGATTGAAGCCAAACCTCCCATAAAAATGTATTTGAAAAAAAAATATAGAACTAACAAGCATTCCAAGAGTATTGCATGCCAATACATAGTCCCCTAACGGTTAAAAATTCATTGTACGGGAACAAAATGCTAACTTGATCTATAACTTGTCATGATGTAAACTACATAACAAATATCAAGTCAATATCTTCAAACATTACAAATAAAAGTGAGGAAAACTGATCATATGAGTGAAATTTCTAAGTCCAAGGACCATAACTCTGCACAAAATCATCAGACCAGAACAAAAATAGAACTTGATCTGTAACTTGTCATGATAAAACAATATACTAATTATTAAATCAATATCTTCAAGCATGACGAAAAAAAGTGCGGAAAACTGATTATTTCAGTGAATTTTCTACGTCCAAGGACCATAACTCTGCACAGAATCATCCGACCAGAACAAATTTCAAACTTGATCTGTTAGTTGTCATGATAAAACTATATACCAATTATTAAATCAATATCTTCAAACATTACGAAAAAAAGTGAGAAAAACTGATTATTTGAGTGAATTTTCCAAGTCCAAGGACCATAACTCTGCATAAAATTATCAGACTGGAACAAAATTCAAGCTTGATCTGTAACTTGTCATGATAAAACTATATACCAATTACCAAATCAATATCTTCAAGCATGATGAAAAAAAGTGCGTAAAACTGTTTATTTGAGTGAATTTTCGAAGTCCAAGGACCATAACTCTGCACAAAATAATAAGACCAGAATAAAATTCGAACTTGATATGTAACTTGTCATGACAATCACAACCAACCAAAGAAAAAAAGTGTGGAAAACTGATTTGTCAGACAGACAGACAGACAGACAGACAGACGGAGTGCAAACCTAAAGTCCCCTTCGACTTCGTCAGTAGGGGACTAATAATTGATAACACTTATGAAAAATAGCTTAACATATCCATGATATCTATTGGTAAATACCTTAACATATCTATTGGTAAATACCTTAACATATCTTTTGGTAAATACCTTAACATATCTATTGATAAATACCTTAATATATCTATTGGTAAATACCATAACATATCTTTTGGTAAATACCTTAACATATCTATTGGTAAATACCTTAACATATCTAGACTATTGGTAAATACCTTAACATATCTATTGGTAATTACCTTAACATATCTATTGTAAGTTTCCCTCAGCTGATAGGTATCCCTAAGAGCAAATATTCTGATAAAATCATCCTCATCTGTACCAAAACTATCAACACCAGCATTAAACAGGACTTCAGCATCAGCCTGAGCTCTTTCAGGATTAATCAGTTTTTCCATATCAATCGTAAAGGCACCAGTAGGTAAATCTTCATCTGTTTCCTCATCATGAAACATGACTGGTACCACAGCATCATTTAACTTCTCTTCTTTAACTTCAGCTCTGTTCCCCTACAATAATAGATTGTCCAATATAAACACTCAGAAAAGTAGAAAATCTATGGTTAAAAACTCATGTGTTTCAAATTACTCCCTTGTTATCTTGGAAACTTGATAGCCATCACGCAAATGTTCAGCTTGCAATAGCCATTGTAAAATAAATTGAATTTCTCCTTTGGATCTTTTAATGAAATAATTTGCTTAAAAGTGTGCTGAAGGAAAACCATGGTCTATTATCTGCAATTTGATGTTGTACCATATTTTGATAACTAAAATGAAACCCAACTAGAATCTGAGAGGAAAGTAGGTGGAGCTTAGCTATGGTACAACATGTTCATTTTGGTGTTACATACCTGCCAACTTTTTATCTCCATGGTGGATTTTAAGAACCAGATGACCTAATGCTCCTCTTATATTGTCATAAGTGTTTTTAGTCTACTACTATATTGCTTGAATGAGTTTGTATGAGCTTAAATACCCTTATTACTCATTTGAATGGTCTGATGTTATACCAAGGCCATTTTCTGAAATTTATCCCCCTCACAACTTTTTAGGAAATTGAACAACAGATTAAATCTGAGAGAAAAATTCATTTGTTGCCTTAAGTGTTAGGTAATACTCCTTAACATTGTGTCTTGAGGCTTTTGCCGCCTCTCCAAAATTTGTATTATTTTAAATGTGAAGGAGACCAAAGCTCCCCTTCATGGAACTGCATATATTGTCAATGCATAGACTGTTTATATGGTTCACTCAAAATTGCCTAGTTTACCCTCCCACCCCTTTTCACCTGGCCGTGGGGATTGCTCACTGTTGAAGAAATGAATGTATCTCATATGATTTGCATGAAGCGATCCTTTTCATTACTTTTCCAAAGTAAGGGGTCTCCAGGATAACATCAGTGGTTCAGTAGGATTTTTTTTATCTGATTTGACATTAATACACATTAGAAAACATAATCCTAGAAATGCTCTCATTTCTTCAGTAGTTGGTGTAACCCATGTGGATTTATTTTTATCAGGATGCTCAAGAATTTGTTTATTAGCATATCTGTCTGTCTCCTGTATAATGAATTGCAAGATTTCATTTGTGAACAACGTGGCAGAAACAAGTGTGGTTAACCCCTTTTGTAATAGATAAAATTATCATGCCACCTATCAGCTTCAGTAAGACGGTCACCAGCCTCGTCAACAAGGGGGGTCATCATTTTCATCAGAAAATTCATTTTCACTTTCATTAACATCTAATTCACCTATTCCAATTTGTTCAAGCCTCTGATTGTAAAGCTATGCAGTAGCATCAACATCATTTTAAAAAAATCCTTCAAACTCTTCATCCGAAGACTCCGACATTTTGTAACTTTCAGCCAGACTACAATACTATATGTATACTATAATTTTGCTATGGGACCACCTTTTAGCCTTGAATATTTTGATTGGCTGACCAAAAATAAAGATTTCCTAATTTAAGAGATAACCTGAAGGTGAAAACTGTAAACTTCCGATCGTCAACAGTGTGTAAATGAAAAACATGGAAAGATCAAACGAAAAGAGGCTGAAATTATCGGCTTTTCTTTTTATTAATCACTCTCAAGTACAGAGTATAACTTTTAAAAACAGCGATATGTAAATGGTTGAAAGATTTCACGTGTTAGGTAATAAACTTTCAATTTTCAAAGCAATCACGTTGAGAGCACATGTCTGACAAGTTTGATAAATGGTAGCACAGAAATGCGAATTGAAAGTACCATTAAATGACACAACTATTACTTTTATTGCCAAAATTTATACATTATATAAAAATCTGAAACCTGTTTACACACTATGGTAACGGACGCTTTTAACAGCTTTAAGTAATTAATCTGATTTTAAAACTGAAAGTACATAGGCATATTGCATTTTTCATTTTCCATGATGCTTTGAGGCATCACATTGCCATTACCAGATAATGCTTTCAGGCATCATACGGCAGTTACCAGGTCACAGATGCCTTGAGTCATCGAACCCCTTGAATAGGTTACTGCTAATATAATCCTTACACAAAAAATCCTTACAAAAAATGTGCATACCTTCTTACTGAAAATTTCATTTGGAACTAATGTTTATACATAGCAAACAGCTTTACCAAAAACACAGTAGGATGCCATTGAAGACTTTATATTGACCTCTAAATGTCTTTTGGTTTTTTGTGTCATCAGGATGTGATCTCAATGACATATGTACTTCATATCTTCTCTTATTCATATTTTTTCATGGTATTAGGTATGTTTTTAATGATAATCCAATATAATATAAAATATAGGGACCAAAGTTTTTAAAATTCTTGAATTTTGTACAAAACTGCAACAAAAGTGCACACACTGAAATGTCTCTTGAAAAAACAGACCAAGACACAAAAACTTAACATTGATCAATGAACCATGAAAATGAGTTAAAGGTCAGATGAAACCTGCCAGACTGACATGTACCCATTACAATCATTCCATACACCACATATAGTTGACCTGCTGCTTATAGTATTTCAGAAACAGACCTAATCAAGTAACTTTAACATTAATCACTGATCCATGAAATGAGGTCGAGGTCAGGTGAACCCTGTCTGACAGACGTCTGTAGACATTGCAAGGAACCCATATATCTAATATGGTTATCCTATTACTAAAGATAAGTCAGAAATTGACATGACAAAAAACTTTTTTTCAGGCAGTCGTTGAACCATGAAAATGAGGTCAAGGACATTAGACATAAGACAGACGGAAACTTTGTCACATAAGGTATCTGCATACAAGATATGAAGCATCCAGGTCTTATACCTTCTGAAATATAAAGCTTTATACAAATAGTTTATGCCGCCGCCGGATAGTAATACCTATGTCTCGCATACTGAGACTTTTGTCGCAGGCGAGACAAAAACTGAGATAATATCATCAAAATGTATATATGAGCCAAGGCTTTACCCTAAAAGCTATTTTGTTACAATATTTATTTTACAAAGAATCTGTTATAGTGTGTAAAATATCTTTTTATGTAAAACCTTGGCTTATATCTATTTTGTCCAAACAGTCATATTCATTTATACTGTTGTTGACTAATTATAGTTAAATCTTAAGTATCAATAAATTGCTTCGCTGAGCGCAGATGGATCAGGGCTTCCAAAATTTTTTTGAGCCAGCCGGACATTTCATATCTTATCCCGATTTTAAATCCCTTTAGACTTAGTAAATTAGGCAATTATGATAATCAGTTGGCCATCATATAACCAATGATTGACATTAAAATGATATTAAACTTTACTTTGATATAAACTCGATGTTCTGACGTAAATGGTTAAATTGAAAGTGCAGCATTCGAAGTGTGCAACATCAGCGTACTAATTCTGCTTAATTCTGCTTTAGACTCTTTATTTGTGCAAAATAACGTTGTCAAAAACTTTACTTTCGTTTTTAAAAATCACATTTTCCTAATGCCGGATGTTGACTTGACAATGGTAAATCACGGATCAGAGACGGAAACGTAATATCTGTGTACTTTTACGATTGAGTTAAGTAGCCTTTTCAAGTTATTTCTTCAAGAAAATACTCGAAATGAACGTTAGATAAAGGTATCAATGATAATTTTAGCATTATTGAAGACTTAGGATGCATTATTAAATTTCCCACCAGTGCACAATAGACAAAAGACACATGCACATATGTGTACTAGTTCAAACAACATGGTTCTGACGATTATTCGTTTAAAACCTTTTCAAATTTTTCATCAAATCATATTTATTAATGTATTTCTTATAATTTCAATCTTTTAGACTAAATTAATTAGATGCAACCCGCTGAAATGTAAGAAAATAACTATGAATACCCTTTAGCGTACCCCAGTATTTAACACGTTGTACAGGGTTTTTAAATATAATAATGAATATCATGCAAATTTGAATTCATTTATAAATGTTCTTATTTGAAGAATTATTTTAAAATCTAAGGATACTTTTTTAAAACTGAATACTCATTTACAATAATATCTACAAAGCGTAATTAAATGGGATGTTCCATACACGCTTACATGTTTGACCTCGTTTACCTGATCACCTTTATGTCCATTGTTATGCATCATCAATTCTATTGATTAAGACAAGCTAAGGTCTCTCATCAAATATAATGGCCTGTAATCAGTGAATGATTTATGGCTCCAATATTACTTATTGAAGTGATAATTGTTTGACAGCTTGTTGTTTTTTAAATAAAAGATCAAATGTTTTTTTCTACGTTTTATTGATGTACCAAGCCGTGCATTTATGTACCAAAAGGATTAGACTAACTGAGACACTTCAAAGTATGAAATATGCTGCATTTGTTTAATTAAACCCAAATATGACCGAAATATCTTTGTGAAATAGATTGCCACAATTATAAACTATAATGCCCAAACGGACATTTTTACCAATCAATAGTTGGTAAAAAAAGTGATATGACCGTTTTATGAAATGCCTTGAATAACAAATAGTGGCAAACCTTATGATATATGACCGTCTGAGGTAAATAAATTTTGGTCAAGTCCGGAATATATGACCGTTTTGGAAGCAATGAGCTGGATACGACCGCAGATGTCCAACCCTGAAAAGTTGGGGCCAAAATGGACACAATATTCACGCTTGATACAGGTCTGAATTTGGATTGTAACTAAATTTTTGACACATAGGTTTCTGACACAGAATAACTGTAGTCAAAGAACTTCAAATTGGTTATATGATTTGAACCCCCCAAAAAAATAATTTTACCCCGGTTTTTTGCTTTTGTGCAATACACTATGCTGTTGAATATTAACCCCCAAAAAAAAAATATTTGAAGAAATTTTCTTTTCATTTCTGAAATCTGAAATGAGAAAAATTGTTCCCCCCTCCAATTTTTTTCACCTCCCCCCTTTTCTTTATTCCCCCCAAAAAAATCTTTCCCTCAAGATATGGTCAGTATCTCAATTCAAATTTCTAATGGAGTTTGCAACCATATTTACCCATTTAAATACATCATAAAAGTTTTAAAATATAAAATGACATACATAGTCATGGCTAAAATTAATATTAATTAATAGTAACTGCTAAAAATAAATTGACAGCCAATCACCTCGAGACAATCATCATTTCTTAATACATAATTTACAAGCAGTGTAAAGGAGGTAAAACAGTGTTCTTTTAATTGATTTGGATTACCTCCTTTACACTGCTTTTAACTTGTCCTTTAACCAGAAAAACCCTTATTATTCCTCTTTTTTTGCCCCTAATTACTAATTGGTTTGAGCTATAACCCCCAAAGTCAATCCTAACCATCCCTTTGTAGTATGGAAACTTGTGGTGTAATTTCAAAGAGATTTATACGCTTTAACACAAGTTATTGTCTGGAAACTACAAAAATGCTTATTTGGACCCCTTTTTGGCCCTTAATTCCTAAACAGTTGGGACCATAACCCCCAAAATCAATCCCAACCTTCCTTTAGTGGTTATAAACCTTTTGTTAAAATTTTATTGATTTCTATTTACTTATACTAAAGTTATTATCCGGAAACCATCTGTTTTCGGACGACGCTGACGACGACGATGACAACGTGATACCAATATACGACCAAAAATTTTTAATTTTTGCGGTCGTATAAAAAGGATATTCATATTCTTGTTTTACTTGTTAAAGGGGAGATAACTTGTGATTACCTGTGCAGCAGAAATGAGAATTCTTTTTAGGTCTCCACTGGTATCATCCTCTATGTTGCAATCTAAATCTTTATCTGTGGCACAGTCATCAGGGTTAATATCTGCAATACACATTTTTAAACTATCTTATTAGAAAAATTTCAATAGAATAGAGTGGTGAATTCATTTACAACTTTTATAGACATGGCTTTCTTTAAACAAGGCAAATGCAGGTTTTCTAAGGGGTCATCCATAATTGTCAACCATTTTCCAAAGTGTACAAAACATACACGTTTTCAGACCCCCCCCCCCCACCCTCCCTCAAAAAGTGTACATCTACCATTTTCAGATTTCAAGACAAGAATCAATCATTCTTGATAAAAAGAAGATCCTGTCTATTATAGTTTAGTTTAATATAGAAATTTGCATTGAAAATAAACTGAAACATATCTGACTGTTTTATTTGATGACATCTATCTATGATGCTTGTGTTTTGTCAGAATAAAGAATATAAAGATACCATTTTGTTGTTTTGTTGGTTTTAATGAAGGGAATAGATGCATTTACACGCAGATTGTATACCAAGAAATTACACTGAAAGCAAGCAATCAAGCATTCCGGAAATAAATAAAAAGCGTACGGTAAAAATGTTGATTTTTTAACCCCCTCCCTCCAAGTGTACGTTTTGTACACTTTGGAAAATGGTTGACAATTATGGATGACCCCTAATAGTGTGTTTAACCTTTAGTCATTTTTTTGTTGTTGTTTAATATGTCTTTTCTTTAGTTTTGTGTCAGTGGTTGTTGTGGTTTATCTTACTATCCAATATTTTTTGGTAATTCCTGGAAACTAGAGGCTCCAAGGAGCCTGCATTGCTCACCTGATATTTTTGTTTACAATTGATGCATGAAATAATGCAACCATTATACTTTTGCTTTAGTTTCAGAGATATAAGCCTAAAACTGCATTTTACCCCTATGTTCTATTTTTAGCCATTTCGGCCATGTTGGTTGGCAGGCAGGGTCATTGGACACTTTATTTAAACTAGATACCCTAATGATGATTGTGGCCAAGTTTGGTTAAATTTGTCTTAGTAGTTTCAGAGGAGAAGATTTTTGTAAAAGATTACAAAAATTTACGAAAAATTGTTAAAAATTTACTATAAAGGGCAATAACTCCTTAAGGGGTCAATTGACAATTTTGGTCATGTTTGACTTATTTGTAGATCTCACTTTGCCGAACATTATTGCTGTTTACAGTTTATCTCTAGCTATAATAATATTTAAGATGATAACCAAAAACTTGAAAATTTCCTTAAAATTACCAATTCAGGGGCAGCAACCCAACAACGGGTTGTCTGATTCGTCTGAAAATTTCAGGGCGGATAGATATAAGCCAAAAACTGCATTTTACCCCTATGTTCTATTTTTAGCAATGTCGGCCATGTTGGTTAACAGGCGGGGTCATCAGACACATTTTTTAAACAAGATACCCTAATGCTGATTGTGGCCAAGCTTGGTTAAATTTGGCCCAGTAGTTTCAGAGGAGAAGATTTTTGTAAAAGTTAATGGACGCCAAGTGATGAGAAAAGCTCACTAGGCCCATTGGGCCAGGTGAGCTAAAAAAAGTCTGACTTACTTCCATAAACAGATTTCATTTCCTCAATTTGTGCATTTGTCCTGGTCATTAAAATCTCAATCAATACAGATTCATCAGTACCTAGTCCCTGATAAAACAAAAAAGTATATACATCTAAAAAAGCATCAATAATACAGTAATAAATTTTGGTGGCGTAAGAGATTATATCCTTAGAATTAGTATAGTTTTCTGTTAAGAGTATTTTTAATGGAGTTTTGTCTTCTGTTGTTTTCTTGTTGGCCATCTTGTCTGTTTTAACTGGATTAATGGTTTTTGGTGGTGTTGTCTTGGTATATTTTCCTTCCTTCTGAATGAACAGATAATGGAATATTTCAATTAATAGGCAAAATGAGCCTGGAAGAATAATGCAATTAATCATAACTCAGCAGGACTGTTACAGATAGTTTCTACCACTGTATCGAGTGTGATACGATATCTATCCACTCAAGATAGTCAGATTTTTAAATTTAGATATTTTAATATTTAAAATTAACAGTCGTGAGTGGATAAACATCCTATTGCATTAGATTTGGTGTTGGAATCTATTTCTCTTAATGATTTTTAAACCATGTGCAGACAAACTCAATCCTTCTTTTCGAATGATCAGCAAAAAGATATGTTCTTTCTATGTGAGGTCATCAGGCATGGTCGTGTTTTTTCATGGCGTCACAATAAGAAATTCAGAGGAAAGCATTAGAAAATTTGACGTCATAATCGAATTTTGACCAATGAAGAACTGCATGAGATCAAACCACCTGTTCAGATTAAATAAAAATAATCAACAGGTCAGAAAAAGGATAAATCGTGCAAGAATTAGAGAAATTTTATTATCAGTTGTTATATTTTTATTCTACTGGTTTCTTAACTTGTATACTTAAAAAATACACAAACATCTATTGTCTGTAATTGGCTGTTTCAAAATCTAATTAATTCTGAGTAATATTTTCAAAAGTCACAGTCACACCAAAACATCGTGATTGGCCAACAACATCCTAAAAATAGAACTTCTACCAATGATTTGATTGACAAAGAAATTACCCATATAGTTCTTTTGATTCTGAAATTGGGAATAGATTGAAATAATTTCATGCTACTCAATAGGTACAATACACTCTAAACAATAACTAATATTTTTGCAAGCAATCTATGTACATTTTAATGATTTTTAATAATAATGTAAATATAGATTGTCTTAAATGAATCTATCCATATATGAATACATTAATAAAGTATATAAGGATCTCATGGAAATAAATTGCTTCAAAGTTAGCTAGAAAGGGCTAAACATCTGTGAAAATAAGTTGATTTTATGAGTATTTAGACTTGCTACAAGTCCTTCTCTCTAACCAATCTGTATAAAGTTACCCAAATTATTTCTTACAATACCAGAGACAGGAAACAAATGTTTATTTGTATTGTGATAAGAATCCTTCCTTTCTAAGCTAAGAATATATTAGATATAAGAAGATGTGGTATGAGTGCCAATGAGACAACTCTCCATCCAAGTCAAAATTTATAAAAGTAAACCATTATAGGTCAAAGTACGGTCTTCAACACGGAGCCTTGGCTCACACCGAACAGCAAGCTATAAAGGGCCTCAAAAATTACTAGTGTAAAACCATTCAAACAGGAAAACCAACAGTCTAACCTATATAAAAAACAAGAAACACTTATGAACCACATCAACAACGGACAACTACTGAACATCAGATTCCTGACTAGGACAGGTGCAAACAATTGCAGTAGATATGTTAGATATTGTCACTATTACAGCATTATTTATGGTGACTAAGGAAACACCGGAACAAATAGGCTATTCCTTGTATCATGTCTTTCACCAGAAAAAAATCATCAATTTCTCACGCCTTTATCATACATCATTTACTAGATAGAAGGTGCATGTGTATCCCTGCACTATTAAAGTTTCAAGGACTTTTAGAATCATCATTCTGCTAGGTAGTATAGAAATAGTCTATGTTCTGTAGGTACGTAATCTTAATTCACATAAGACTGAAGGGAGGGTGTTCAAAGTATTAGATTTTAATTTCTCAAATATTTTGTGCAGTATAAGATCAAACTTTTTCACTCATTCGTCCAACATGTGTTGGAAGTGACGATGCCTACATTTTGGTCACGTGATGGAAGTAACATAACAGATTCAATTAACTACCGTATCCCGGAATTAACTGGTGTATTGTAGGAACTCTAGATCTGACAGTTGTTTATCATTCGATCAGTCAGCTTTTATTTGAAAATTGAGATTTGTTGTAAGGTACGTCTTAAATACAAAACAGGAACGTAATACTTTACCTGTATTGCCTTCTTAATGTTCAGGGCATCATACAAAGCTGGTGGTTCAAACAGGGCAATTAAAACTTCACTGAAATCACCACTTACTTCCCCATTCAAAGTTTCAATTAAATCCTACAAATACAAACACTAGCTAGAGACATAGCAATAAAACATAAGATATTCAAATATTGTTTGTAATGTGATACCAAAAATATACCTTTATGATAAATTTTAAAATGTGATTTGAATAGAATAAACCCTTGCACACGCTTTGTGCAAATTCAAAAGTGATCAAACACGCTTGTGATATAAAGCAAAGACGGCAATTAACCATCTGATTGGATAGTTATAACTAATCAAGTACAATGATTGGTTAGCATCCTAGATACCAATCATAATAATTAATTAAAAAACAGGGTTGCAAAATAAATGATATCCAACATTGATTGGTTAAATGAAACTTCCTGGAGATGGTAATTAGGTAATTGTAAGCAAATTGCAAAAAAGCAAGTTCCCCTGTATCAACAATTCATCTTATTTAAATAAACACACAAATTAAAGGAAAAGAAGCTTCGTATGAAAAACATACAAATTTCAATTCATTTATATAACAAGAGTGCACACACTGAAATGTCTCGCCTTTTTTACTAATCATTGATATTATGTTGATAGTCCTAAATATAAAGCTTTATTACAACTGTCACATAAACTTAACATTAACCAAGAAAACTAAACATTGACCAATGAACCATGAAAATGAGGTCGAAGGTCAGATGAACCATGCCAGGCAGACATGTACAGTTAACAATTCTTCCATATAACAAATATAGTTGACCTATTGCTTATAGTTTAAGACCAAAACACAAAAACTTAACACTGAGCAATGAACCGTGAAAATGAGGTCAAGGTCATATAAAACCTGCGCGACTGACATAAAGATCATAAAATATTTCCATACACCAAATATAGTTGACCTATTGCATATAGTATTAGAAAAAAAGACCAAAACTCAAAAACTTACCTTTGACAACTGAACCATGAAAACAAGGTCAAGGTCAGATGACACCTGCCAGCTAGACATGTACACCTTACAATCATTCCATACACCAAATATAGTAGACCTATTGCATACAGTATAAAAAAACAGACCAAAACACAAAAACTTAACTATAACCACTGAACCATGAAAATGAGGTCAAGGTCAGATGACACCTGCCAGCTAGACATGTACACCTTACAATCATTCCATACACCAAATATAGTAGAACTATTGCATACAGTATAAGAAAAACAGACCAAAACACAAAAACTTAACTATAACCACTGAACCATGAAAACAAGGTCAAGGTCAGATGACACCTGCCAGCTAGACATGTACACCTTACAATCATTCCATACACCAAATATAGTAGACCTATTGCATACAGTATAAGAAAAACTGACCAAAACACAAAAACTTAACTATAACCACTGAACCATGAAAATGAGGTCAAGGTCAGATGACACCTGCCAGCTAGACATGTACACCTTACAATCATTCCATACACCAAATATAGTAGACCTATTGCATACAGTATAAGAAAAACAGACCAAAACACAAAAACTTAACTATAACCACTGAACCATGAAAATGAGGTCAAGGTCAGATGACACCTGCCAGCTAGACATGTACACCTTACAATCATTCCATACACCAAATATAGTAGACCTATTGCATTCAGTATAAGAAAAACAGACCAAAACACAAAAACTTAACTATAACCACTGAACCATGAAAATGAGGTCAAGGTCAGATGACACCTGCCAGCTAGACATGTACACCTTACAATCATTCCATACACCAAATATAGTAGACCTATTGCATACAGTATAAGAAAAACAGACCAAAACACAAAAACTTAACTATAACCACTGAACCATGAAAACGAGGTCAAGGTCAGATGACACCTGCCAGCTAGACATGTACACCTTACAATCATTCCATACACCAAATATAGTAGACCTATTGCATACAGTATAAGAAAAACAGACCAAAACACAAAAACTTAACTATAACCACTGAACCATGAAAACGAGGTCAAGGTCAGATGACACCTGCCAGCTAGACATGTACACCTTACAATCATTCCATACACCAAATATAGTAGACCTATTGCATACAGTATAAGAAAAACAGACCAAAACACAAAAACTTAACTATAACCACTGAACCATGAAAATGAGGTCAAGGTCAGATGACACCTGCCAGCTAGACATGTACACCTTACAATCATTCCATACACCAAATATAGTAGACCTATTGCATACAGTATAAGAAAAACTGACCAAAACACAAAAACTTAACTATAACCACTGAACCATGAAAACGAGGTCAAGGTCAGATGACACCTGCCAGCTAGACATGTACACCTTACAATCATTCCATACACCAAATATAGTAGACCTATTGCATACAGTATAAGAAAAACAGACCAAAACACAAAAACTTAACTATAACCACTGAACCATGAAAACAAGGTCAAGGTCAGATGACACCTGCCAGCTAGACATGTACACCTTACAATCATTCCATACACCAAATATAGTAGACTTATTGCATACAGTATAAGAAAAATAGACCAAAACACAAAAACTTAACTATAACCACTGAACCATGAAAATGAGGTCAAGGTCAGATGACACCTGCCAGTTGGACATGTACACCTTACAGTCCTTCCATACACCGAATATACTAGACCTATTGCTTATAGTATCTGAGATATGGACTTGACCACCAAAACTTAACCTTGTCCACTGATCCATGAAATGAGGTCGAGGTCAAGTGAAAACTGTCTGACAGGCATGAGGACCTTGCAAGGTACGCACATACCAAATATAGTTATCCTACTACTTATAATAAGAGAGAATTTAACATTACAAAAAATGTTAACTTTTTTTTCAAGTAGTCACTGAACCATGAAAATGAGGTCAAGGACATTGGACATGTGACTGACGGAAACTTCGTAACATGAGGCATCCATATACAAAGTATGAAGCATCCAAGTCTTCCACCTTCTAAAATATAAAGCTTTTAAGAAGTGAGCTAACGCCGCCGCCGCCGCCGGATCACTATCCCTATGTCGAGCTTTCTGGGACAAAAGTCGCAGGCTCGACAAAAAACCTTTTTAAATGTTTTTATTATTTTTTTGTCATTGAGTTGCTGTATCATGGACATATGACCCCACATCTCATTTCAATATATTTGATTTTCCTTAAATTTGAACTTTGAAGCAACAGTTATTTTGGTATTGACATCCACCTTTTTTGTATTTATGCCACTCCCTTTTTTAAGACAAATTTTGATTGATTGTTTGTTGGTTGCCTAACAACCAGTGGCAAATGACAAATTTTGAAGCTAGCCACTAATAATTTAAGACTATTCAGCAGTATGATCAGGGATATTTTTAGTTTTTACTGTTGACTATCTAATTTTTTACACTTTAGTTGATAAGATATATCCCCTCATTTTGTTTTCAATTTGAACCATTTCTGTTAAAAAAAAGTACAGTTTTTGTCTGTTTTGCAGCAGCTAACTCAAGGATTTTCTCATTTATCAAAAAAGTCCAAACAAAATGTCAAATTATCCTGTTTAAAAATACAACTCCTCTGAAAATTCAAAATTGCATACTTGTAATTTTATTTCATGAGACCTGTGTTTGTTATGATATGTATCTCTTTCACTGTTGCTGTTGAGATCACATCATATCATGACCATAAGTCTCCTTTACCACTGCGAACTATAAAATTAATCCAGGAAGAGGAATGATTAATACCGACAGTACTCCTCTTAGGGTAAATTGCTGCTTCAGGATATGAAACTTAAGAAATGGGTGTTAGATATACCTTTCCAAATGCTGTTTTAAACATTTTCTTTAACTCTTGACGTTGACTGTTACATCTTGTTGCACAGATATGTATAATAGCTTCCTCATTTGTTCCTAGAAATATAAGTATATTTGTCTAAGTAGAAAATATCTTCATCTTACTCTTCTGCACTTTAAGGTGGTACCTAACACTACAGGGAGATAACTCTGTAAAAATCAGCTAAACGTTTTAATTACGTTGTATTGTTAAGGAAATATTAAGCTTCTCAATGATCAAAATTAGTGTTTGTCAAACTGCTATATAACCAATGAAATTTTTCTGATAAAGTGGTTGGTTCAAATTTTTTGAAATTTTTATATTTTTGTCAAAGGGTCAAAGTAAACATTTTGTCAAAATTTTATGAAAATTAAACGAGCCAAATTAATATTAGTCAAGGTGTTGGGTACCACCTTAATATAAATGTACAATTTTTTGTTTAGGCCTTGAGTCTTAAGTGAACATACCAAAAAATTTCAGAACACAAAAATATTTTTATAGATACTATCCAAACCCTTGGTTGCTGGACCTCTCTTTTTTTTTTTTTTCTTTCTTTCTTTTTAATAAATATTCTTTAATATCTCAACTTGTTTTCATAATTTAATGTGTTTTTGCTCTTATCCACAATAACATAATTTTATATATATGATGCCCCTCATAAACTCAAAGACATACATATTCAGAAACTCAGAAACATCAAGGGAATTTAAAGGTACCTGTACATGGAAAAAATGAAAGTTGTTGATATTTTTAACATCGCTTATTTCATCTTTGACATCCGGATTTCTTAAATGTTTGAGATGCACAACATTTTAATATCTTTATATACAGACTAGTTGGATATTTTATGAATTAGTTTTCAAAAGGCCTAGCGTGATAGGTTTACAATAATGGGGAAATAACTTTAAAACATTGAAAAATTGTTTCCCCATTTCTATTTACCCAAGAATAATTGCATGAGCTTGGCCTTCCCTTTTTCACTCCTATTTTCCCTTAGTTTTTCTGTGATTATTCTTAAAATTTGTTATGTCTAGACTTAGGTCAACATGTTTAAATCTATAAGTAAGGTAAAAAAAATAAAACAAAAATATAATGCATCAGTCTTCTGTAAAAACATGATATGAGCTGCGTTGGATAGAAATCAACCTTATGCAAGTGCACGAATATATATACGTGTATAAGAATTTGATTGATTTTGGAACATTCAAATACGAAATAAGAGCAAATTTTGGTCATTTTGTGGATTCTCTTATAACTGCTCAATTTTCAAACAGTAACAGACTATACAAAGAGAATTTGTCAACCCAAAATAAGTTAACAGATGTATTGATATCTATTTGCATAAGGTCGATTTCTATCCGACGCAACTCATATATAAAAGGTTTAAAAGAATTCAATGCACATGCTTATGTCTCAAAAAAAAAAAAAAAGTGTGTAAATGAGTGTAAATGAAGTCAGATTGGTGCAAATGCAAAACACAGATTTTCAACAACGATTCACTAAACATGGCAATGAAAAAGTAAACTTGTGGCTGATGTAGAAAACTGACAATATGTCAATCCTCCAGAGTCCATACAGTGTTTTAAAAATAAAAATTTCCTCCGCAAACTTCCCCTACCTCCATCCCAGAAAAACAAGGGGGGGGGGGGGGGGGGGGGGGGGGGGGGACGAAAAATAAAAAACAGTTGATTTAGAATATATTGAAATAGGTATCAATCTTTCACAGTAAAATTAAATAAATGAAAAGGCAAAATCATTAAATGTGTTAATAATCAGCAAAATAACTATATTTGCACATGAAACCAACCAATATATAAAATTTCTAAACTTTACCTAATCCTTGCATAGCTTCATCAAAATACATGCAATCTCTTTCAGCATCCCAATCCTGGCCTGTTAAATCTGTATCTGGTTCTTTTTCTTTAATGAATGGTACAACTGGGTCTTCTGCAGTGTATGTCTTATACGGCTTAACAGTTCCTTCTGTAGGGTCAATAGTACCATCCTTAGCTAAATGACTAGCCAAGCGGGCTATGTATGCTGAGCGAACTTTTTCTAGAAAATCATCTTCTTCTGCACATTTTTCTGCTACTTTCTGTGCAATTTTCTGTCAAAATTAATAAAAATATTTAAAAAAGTGTCAATTTTTCTTAAATGCCCTTTTTATACGACCGCAAAAAAATTTTGTGGTCGTATATTGGTATGACGTTGGCGTCGTCGTCGTCGTCCGAATACACAATGGTTTTCGCACTCTAACTTTAGTTTAAGTGAATGGATCTCTATGAAATTTTACCATAAGGTTCAATACCACAATAGGAAGGTGGGGATTGATTTTGGGGGTTATGGTACCAACAGTTAAATAATTAGGGGCCAAAAAGGGGCCGAAAATAAGCATTTTTGTAACTTCCAGACATAACTTGTGGGTTATTGTATGGATCTCTTTGACATTGTACTACAAGATTCCATATCACAAAGGGTCGATGATGGGATTGATTTTGGGGTTAATTTCCTCGAAATTTTAGGAATAAGGGGCCAAAAGGGGGCAAAAAACAAGCATTTTTCTAGTTTCATAACAATAACTTGTGTGTAAGTGTATGGATCTTTCTGAAATTTTACTACAAGGTTCCATTTCGCAAAGGGATAGCTGGAATTGAGTTTTGTGGTAATTGCCCAAAACGTTTAGTAATAAGGGGCCTAAAAAGGGGTGAAAAATAAGCATTTTTTAGTTTCTAGACAATAACTTGTGTTCAAGTGTATGGATCTCTCTAAAATTGTATTACAAGGTACCATACCACAAAGGCAAGGCTGTTATTGAGCTTGGTTTGGGGGGAAGGGGGGGGTGATGAATTATAGGGGGGGGGGGGGTCAAAAAAGGGGTAATTATTTTTTTTCGTTTAAGGAATAAGGGGAAAAAAGGTTAAAAAACTAGGGTTTCCATTTTAATAGACAAATAATTGAGTAAAGAACATTATTTAAAAGCAGTGTAAGGTTGGTAATTTAAACTCATTTAAATATCTCACCTGCACTATGTTTGAATTATGTAAATTGGAAATTTGCCAATTATTTTAGTATAATAAACTTCATTGGAAATTAGCCAATATAAAATTTGGCTGATGAAGGTTTTTTGTTTACCTTTAGTCTGACTATGATGTCATTTTCTATTTTAATAGCCTTATGATGTAGTTAAATTTTTTTTAATACTTTTATGATGTATTTTAATGCGCTTTTATGGTTGCAAATTTATTGTTTTAATATAATAAACTCCATTGGAAATTTACCAATAGTTTGTTTATTTTTAGCTATGACTATGATGTCATTTTCTATTTAATTTTAAGGTTACAAATTAATTTCAGTTTTAAATATTATTGTAAAATGTTTGCCCAAAACATTTATTAATAAGTGGCCAAAAAAGGGGGCAAAAATAAGCATTTTTTTAGTTTCCAGACATTAACTTGTGTTCAAGTGTATGGATTTCTCTGAAATTGTACTTAAAGGTACCATACCACAAAGGGAAGTGGGTCAAAAAATTTTTGGGGGGGGGGGGATTTTTTTTCCTTTTTTTTTTCTTTAAAATTTTCCATTTTAAGTTGGTTAATTCTGATCACAAAGAGAAAGTTGGAATTGAGTTTGGGGGATAATTGCTCAAATGTTTAGGAATAAGGGGCTAAAAAAGGGGTTAAAAATAAGCATTTTTTTTTAGTTTCCAACAATTAATTGTGTTTAAGTAATTGGATCTCTGTGAAATTGTACTGCGAGGTACCATACCACAAACTGAAGGCTGGGATTGAGTGGGGGGGGGGGGGGAGGGGGGGGGGGGGGGGGGGTGTGATGTGTGAAAATTTTCCACTTAAAGTTGGTTAATTATTTCTGATTTAGATATAAAAGCAAATAATAATGATGTGGTTTGATTTTATCAAAAACTTAAATTGAAGTTATGTATATTGTAAATTTAGGTTACATTGGAATTTAAGAATTGGCTTTGGGGTAGGGTTATGGCTCAAACCTTTAAATAATAAGGGAAAAAAAGGTGAAAAAACAAGGGTTTCCAGGTTAATAGACAAATAAGTACAAAACATTATTTAAAAGCAGTGTAAGGTTGGTAATTCAAACTCATTTAAATATCTCACTTACACTGCTTTTAAATTATGTAAATTGGAAATTTGCCAATAACTTTATTGTTAATAAATGCATTGGAAATTTGCCAACAATTTTAGTATAATAAACTTCATTGGAAATTTGCCAATATAAAATTTTGCTGATGAAGGTTTTTTGTTTACCTTTAGCCTTGACTATGAAGTCATTTTCTATTTTTATAGCCTTATGATGTAGTTGAATTATTTAATACTTTTATGATGTGTTTAAATGGGGTTTTATGGTTGCAAATTTATTGTTTTAGTTTAATAAACTCCATTTAAAATTTGGTAATAAAAAAAATTTTTGTTTATTTTTAGCTATGATTATGATGTCATTTTCTATTTTACTTTTATGGTTGCAAAGAAATTTTTATTTTTAGATATTACTGTTAAATGATGCTGATTAAGGTTTTTGCTATGTTTAGCCATGACTATGATGTCATTTTCTATTTTAATATCTGTCATGATGTATTTAAATGGGCTTTTATGGTTACAAAGGAATTTTATTTTTAGATATTACTGTAAAATGTTGCTGATTAAGGATTTTGTTTATTTTTAGCCATGACTATGATGTCATTTTCTATTTTAATACCTTTATTATGTAATTTCCATTTTTAGATATTACTGTTAAATGATGCTGATTGAGGGTTTGAATGCTGGGATTGATTTTGGGGGTAATTGCCTCCAAATTTTAGGAATTAGGGGGCAAAAAACAAGCATTTTTCTAGTTTCATGACAATAACTTGTGTGTAAGTGTATGGATATTTATGAAATTGTACTACAAGGTTCCATATCACAAAGGGAAAGCTGGAATTGAGTTTGGGGGTACTTGCCCAAAACGTTTAGGAATAAGGGGCCAAAAATAAGCATTTTTCTAGTTTCCAGACAATAACTTGTGTTCAAGTGTATGGATCTCTCTGAAATTGTACTGCAAGGTACCATACCACTAAGGGAAGGCTGGGATTGTTTTTGGGGGTAATTGTCTCAAAATGTTAGGAATTAGGGGCCATAAAGGGGCAAAAAAAAAAGCATTTTTCTAGTTTCATGACAATAACTTGTGTGTAAGTGTATGGATCTTTATGACATTGTACTGCAAGGTTCCATATCACAAATGGAAAGCTTGGTTTGAGTTTGGGGGTAATTGCCCTAAACTTTTAGGAATTTGGGGCCAAAAAGGTGCAAAAAACCCAAGCATTTTTCTAGTTTCCAGACAATAATTTGTGTTCAAGTGTATGGATCTCTCTGAAATTGTACTGCAAGGTACCATACCACAAAGGGAAGGCTGGGATTGAGTTTGGGGGTGATGAATCATAAGGGGGTTTCAAAAAATTTGGGGGGGGGGGATTTTTTTTTCCTTTTTTTTCTTTAAAATTTTCCATTTTAAATTGGTTATTTCTGATTTATATATAAAAGCAAATAATAATGATATGGTTTGAATAGGTGAATTAAAAATTTTTAAGTTCTTAGACTACTTTCATTCTGTGTGAGAAACCTATGCTGTGTCAAATATTTAATTACAATCCAAATTCAGTGCTGTATCAAGCTTGAATGTTGTGTCCATACTTGCCCCAACTGTTCAGGGTTCGACCTCTGCGGTCGTATCAAGCTGCGCCCCAGCGGAGCATTTTATTGACTATTGTTAAGATAATATGCTCTATATGTTTCAGTTGAACTTGGACTCTCAACTATCTTAGCTTTCATTAACTATGAGTATAGTTTTGATCAGTCTTATAAAGTTTAGTACTTCATATAGTTTTTTCTTCAGATTTTCAGCTTTTACAACTGATCTGATGCATCCAGTTCATTTCAATAAATCAGGCCTAAAAAAATAACCTAGCTATATTTCTGCTAACCTAAGTATTACTTACTCAAATTTTAGTGCCTACCCTAAAATTTAAAGATCCAAACTTAAAAAAAAAAATATAATTCTTTTCACTTTCTCCTTACAATTACTAGTAATGTTGTTATTGAATAGGTGCTAATTATAAATAGCAGTGACCTTGATCAACATTTTATTTACAGTAAATTCAGAAATTATTGCATGTATTTATTATTGCGATTTTTGAAGACTGAAACTAAAATGCACGTTAAATTTTAGCGATTCAAGGACACGATTCATACAGATATATGTACATGCATTAGATATCTGAATGCAAGTTTTATTATTGCAATACTGAGACTAAGTCATATTATTTGCATTAATAAAATCCTCGCAACAATTTCTAAATTTACAGTACCTGTCTTTTTTTGCACTTCTTCTTGAACTTCTTCCTAGTTTCCTTAACCTCTTCCTCCTCATCTCCTTCATCTTCTTCATCCTCTACATCAGAGACCTCAACATCATCTAAATCCATTCCTAAACATTCAGCCTAAAGAAAATAGAAATCCATAGAACTAACCTTGTCAACAGTGATCACAAACCCCTGTACACCTGATCTACAGATAGACTCATCCTTTAAGAGGTATGGATTTTGCTCATTATTGAAGGTCATATGGTGACCAATAGTTGTTTACTTCTATGTCATTTGGTCTCTGGTGGAGAGTTGTCTCATTGGCAGTCATACCACATCTTATTTTTATATTGATTTCTTTTATGTCAATCTGTAGACATTTTGCCCATTAGGAGAATATGATAAAACTCAATTCTTTGTCCATAACCCCTTTTCTTTTCGCCTGAAGATCAACTTACACCTTATAATTCATTTCTTCTACAGAAACTCTCTATAAACAGTCCTCATATGACTTACATATACAATAATACCTTATCTTCTCAAAAGACTCTGTAACATGATGGTGTAACATTATTGTTTTATGATGTTCTTGGTATTTACAAGGCATTAGCCTATAGGTTTTTGAAGAAAACCAACTTAATCGTACAACATTTTAAAAGTTCAGACATCTTTTTAAAATCCTTAAAGGGGTTACAAATTCAACCAAAAAATAAAACATGATTTTTTTTGTTTCCAACATAAAAAAAAAGCGGAATAAAGAACTAAGATTTTGCTATTAGCAGTCAGTTTGGTTTAATTTCGTCAAAATAAGCTAAAAAACATCACTGGTGTATAATTTTTGACTTCCAAGTAAATAAATTAAGCTCAATTGAATCTATCTGTATTCATGCACCCTTTTAATTTGACCTGTAGTGGAGATAGGTGTGCATTTTTTCATCATGTGACTCATGCGTTTAAAAAAAAAATGTTAACATTGAAAAATGAAACAAGGGAGCCACCATTTTGTTTGACTGATTCCGCCCACAAAAATTATTCTTATACAGGTAAAATGATGACTTACATCTATTTATAACCTATAAAATGAAATCCAACAGACCAAGAAAAATCCAATTGCACATGCTGACTATCTATTATCTTTATTTATATTTATGTTTATATCAGGTTATATGACCATTGGCAGTCTTCAGAGGTTATCTTGATCCATAATTAGTTGGCATATAGTCTAAGTACACACAAAATGCTTATACATGCTTTGTTAATTGTTTCTTTTGAACATTTTTAGTAATTTGGATACATGTTTTAGTATGTTATAAATAAAATATGAGAATTTGGGTCAAATCAATGATCACGAATTTGGCAGCTAATGCCCCTTTAAAAGGACATATTTTCCAGGAAATTAATATTTTAAGGTCATAAAATTTATAAAAAAAAACAAAACACTTGCTATAATTTTCAGAGCCATCAAAATATATTTATTTAATTCTTTCTATTTTCTTTCATTTTATTACGACTTTTAACCAAAAAATGACAGAAAAAAGCTAATTGTTTCTTTTCCTTTGCCTTGTTGTTTAATGTGTTGTCATGTGCAGTCATATAATTGATGTTTCATCTTATTTGATAAACATGTGTAATACATTTGCATATCCCATAAGAATGTTGACTGCTAATCAAAATAAAGGCATATCATTGAAAATCAATGACAGTAACATAAATATTTCAAATAATAAAACTTACACCAGCTAGCTGAAAAGCTGCATCACTGTTAAACATCATGTTGTACACAATATTTGTTTGCTGTGATGGTGGTGCTTGCTGCATCTGTGGCTAAAATTAAATGAGAAAACAAACACATAGTCATGTTTTGTTCTAAATGAAAAGTTGGTTTTCCTGTTTGAATGGTTTTATACTAGTAATTTTTTGGGGCCCTTTATAGCTTGCTGTTCGGTGTGAGCCAATGCTCCATGTTGAAGGCTGTACCTTGACCTATAATGGTTTACTTTTATAAATTGTTACTTGTATAGAGAGTTGTCTCATTGGCACTCATACCACATCTTCCTATATCTACATCATAAGAACTTGCTACCAGTCGTCAAGTTCAAATAAAGACAGGTGTTTTTGTAAAGTTATACTAGGGTTCATTGTATAATAATATAATAATATAATAATAATAATAATAAATTCTTTATTTAAAGAGGGTATTTTTAACACAGTTTAGTTACAATAAACTAATCTTCCCTGAGGCCCTCACATACAAATATTACAATACAATCAAAAACAGATATTTACACATAATTAATTTACAGTCAAGTAGTTCAATGTATTATTTTTAGCATGATAAGATATAAAGCTGTTCAAGACATGTAGTAAAAAATAAAAAAATAAAATGAAAAATAAAAATAAAAAATATACAAATACATTGTAGACAAGAGTGCACACACTGAAATGTCTCGCCTTCTTTACTAATCATTGATATTATGTTGATAGTTCTAAATATAAAGCTTTATTACAACTGTCACATAAACTTAACATTAACCAAGAAAACTAAACATTGACCAATGAACCATGAAAATGAGGTCAAGGTCAGATGAACCGTGCCAGGCAGACATGTACAGTTAACAATTCTTCCATATAACAAATATAGTTGACCTATTGCTTATAGTTTAAGAAAAACAGACCAAAACACAAAAACTTAACACTGATCAATGAACCGTGAAAATGAGGTCAAGGTCATATAAAACCTGCGTGACTGACATATAGATCATAAAATATTTCCATACACCAAATATAGTTGACCTATGGCATATAGTATTAGAAAAAAAGACCAAAACTCAAAAACTTAACTTTGACCACTGAACCATGAAAACAAGGTCAAGGTCAGATGACACCTGCCAGCTAGACATGTACACCTTACAATCATTCCATACACCAAATATAGTAGACCTATTGCATACAGTATAAGAAAAACAGACCAAAACACAAAAACTTAACTATAACCACTGAACCATGAAAATGAGGTCAAGGTCAGATGACACCTGCCAGTTGGACATGTACACCTTACAGTCCTTCCATACACCGAATATACTAGACCTATTGCTTATAGTATCTGAGATATGGACTTGACCACCAAAACTTAACCTTGTTCACTGATCCATGAAATGAGGTCGAGGTCAAGTGAAAACTGTCTGACGGGCATGAGGACCTTGCAAGGTACGCACATACCAAATATAGTTATCCTACTACTTATAATAAGAGAGAATTTAACATTACAAAAAATGCTAACTTTTTTTTCAAGTAGTCACTGAACCATGAAAATGAGGTCAAGGACATTGGACATGTGACTGACGGAAACTTCGTAACATGAGGCATCCATATACAAAGTATGAAGCATCCAGGTCTTCCACCTTCTGAAATATAAAGCTTTTAAGAAGTTAGCTAACGCCGCCGCCGCCGCCACCGCCGCCGTAGCCGCTGCCGGATCACTATCCCTATATCGAGCTTTCTGCGACCAAAAGTCGCAGGCTCGACAAAAAACAGAATCTTATCAGGACTATGTTAAGTACTTCTTGATACTTTGTTTTAATTCACTATGTCATTATGTCATTATGTCATTATGTTGCTGTTTCCTTGTTGTTTGTCACTTTCATAGAAATTCTATAAATCAGTGATTGAATACATCTATGCCATGATGACATCGATCATAACAATTTGTTCATAAACCAATTGTAAAATCTTCAACTTAGTGAATAATCAGATAACTCTTAAAATTTGTTGGTGTTGGATTCTATTTGATTTCAAAATAAAAAATGAAGTTAATGTCAAATATGACAGAGCAACCAAATTCTAAATTAGGGACTTTCTGTTTTGAATTTTTCCTCGGAGTTCAGTATTTTTATTACTTTTCACCAAAAGGGCTTGCATATAGGTTGTGAATTAAAAATAACAGAGAGGACTGATCATAAATCTCACAACTCCACCAATCATTTTGAAATTGAATTTACTCTTCTTAATTTTAACACTTACTTGAGAATAATATTGGTTGTATGCTTGTTGTTGCTGACCTGAAAAATAAAAGAAAACAATTTATAAAAAAAAAGTTTTCAGATTATACATTTTGCCTCTATTCAACTTAAAATTTGATTCATTATTATTTCATTGTGATGTTGCTTATTTGTTTTTCCTTTTATTTCTCTAAGTGGGGCACACAAGGGGGGGGGGTCTGTATCACTTATCTGCTACAGAAAAAATATCGCCAGGTCATTAATTCGACTTTTATATAGACATACTATAGAAACTCTTTGTGTTGTTGATCATTTATGCAATTTACATGTTTCACCTAGCTCAATTTGTTTTTAAATAACAGCCAAAACTGCAAAAAATTGTAAAAATCAACATTTCAGGGGTAATAACTCCAAAAAAGGTTGTCAAATTGAATTTTCAGAGTAGATATTTTTTGCAGTTTACTTTAAAAATCTATCTCCTATAATTTTCTAAATAACAGCAAACAAATGTGAAAAATTTGGAAAACATGTATATTACTGGGATAAAAATGGAAAAACAGGTCAATAGATTTTTCTGAATTTTTAAGGTTAATATAGATCTTGTCATGCTGATCATTTTTGAAATTCACACTTTAAACCAAGCTCCTGTATTTAACACAGAAACTGAAATTTCAGGGGAAATAACTCCAAAATGAGTGCTTAGAATTTTCTCCAATTATCAGGGTGGACAAATCTTGTCATGCTGGTAATTTTTTTCAATTTCTAACTTTCTTCTAGCCTCTTTTATTTTTTGAAACAATGGTAAGGAAATGCTAAATAAGTAACAAAAAATCAGTAATTCAGGGGCAATAACTAAATAACATATCGACAGATTGTTCCAAAATTTTCAGGGTAAATAGAACTAATGTGACACATGCACTGACCATTTTTAATCTGTCAGTTTTTTCTCTCATTATTTCAGTTTTAGATATACAATGTATAAGCCAAAACTGTAGTCTGACCCCCTATCTATTTTTAAACATGGAGGCCAACATGCATGTTGGTTGATCAACCTGGAACAAAAACTCAAAATGTATAGTTCAAATCCTACAGATGAAGTAGTCAATCCATTGATCAGTGTCAGAGCAGAAAATTTTTAAAGAAAATTTTGTGCACGATGGAAGACAGAAGACGGACTGGAACCTTCAGGCCAGGTGAGCTAAAAAGAAGATGATGTGTATCCATTGAATAGACAGCAACCCAATGTTAACAAGAATGTGTCCATAGTACATGGATGCCTCACTGGCACTATCATTTTCTATGTTCAGTGGACCGTGAAATTGGGGTCAAAACTCTAATTTGGCATTAAAATTAGAAAGATCATATCATAGGGAACATGTGTACTAAGTTTTAAGTTGATTGGACTTCAACTTCATCAAAAACTACCTTGACCAAAAACTTTAACCTGAAGCAGGACGGACGGACAGATGGACGGAAGAACGGACACACAGACTGGAAAACATAATGCCCCTAAGTGGGGCATAAAAATAACCAAAAAAGACATCTAGGCTTCTAGTGGCTAATATACAAAAAACAAATCATACATAAAAGAACATACCATAATTAACATTGTAGGCAGAGTTTGAATATGTATAACCTCCACTATATGGGTTCTGTTGGTAAGGATTCTGGTAAGCATAGGGATTGTAACCCTAAAAAATAAAATAGAATGTTTAAAATTAATGGTACATGTACATTAGAATTCAATATTGATTCAGTCGATTTTGGAAATCATAGAGCTTGTAACACTTAAATAATCCAACAATTTACATTACTGATTTAAGGAAGTTCGCTTGTCATGTTTTGGAATTTTTGTCAGATTTTCGGAATCCTCTGGTTTCATCTATTTGAATGCCTTAAAAAATTTTGCCCATTGACCCCCATTTTCTTTTTAAAAATCTTTTACATGTATAATTATAAGCCATCTGTAAAAGTCTTATAAAATCTTAATTATTTTTTAATAGTTTTTGAGGACTTTTAACTTGTCAATGATAAAGCTATGAAAAATCAAGAGGGGATATTTTCCCACCAAAATTTCAATGGCTATATCTTGAAACAAGCACATTGACCTATATTTTATTTTTGCTCTTTTTTTTCCTTTATTAATCCCCTATCAATATGTACTAGTGTTATGCAAAGCTTGTTATTTTGAAACTGAGTAGCGAACTTCCTTAAGTAAAAGAATAAAAACAATTATTATCTCTATACGTTATTTTGGAAATTATAACAAAATATTTTAAAAAATTATTACTGTATTTTGTCTTTGTCATACATTTATTGTTGGGTTAATTTATGTCTCATTGACATTGACACCTTACCTCATCATTAAAGAAGTGTATGAGAATAAAATGATGTCAGCAAAATTATTCTCAAATGCAGGGTACATATTTTTACTCGAAATTATCAATATGATAATAAAAATTGGATCTTGATTTACATTTGACTGACACCATGTTTATTTTTGTCACTTTTTCAACTATACAAAAATTCTAATTCATCAATAAGAACTTACCCCTGGTGGAGGATAGGCCATCATTTTGAATTTGTTTCTGAAAGGTAGAAATAAAATATAAAAACACAATCCATATTAAATACAAATTGATATGCAATACAGTCTGCACCATAAAATACGTTAGCACACAACTAATTTTCTACTCATATTCAGCTAGAAATTTTTTTTAAAAAAGACATAATATTGAGAGCCCAACAGAACAGCCAATATCACAAAAAATCAACTTAAAGCATGTGGGAGCTGCATAGAAATAATCAAGCAAATGAAAATGAAATGTTATGTTCGAATTGAGCTATACATAATAAAAAGCATTTTTTTATTCTTCAATGTTCTTTGGTTTACAAATGTACGATATACTGTTCAGAAAATTGTAGTTCAAGTTTAATTTCAGAGTAAGGCTGGATTTTAATTTATCCAGATTGAAACAAGATTATTAGTTTAATGATAATCCAGATTAAGAAAAATGTTAAACTCATATTAATATTTTGATAAAGGAGTAATTTAACTATAAAAATCCAAAGATTAAAAATTAAACATTGGATTTACTAAAACCTTATTAGATGAATCAATTTAGTTAAACCCAAGTTTTATCAAAGTTAAGACAGATTAATTTTTCACATTGTGAATTAACCCAGTTTATGATTAAAGGCATTTTGGGTTAACTCAAGTAATTTTGGGTTTTAACCTGATGTTATGGTGAACTTCCAAGTTAATCCACTTTAATTCAACCATTAAATTTTGTATAATATTCAAACAATGTTTTGTATTGTGGATTAATTAGTCTTTTGAAAACCCTACCCCATTAAATTAAAAACAAAAGAAAATTAAAATTCATTTCAAGTCTACATGCAAAGAAAATCACCTACTTTTCAAATATCTTTATCACTTTTTAATTCTTTAACTTAAATATTTGTAAACATCACTATGGCAATTGACGGTACAATACCAATTTAACTTTATTGAATGAAATCATTCTCTTTGTTAGCATTCATTTAATAATAATTGGGCATTCAATTGGTTGGGATAGTTCAAAATTAAGTTTTCTTAATTTAAAATACACAGAAATAAATTAGGTAAGCTTACACCAGTCTGTATCTTCAACCTGAGTCCTTAGCAACCCTCATAAATGATGAAGATATCATTATTTCTACTATTTAGCAAATTCTTTGTATTGACAAATTACTTTATTTACCAACAAATATCTCACATCATCAGCTGTCAGTAATTCATATAATTAATGTCACTGTTTTAAGATAATTACCTGTTAGTCCTTGCTTACACTGGAAACCAGATGAAAAAGAGATAGGTGGTTATGCAAGCTTGTAAACAACCCAGATTTTTCTTGTTCATTCAAGGGGAATGCCTCCAGGTATAAAATAAATAAAAAGGGTATATCTCAAGATGTTTAAATACACAAGCTGCACTCAGTGACTTTATCAATCAATAAAAGCTCTTTAAATCACAAAGATTTTATGTTTTTCCTTCTCAATGTTTTTCCAATATCCAGTTAAAAAGGAAGAAAACGGAAAAAAAATGATCGATTTAAATCATCAATGTACAAAGAAAGGTCATTCTAGGTTATTCTATAATTTGTCTTTAAATATTCAAAACTAAATTTGTTAAAAAGAAGATGAGAGGTAGACCATATACAATATACCAAGCTCTTCTGACCAAAAGGAATTTATCAATATATTTTTAATACCATGAGCAAGATGGTAGGTATCCTTACTGAACACTTAATTGAGATCACCTGATTTTTTGCAAGGTTAGAATAGTTTTCATTTTGTTTGTTTTATTGTGTATTCTTTAGTCTTGTATAGTCTAGCTACACTATGAAATAATAAAATTATTAATTTAGATCATCCCACTGTTGTAGTCAATAACATCCTTCAGTTTTCAAATTACCTCTTATAAAATCCTTTTTAATCCTTTAAATTATTAAATAAACATTGCATAGGTATGATCCATAGAATCCCTCCATTCTGAAATGAAAGTCCATCAAAGGTTACTTTCCTTCGTTATGAACCACTGTTGTTCCTGTGCTTAAATTGCAATTAATACAGATATTTATTTTTTCAAGTATAATGCTTTAAATTCATTAACACATGAAATATTTCCTTCTTTTATAATTAATTTCACTTAACATTCACTTTTCTACTTAAACTAAAGGTTAAACAAGTGAAACTGCGAGATACTGCTCACTGATGATACCCCCGCCCAAATATTTTGGTAAACAGGTAGTTGTTGAGTGATGAATCCGAAAACGCATCAAATTTCAGAAATCCTTGTATTGCAGTTCCTGAGAAAGATGCGACGAAAAATATTCATGGGACGGAAGGACGGACTGACGGATGGACTGATGGATGGATGGATGGACAGACAAAGGTAAAAACAGTATACCCCCACTTTTTTAAAGCAGGGGGTGGGGGGGGGGGGATATAATAAATATCTAAATGAAAAATATAAGCTATATATAGGGTATAATTGATAATTTTCTGGCTGTAAAACTGCTGTTTTCCAAAAAAAAATACACAAATTTGGATATATATCTCCATACTGACTCTTTTTTTAAGAGAGAGACAACTTTTTGACAAACATGAAAATTGGAATTCTAATTTAAGAGTCTATTGAATATTAATGTATGGCTGGTATTTTTCTATAATTGAAAGTGCTGACATTATTTCTAACAGCAAAAAAAAAGAAAACTTTGAACAGGTCTTTTGGGAGAAAATATGGGGTTCCAGTCTAAAGTTTTTTCTAAACTATTTTATGTTTTAAAACAAGTGTCCCAATTTTTGATTCGTGTGGATTCAAGCAATTATAGGTCAGATTAACACTTCAACAACCAGCAAAATAGATACTGTATAGTCAGCTATAAAATACCAAGACAAATGTAAAACAATTCAAATGAAAAAACAAACAGCCTCATTTATGAAAGAACTCTTACGGCTTAATCATAGCCCTAGTTCAAAGTTCAAGACTACAAATTAAACAAATCAACAAAAAGTTTCAAATATAAATTTTCTGATTTTAGTGGACAAAAAAAAAATCCACATAAATTACAGTAATAGATTTTCAGTAATAAATACAATACTCTGATGTACTTATATTGGTTAGTATAATTACTGTTTGTTTGTTGGTGTTTAAGACACTTTTAGCAATTTTGGCTATATCAAGCAGCCAGTTTGTAGTGGTTGAGGAAGCCCAAGTACATGTAGAGAACCAACGACCTTCAGTGGTATAACTGTTAATCCTTGTTGCGCCAAATTCATGCATTTATGATTGAGAGGCTATGGATATGATATAAGACATTGCTAGTATTAATGGATTTACAGGTGTGGTTGTATACAACATGGAACTAAATAAACCGAAGACACATTGTTCCTTCCACTTAATTTTTAGAGTAAAGCATTTGAAGATTTTTTATAGGTAAGTTAGGTCTCAGGATTTATGACATGTAATGTAAAGAGTGAAATGAACATAAAACTGTGAGAAATTTTAAAGAATATAGAGAACTGGAATTTTTTTTTCAGTTGATTGTTTTGTCATAAATCAGGCTGTTTTTTTCCATTGGATAAATTTCTGGGGCATTTGTAGCTGGCTGTACGGTATGGGTTTTGATCATTGTTGAAGGTTGTACTGTGACATGTTATTGCTTAAATCGATGTCAGTTGAACTATGGTAGATAGATATCACATTGGCAATCTTACAACTTCTCCATATCTTTATATTAAAAGTAATTTTATCAGATGAATAAAAGTGGGATTCTCATTAGTAGTTAGCATCGTAAATTTCTTTGCGAATGGGTTACATGTAAGCTTAAACACAATTTTAAAAACTATAATAGAAATTTTTTTAAATTGTGTTTAAGCTTTATGAAAATATCATATGGGAGATAACTCTGAAAAAACTTGGTAAATGAAATAATTTTCATCAATACTTACAGATGTTAACATTATTTCTAATTAATCATGTGAAAATTTAGTATGCTTTTAATTTTTTGTTGTTAATATATCAAGTTTACTTAACAGATAAGATTTAAATAGACAATACAGTGCTTTACATAATGTAGAGGAAATCTTGTATTTTGGTGCTGTCATAAATTTTGAAAAATAAATTTATTTTCTAATAGCTAAGGTAATTAAAAGATATACAGTGGAGAAAAGGTTATCCATAAAAGACATCTAAATATTGTGAGTTATGAATTTGGCAGTTGAATGGAATTTTGAAACAATAAAATGTAAAAAATTCATATAGTCTTTTTGGAAATGTCAACCCAGAAAATAATAAGAGGGAATATTTTATGAGATTGTCAAAAGAAATAATTATATGCACAGAATGTTTCATAATTTCACAAATTATGTAAGACATAATAAAAGTCAGGCTTAATTGAAAGGTATTTTTCCACTTATATCACATAAAACTAATGGGTAATCGTATTTTAGCACAAAAACACACAAAACATGGTCAACCAAAATAGCAATGCATCAATTTCTTATAATGTAAAAATAGTTGTATCCAAATAAAATGTGGCCAAGGTGGACATCATTGCTACTACTGTTTATGTTTAGACACTTTTAATTCTCTTTTTTTTGTGGAAGAAATATTTGTTATATCTATTGTGTAAGAGACAAAGTTTGGTGTTGTTTTTGAGGCTATATGAGCAATAATTTTTATGATACTGTTATTTCTACCAAAGAAAACTGCTTTACTTTTTAGATGTATAATCTTATCCCAGCTAGAAATGTTGAGATGGAGATCATATCTTAAAGATTCTGCTTACATGGTCCTCTGCTTTGTATTAAGTCTTTTCTGTTCTATGTTTTACATCTCTTAGCAAAGTGGTAAAACTTTGAAAAGATTTTTAAAGAAATGATAGAATCTTATAAGTCTTGTATATTTTTAAACATTACGCTCTAAGTCATGCTCAGATATAGAATGGACAAAATATTATTATAAAGAAGAGCATGAAGATATCTACACTGCCCTACTTATTTTTGTTGTTCCTAATACATGTATTTATCTTTAAGAGTGAACATAAAATTTTGAAACTAATAAAGGCCTAAATCTATATGTCTTTGTACTTGAACAGTCAAGATTCAAAAGCAAATGACTGTTGCCATACAGATTTCTTCATGAAGGTGAACATTTAATCAAAATGTATCATTTCAATCATGGCCCAAGCACACAGCTATTTCGTAGTCCATTTTTTTTAGAAAATAAGTGCAAATTAAAATAAAATGCTTCGCTGGGGCGCAGCTTGATACGACCGCAGAGGTCGAACCCTGAACAGTTGGGGCAAGTATGGACACAACATTCAAGCTTGATACAGCTCTGAATTTGGATTGTTATTAAATATTTGACACAGCATAGGTTTCTGACACAGAAAGAATGTGGTCTAAGAACTTGAATTTTTTTAATTTACCTATTATGGTCCAATGTCCAAAATCAAAATACATGGTTAGATTCAGCATATCAAAGAACCCCATATTTTCAATTTTTGTTGAAATCAAACAAAGTTTAATTTTGGACCCCAACTTGGACAAACTTGAAAACTGGGCCCATAATCAAAAATCTAAACACATGTTTAGATTCAGCATATCAAAGAACCCCAATAATTCAATTTTTGCTAAAATCAAACTAAGTTTAATTTTGGACCCTTTGGACCTTAATGTAGACCAATTTAAAAAACAGGACTTAAAATTAAAAATCTAAATACACGGTTAGATTTAGAATATCAAAGAACCCCAATAATTCAATGTTTGATGAAATCAAACAAAGTTTAATTTTGGACCCTTTTGACCTCAATATGAACCAATTTGATAGCAGGGCCCACAAATAAAAAATCTAAATTCATGGTTAGATTCAGCATATCAAAGAACCCCATATATTCAATTTTTGTTGAAATTAAACAAAGTTTAATTTTGGACCCCAATTTGGACCAACTTGTAAACTGGGCCAAAAATCAAAAATCTAAATACATGTTTAGATTCAGCATATCAAAGAACCTCATATATTCAATTTTTGCTAAAATCAAACAAAGTTTAATTTTGGACCCTTTGGACCTTAATGTAGACCAATTTGAAAACTGGACCCAAAATTAAAAATCTAAATACACTGTTAGATTCGGCATAACAAATAAATAAATGTGATCAAAGATTTTACAAATCTAATGCGCCATACTGTGCAATTAAATATTACTTCTTGAAATTTTTCAATATTTGAAATTTGAAAAAAAAATAATATTTGAAGAATAATTCTTTTTAATTTCTGAAATCTGAAATGAGAAAAAATTGACCCCCCACAATTTCTTTTTATCCCCCCCCCCCTTTTTCCCCCAAAAAAATTCTTTCCCTCAAGATATGGTCATAATCTCAATTCAAATTTCCAATGGAGTTGGCAACCATAATTACCCATTTAAATTTACCATAGTGCTAACTTAATCTATTTTATAATAGAATTAAAAATATAGTGTCAAATCTTTCATATGGATTTTTTTGTAAAAAAAAAAGATGCAACATTTGCAGATATTTTTACTGGTCTTCCTTTATAAATATGTATTTCTTTAAACATAATTTAAAAGCAGTGTAAGGGAAGTAACCAAAACGTTGTATTTGGATTACCTCCCTTACACTGTTTTAAATTATCTTTATTGTTCATTAACCATTACTTTATACATAATTTAAAAGCAGTGTAAGGGAGATAATTTCAATGATGTATTTGATTTATCTCCCTTACACTGCTTTAAATTATGTTTTGTACTAAAGTATTTGTCCATTAACCAGGACAACCTTGTTTTTCCCCCTTTTTTGCCCCTAATTCCTAAACGGTTTGAGCCATAACCCCCCAAAGCAAATCCTAACCATCCCTTTGTGGTATGGAAACTTGTAGTATAATTTCAGAGAGATCCATACACCGTTCCACAGTTATTGTCTGGAAACTAGAAAATGCTTATTTTTGGCCCCTTTTGGGCCCCTTATTCCTTAACTGTTGGTACCATAACCCCCAAAATCAATCCCAACCTTCCTTTTGTGGTATTTAACCTTATGGTCAAATTTCAAAAAGATCCATTCACTTAAACTAAAGTTAGAGTGCGAAAACCAATGTGTATTCGGACGACGACGCCGGACGACGACGACGCCGGACGACGACGACGACGACGACGACGCCAATGTCATACCAATATACGACCACAAAATTTTTTTGCGGTCGTATAAAAAGTAGTGTAGTGTTCTACTTTTGAGACAAATTATATATAATTATAGAAAAGTCTCAGCTCTAACTCAAAATATGGACAATTTTATGTTAAAGGGGTCTATAATTCAGCTTGACAGCTTCAGACATAATAATTTTTGACCTTTTTCAACTGGACCAAATCACTACTTTACTTAAAAATTCATGACCTAATTATTTTTTACATGTAAATTGATTCCTCTACATTCTATTTTATGCATAAAATTTTAAAAAAAATATTAATTTAGGAGGTGTAAGAAAAAAGTTGCAAGTTATACACTGTTGACGCTAGGGTCTATATTATATTATAGAACGAAAATCAAAGGAGGATAACTGTGTCCCCCAACCTCATGCCAATTCCAAAGCACTGTCTTCTTTAAGTTTAACTGTTGATAACTTTATGAAGCATTTTAAAAATGTAGATGTTGATGTTTGTGTGTGATGATGTAACTTTCTTTGTCATTATGGGGAATGTAGTTTAATCTGTTGTGAGTGAGGAAGGCTTTTATAATGTTATGTATTTTTCGTGTTTATGCAAGATTTTTTTTTTCTGTTTGTTGAGCAGTTTGATTCTCTAATTCACCATTAAACACACAAATTACAGCATTCAATTTATTAGAATAAACATAAATTAAATATTAAAGTATCAATACTGGAGAATAAAGTTAAATCAATAGTACATATACCTTATATAATTATCACTTTAAATTGTTTCAATTCAATTTTATTACCACGATAAGCTGCAGTGATTTTTGTTACACTTTATTATTTATGTAAAGCTCTTACTATTAGTGTTGGTCAAGTTAAAAACCCTTTACATAATCATGAAGTCATCAAAACTTTTCATATCATGATAATAAGGATTATCTCCCCTTTCAATTTATCATTTATGCTTGAAGAAATAACAAAACTAACTATAAAACTGGAATGCTGTGAATTATTTTGCTTTCTTATGACTGATACATATGAATCCATATTTCTTTTGATGAAGTTCAAACATTATATAGTCTGATTTTGCAGTATTAAATCAAAATGGAATGGTCCAGTATTTGAGCAGTGATAAAACTTTACTCTATGTGTAAGGGCCGAGCCTATCAATTCTTAAATTTTGCTACAAAATGCCAAATATTAATAGCCATAGAAAAAAATTCTATTGCAAATAATTGCCAATATTACATGAGGTAGTCAATTATATGAGGTATACCATAGTCAGTCTACATTGACAAGACAATACTGCATGTGGTATAATCATTGTTGTGTGAGCTTTAAGTCAATAGTACGGTCATAAGACAACCTGAGATCTGATCATCTGTTAGTAGAGTTCATCTTGTAAAATTTAGTCAATCTCTTGTGACATAATGAAAAATAGTCCATCTCATGAGAATTAGTCAAATTTCAAGAGAAATAGTCAATCTCATGAGAATTAGTCAAATTTCAAGAGAAATAGTTAATCTCATGAGAATTAGTCAAATCCCATGAGAAATAGTCTATCTTATGGGAAATAATCAAATTAAACTGGTAAAATACAGATTGTTCATGTAAAATATTTATATCACAGTTGGAAGTAGTAAAATAATACACAATCTAAAAAAACATCACAGTTAATTCATAAACAAAATACAGAAATGTAAAACATATATAAATAAATTATATAAGTACACATTGTGTTATTGAGATAACAAGATGCCACATAAGAGGACCAATAAGAAAATGAATTACGATCTGAAGTACTCAAATCAGAAGTTATATCAATTTTTTAAAGAAAATAGACCTGCTATAAATTGCACATTTTTGTAATTATGCAAAACACTCTACTAATCAGAAAAGTATAGAAAAAGTTATTATGAGAAATCAATGTCATTAAGAAGCTTCAATCTCTATGGACTCTTTAAAAAGCTTTAATCTCTTCCCACAATCCTTTGCAACATCTCTCTATAATCCCCTGAGCAATCTTCTTCAATCCATTTCCATAACGTTTTTTTATTCTGTGCTAGGAAAATTTCTTTGATTTGTACCATGTCAATCTGGAAAATATCACATAATATTAGATGATAAAAAAAAGAATAACAATAAAATTGATAAAGGAAATGGGGAATGTGTCAAAGAGACAACAACTCGACCAAAGAGCAGAAAACAGCCCAAGGCCGCCAATGAGTCTTCAACACAGCAGGAAACTCCCCCTCCCAGAGACGGGCTTCAGCTGGCCCCTAAACAAAAATGTGTACTATTTCAGTGAAAATGGACATCACTAAACTCCGAAACATATAAATGAACTAAAATTAAAAAAACATACAAGACTAACAAAGGCCAGAGGCTCCTCACTTGGGACAGGCGCATAAATGCGGCGGGGTTAAACATGTTTTGTGAGATCTCAACCCTCCCCCTATACCTTTAGCCAATGTAGAATAAACAAACACACAGCAATACACACAATAAAACTCATTTTCTTCAAATTACTGTAATTTTAAAAAGTATTGCGATGTTTTTATTAATGCAAAAAAAAAACCCAAAAAACGACAGTATTAGGTTCGCAATAATAAAAACTTGATTCATAATTTCAATAGTGACTCTCCTTCACAAAATGTTTGCAGTCACATTAATTAAATCTTGCCTTTTTACCAGTAATCAGCTATTTGCAATAATAAAAGCATGCATTAATTTCTGAATTTACTTTAGTTTATTTATAATAATCATTTAGAAATCCTTTTTCTCATATTATATTGTATAAATCAAAATTTTGGTCATTAGAATAGCCTGATGCCTATGTAAATAATAAAAAATGGAAAAAGTGGTAGGTCAAAATCTGATTAATATGAAAATGTTCTGAGAAAGGAACCAGTTTTCTCGTTTGAATTGTTTTACATTTGTCATTTCGGGGCCTTTTATAGCTGACTGTGGGGTATGGGTTTTGCTCATTCTTGAAGGCCATACGGTGAACTATAGTTGGTAATTTCTGTGTCATTTGGTCTCTTGTGGAGAGTTGTCTCGATAGCAATTATACCACATCTACTTTTTTTATATATATTAGTTTTGAAGATGACCAATTTATTGAAATTTATATTTTATTTTGCTTGGTTGGACCTCAGTTAGTCTGGTTAAGGAAAGTTATTTTTCAGCTGTGGATATTGTAAGGACTGGTTTGGCTATAACATATACATGTAAGATATAACTATATATACCTCAGCTCTGCTGACAATAACTCTAATCAAGTCACTGTCCTTTGTACCAAGTCCCTTCATTGTCCATGTCAATCTCTCAGCAAAGTACTTTGGTCTACATTTAATAGACATGACTGAAAATTAAATTAAATAAATTTAAACATTCTGAAATCATGGTAAGGCTATCTAATAATATGTTTTTCTAAAAACTCGCCATCCTTTCCTCTGATTTATCAATATTTTCTACAATACTGATTAATTCACACACTGCACATAGACAGAAGGGTACACTCCTTGCACCATACAACATTGTCTTTGTTCTAAAAATGCATGTGCATATGTCTTTGTAATTTTATGCTGTTTTTTTAATTTTTTGTTTGTCTCCGTCTGTACTGACTTAAAGAGATTTTTAACATGGTTTCCCTGTTACACAGTCATTTTTGTTCTCTTATAACCCCTATAGAATAAGAAAGATTCCTATTAAGAAGACAGGGAATCAAGATTTTAAGCTATCTTTAGTCTGCTGTAACTAAATATCAGGTATCTAAAGAAAGAACATAATATTTCACAAAATATACGACTCATTTTTTTTTTAGGAAAAGGCCAAAAAAAAAAGAAACAAAAGAAAAATATACTTTTCACTGAACTAGTACACAATTTTATTTAGGGGCCTGCTGAGGACCACCTCCGGGTGCGGATTTTCTTGCTGCGTTGAAGAGCCATTGGTGGCCTTCAGCTGTTGTCTGCTCTTTGGTCGGGTTGTTGTCTCTTTGACATATTCCCCATTTCCATTCTCAATTTTATTAATGAACATCTGCTTTCAATACAGTTAATGTGGATTCATTTCTATTTGTGGATATCAATTTTAGTTTAAAGAATCATCCAAATACAGATTTCCTATTGACTTGTACCACTACCCAAAATTTATAAGTATTTATCCATGAAAATACAAATTTTTTCCTAAATCCACGAATATTTGTACCCCTAAAAATAACTGAATGCACAGTATTTAGAATATGACACATACCCAATGTAAGCAAGGCTTTCTCTGAATCACTGGAGAATTCTCTGTCAATAGTGTTTTCAACATCTCTTTGTGTCAACTGCAAAACAAAATATTGAAACATTATTGTATGTTCTATTACAAATGACTGAACCAACGCCTAGTGAATCTTCAATACGATAAAATCCCTAAAGTTGATGCCTTGAATATGCAGGTTTGTTACAATAAAAACACAAAATGTAAAAGCCGTAGGCATCGAAACATGTTAATCTTATTAAAGTACTGCAGCAATTCCGTAAGTTTTGTTGTTATAACTGCTATCACATTATTGTTTGTAGCAGTAAACACATAATTTTAATAAGTTTAAGTGGTTACCAACTTGTAATTTTTTGAAATCTTTTGAAATTTAAAAATAATCTTAAAATGTCCATATAATATCAAACAGTTGAATTCAAATTTTTTATGTTTTAATAGCATGAAGATCATTGGTTGAAAAACTTTCAATAAAGAAGACTTATCACCAAATTGTAACTTGCCATGGACAAATACAACTGATACCTGAATAGTGGATCAGGAACTGCTTAATGATGACACCCGTTTTTGGTAGGATTGCTCAATCTTAAGTTATCTGTATAATGAGGACTGTTGTTTAATCATGAACTCTTTATATATTTTGGCCATGGTGTTATCTGTTTTTCTTTGACTTTAAGGTTTTTAACTGCACCTTTGTTATCTTCTCTTGTTTCCTATTCTAGACATACCTTCACATATTCACCATAAATTGCTCTAAGCTGGTAAGTCTCCCTGCATGCAAAGATCCTGATGAAAGTGTCTTCATCAGTTCCAAAACAATCCTCTCCTGCTTCAAACAAATTGTTGGCATCCTTCTTAGCTCTGTTCATGTCAACAAGTTTTTCCATGTCAATGGTGAAGGAACCAGTTGGTTTATCTTCATCTGTTTCCTCATCATGAAACATAACTGGTACCACAGCTTCATCAATCTTTTCTGGGTCCAACTCTCCTCGACCACCCTACACAAATATTAATGGTATCAAAGTTTTTTTTCATATGCAAATTTAAATATAAGTTTGCACTTTACACCTGACATAGTTTACTTAATTTTGATAGTTAACAAAGAAAAAAAAATTGTATGAGTCTTCTTTCAGCACTTTTCAGTGGTGACAGTAGAAGTTCAAAAGCAGGCAGAAAGTAGAGGGCTAACGCCCCCTTTGATTGAAATATATAATTCTTTGGCATAAAATTGTTTTCCTCCCTAGTCTATGCACAATTTTACCATTACTGACAATTACATCCCTCTTTCCTGAAATCCTAAGTTTAATTAATGATATCTGTAAATTCAGAAATTATTGAATACATTTATTATTCCAATTTTTGAAGAATGGACAAAAATGCAAAATTATATTTAGTGTGATTTCAGGAAAATAAGCAAACAGCTATGTGTATCAGATTTCAGAATGAGAGATCTTACTCATGTTATTGTGATATTGCATCCAGTTGCATTATTCCCATTAATAAAAACCTCATTTTTTTCTGAATTAAAAGTCATTTTTTACTACCCTTATCTAAGAAACCATAAAAATTGTCTTAAAACAAAAATGAATGATTCCTACCTGCGCTGCAGATATGAGAATTCTTTTAAGATCCCCACTGGTATCATCCTCAATGTTACACTCCAAGTCCTTGTCAGTAGCACAATCATCTGGGTTAATATCTTATTATTAAAAAAAAATTGTCAAATATTAAAATAATGAACACTTTGGGTGCTTTCCCGCATACAGGTTCAACTGATTACTATACTATATATAAAAATAAATGATGTGGTGAACCACTTGGGTCGGAAAATACTTCCACAAAATTCAAGAGTAAGGAGAGAAATACAAATAATGTGAATACACAGAACCCTGATCCAATCTTCTTTTGCTAAAAGAGTTCATTATTCCCTGTTTTATATCTACTAAAAGCATTCTATTTTACTATAATTTCCATTTTAGTCTGCAAATATCTGCATCAAAAATAGATGGTCATTCCCTTGATTGGTTGAAATTTACTTTTCGGAACACATTGAATATCTGCATCAAAAATAGTTATGGTCAAAATTAAAATTCCGCTGATTGGTTGGAATTTACTTTTCGGAACGGCTTGAATGAAGTCAGTGGTCTTTGGAATAACTTCAACTGACAGAAACATCTAGAAAGAAATATATAGGCCATCGCTTCAAAAGTAAATCAAACCAAATACAACACCTGTTTACATTTGTTTTTATAACAAAAAACAACCTAGTAATTTTCATATAAAAAGTGAAATATTAGTAGCACTTTCAAATAGAAAGAAAAGGAATACTAACAGCGATAAAACCCTGTGTTCGATACAAATTTCTTGTCAGTATTTTGTTCATTAAAGATTTCCAACAAATTTGGGGGATGAATTTCATGGTGATCAAAAGTAATAAACCCGTGAAATATTACCTACAGTAAATACAGAAACTAAAAATTTGGCATCTTATAATCATGTTTATGGAGTTTTTTACCTTCCATTTGACAAAATTTATCAACTTGCTGTAGAATTTTATTTTAGACCGAAATTTAAGACTAATTTAGACTGAAATTTAGAGAGGATACAAAGAGTTTTGGCATTTGCTGTTCACACTTATTTTAGGGTCTGGAAATTTTTTATACAATTTCTACAATTATTTTTTTTGGCTACTTTTTTATTTATATCTGAATCACAGATCAGTCTAAACAGAGTGAAAGTATTGAGTATAGTAAGAAAGCATTGAGTATAGTAAGAAAGCGTTGAGTATAGTAAGAAAGCATTGAGTATAGTAAGAAAGCATTGAGTATAGTAAGATAGCATTGAGTATAGTAAGAAAGAATGGAGTATAGTAAGAAAGTATTGAGTATAGTAAGAAAACAGAACTACCTCCATAGACAGCTTTCATTTCCTCAATCTGTGCATTTGTTCTGGACAGTAAAATCTCAATCAATACAGACTCATCAGTTCCAAGTCCCTGTAAAACAAATAAAGTATTATTTATATACATGCTACATAATTAAAATTCACAAAGTACTGTAAGAGTTTTTGATACTGTTCAAACATTTTAAAAATATGTTTGCACTTTTTCAGAGATATATAGAGGGTATAAAATGAAAACAATACCTCTAGTTTATAAATGACTTTGTCTGGTTTGGTATGAAGATCTTTTTATTTTGTATCTGTTAGACAATGATAGAATTAGATTTTTTCTTCTATTTTAGGACAGACACTGTATGTGAGACTCTGTGGCTATACAAAAATAACAAGCAATTTAAAGTACAAACTGGTCTGTTTTGTCATTAAAATGGAAGTAGGAGGGTAGGAAGTGACTTCCAAAGTTCTCCCACAACCAAAATGCTTTCGACGAGTAATTTTGTATACATACAGTTCAACCAAAATTACAAAAGACCCATGTCGGAAAATACAGTAAAACATCCTCTTACATAGGTTTTGAATTTGTAATGTTATACATGTGTATACTAGATTAAATATTTACATTTATTTTAAACTGTTAATTGAGAAATTCATTCAATATTTTTATTATTGCAAAAATTTGACGGAATAGAATCTCAAATTTCAATATTTGCAAATAAAATTGTACATCAGTCAATCATGAGTTGTCAAATATTATATAAATGCAGGCATATTTACGATTTATAATCCATGAAATCCACATATCTCATAAATTGAACAAATACTGAGACATTGAAAACCAGCATTTCAAGATAAAGTACTTAGGTTAATGTTCCTCACTCAAATTTGATCTAGTCTATTCCATTAAAAAGAATATTGGAGTGTACGCTACAAACTTGTAATTTTTCTATAAAAGATGTGATTATATTATACAGAATATATTTATCATGTAAGTATGATATAAAGATAAAATCCCTTAAATCAGACTGTGTATAATTACCTGGATTGCTTTTTTAATATTCAAAGCATCAAACAGAGGTGGTGGTACAAACAATGCCAAGATCACCTCTTTAAATTTAAAACTTGTCTCACTGTCCAAGGTCTCCATCAGGTCCTGAAATGTAAGATAGAACATTCTGTTATCAGTTAATGTTAGTTGATAATTAATAATAACAAAAAAATTTAATTTATTTATAATAGATGTTTGTAGGAAAATTACCCTCAGAAAAAGTAAGTAGAATGCAGCTTTTTAAACTAAGTATCGTGTACGGACATAAGTATACATCATCTTCATTATTTTCCTATATATTTCATATAAAATCTCATTTTTTCCAAGACATATGTGTTTGGATTTTAACAAACTAGGTAATGAGCTGGAATGTCAGTAACTGCTAGTAGTCCTTTGTTAACATATGTTATCATAGTCATTTTGCTTAGTTTCTTCTGTTACCTATTCTAACATCGGACTCGGACTTCTTTTAAACTGAGTTTTACTATGTGTATTGCTATGTGTTTATTTATTCTACATTGGCTAGAGGTATAGGAGGAGGGTTGAGATCTCACAAAACATGTTTAATCCAGCCGCATTTTTGTGCCTGTCCCAAGTCAGGAACCTTTTTATTTAGGGGCCAGCTGAAGCCTGCCTCCGGGTGCGTGATTTTCTTGCTGTGTTAAAGACCCATCGGTGTCCTTGGGCTGTTTTCTGCTCTTTGGTCGGGTTGTTGTCTCTTTGACACATTCCCCGTTTCCATTCTCAATTTTATGAAAAAGGCAGAAATGACTGAATTCTCATTTTTTTCTTTTTTGAAAGTTGTGTCTTCACTCATTTTTTTGTGTTTTTTTATGTAAACACTATGATAATTATTTATGATTTTGTTTAAACTGAAATAAATAAAAAATTTCTTGATGTAAAATTAAACTAGTGATTAAAACATCAGAAAAAAAAAAACAATGTTTAATAACAAAATTTTAATGAAATAAATAATTCAACATGAGACAATTCTCCTTTTTAAAAGTGGTACCAAGTTGATTAAATTCTAATCAGAAACGACCACGCTATAATTTTTCGAAAAAATGTAGTTTTAAATGAAATATATACATAGTGAAAAGTCTCAATTGACAAATAAATATGTCCATCCACTGGACCATTACAAATTCAACTTGTATACTGTAGGTTAAAACATGAATTTTTATGGGTAAACAGTTTTACCTCTCCATAATTTGTCTTAAACTGCTTTTTCAGAATCTGTCTTTGTTCGTTATTTCTTGTAGTACAGATGTAGATAATGGCTTCTTCATTGGTTCCTAAAACAATTGGATGAGAGGTGAAATCAAAAAATCTACCTAAATCTTCCCATCCTAACAACAATCAAAAAACTTATTTTAGAATTGTTTGTAGGATAAATGTAAAACAGATGCTGAGAAGACCATGTACAGTGTAGCTCTAGGTTATACAGTCTTGTTTTATTAAAAGAACAAGAAACATAATTTTTCATTCAGTTTATATCCCTTCCACTTCAAAAAAGAAATAACCTCTATTCCCACAAAAAATAATAATATATACCAACTCTACCACAGTTAATGTAATAATTACGATGAAATACTCAAACTAGTAACTCCTATGGTTGTTGTGCAAACATTAATTTAAATTCCACAAAAGATGGAAACTATTATATCTTATTTATACTGATTAAAAAATAATTACCTTTATTCATTCAAATCTTTCACAATTTTTGCCATGTTTTGGCTGTTTTGTTAGACCCTTTTTGTTTCTATGCACTCAGACATTTTTGGCTTTCCAATCTTTTGGTCTTAGAGAGCGGTTTCAGAAACATGTGTATTTGCTATAGATATATACTTTATTTCTGATAAGTTATAACTGCTGCTGATACAATGACATACAAATTACCACATGTCTTTTATTATTTATATATAATTTAATTTTGGATGTAACGCGTCATCTGATTGGCTGATGTTGTTTTGTTTATCAGCTCATAGACATAATTTTGTCATGTGACCGTGACGTCATCAACGTTTTTTCATGGTTTACTCCGGTTTAAAATGGAATTTAGAATTAAATTATAAGAAATGACTGTAATATTTTTTCTGTCTATTCGAAATAACATAAAAAATGTGATGCACACTTTAAAACAACCCGCTACGCGAGTTATTCAGTGTGCACCACATTTTTGAAGTTATTTCTTCATAGACAGAAAAAATATTACAGTCATTCCTTAAATAGTTACAACATTAATCATTATACTTTTTAATGCAACAAATAGTATGTACACAACAAATAATTTTTAGTGCAAAAACCCATTAGTTCATGCTTTCATTTTTATAAAGAATCCGGAACAGCATTAACGCTGTCCCTTGATATCTGGTTGATTTTCTTTTCTAATTGCATACATATGTCCTATATCCATTTTCCAAGAACACATATATGTCAAATCAAAAGGTGCAAATATCACATGTTCATTCCTACTGAGTGAGAAAAAAACATCTTAAAAATACACTAATCTAAATTAACTTCCTCACAAAAGCAAATTAGTAAATCCTGCAACATTGACATGATTTTGGATGTTAGATAAACTAAGTTCTTTAATATTAATTAAATTTTTGTTCATATTCTAACAAAAATTCACAAGTGTCATTAAAGGTAAAATAAAATACACACAAGGTTATTCTGTTAAAAATCACTCTTGCTGGTGTTGAGTGAATCACAGTGAAATCGGGTGAATGCTGGTGATTAAGAGTGAAAACACTCTGATTACAATCTTGTCGTATAATATCGATTGAATATACACATGGTTATTTCAGGGTGAATGCATGACCTTAAATCACCATTATTCACTCAGGAAATCATCACCAGCTAGTGTGTTTAAGGATGTTCGCTCCTCTTGTTTTTGAATTTTTGCCAGATTTTCGGAATCCTCTGGTTTTATCCATTTAGTGCCATTAAAAAAATTTGCCCACTAACCCCTACTTTTCTTTTCATCATTTTATTACATATAGTTTAAGGAGCCATATTTGAAAATCTTATAAAATCCTTGTTATTTTTTCATTGTTTTTGAAAGACAAAAGGTGCCAATGTTAAATGTAAGAAAAATCTAGAGAGAATCATTTCCCGCCAGATTTTCAATGGCTTATATCTCGAAAATAAGCACACGAACCCATCATTTTTTTCGGCTTTTTTAGTTCCTTTATTTATATACTATCAATTCATAACAGTCTTTCAAAAAACTTGTTATTTTGAAACAGAGTAGCAAACATCCTTAATAACAGAATCACTTTGTGCATAAATTATACAGTACAGTCAAGCAAAAGAGCAAGTTTTCATAAGAACTGAGTAGTCATATTTTTTTCTGTTACACTTTAAAGGTCAATAGTTCGTAACTATGTTCAACACTAAAGTACAATGTAACTGTTGCAAGATTTACTGTTTCATTTTTTTTTAATAACCAACCCAGAAATTGAACATGTCTAAAATTATGTTGCAGAGTCTCAGCATCTTAAGTCATATTTTGTCCAATAAGAATGTCCAAAACAGCAGTTTCAACACAATGCAACACAATTTCTAAATTGGTCTATAACATTCATGACATTCACATGTATATAGCACAAAAATAAAATAATAGCAATGCACTAAAAAAAACCAAAAAATTTCAAGCATGAATAAGCAGATATGACTGATTTAGTTAAGCAAGCCAAGTCAATTGGTTATTTGTATGAAAACAGATGGATACTATTCAAGTGTTGGCTGTAGCCTAACCACTCAACAAACCAAGTCTTGAAAAGACAAAGAAAAAAAACAAGCACATTTTTCATGAACAACTGACAGCCGAACATATAAAAAAGCTACCATAAGAATCAAATAAAAATTATGTACAAAAGTGGTTAGTGGTCATTTTCATCATACATATACCAAACATGTAGCTGACTGTGCTGTTTTCATTTAAATAAGATATGTCATTTTTGTAACATTAGGCCAAACAAAAATATACTTTCCTGCCTCCTGGTAAAAAAGAAATGGAAGGAAAGTAGGCAAAATATTCTAGGGTAGGTAGAATGGCATAAAACAAATGTGTATGTTTTTTTATTTTATTTAGAATAGTTCCAGAAAATCAATTTCTACGACAAGAAACTGAGTATTTTTTCCCAGTAAGTAAGGGGACATTGAATAACTTCTAACGTACATATGTTGGTATAATCAGGTAGGCAAACTATGCTATAAAATGCTAAATAAAACTTTCTTTTGAGAAAGGAAGAAAGTTTATCACATGAAAAAAGCTTACTGCACCAAAAATCTTTAACTCTAATTGACATTTTTTTTAGCATAAGATTTCAAGCAAAATATACAAAAAAAGCAATATTAGGTAATAATAAAAGCAATGCAATTTAGCTGTTGCCATAGAAGCTTGTTATTCATTGCTGTGCACTACTCCACTGAAAAAAATCCCCAAAATTAACTACCTGTCTTGCTGTTCATCTGCCTAAAAAATCAATATTGCAGTCTGATAAACTTTGTATGTTTTTATTGAACTACATGTAATACACAGTTCTTTTTGTTTATGACTTAAAATTCAAGGGTGTTTCAAATAAAAGATGGATCTCAATTCTTGAAAATTTAGTGGTGATCTCTATAAATCAGTTGTTGATGTACTCGTATGGAGAAAACACAAGCATGCATTCATAAATGTAGCTATTCTTTATAATTACTTTTTTGATAATATAAATATATTCATTGCAATGAAAATTATACAAGGTGTTTTTTAAAACCAAATATTGAAAATAAATATCCCATCAATATCTATTCTGCATTCCAGCTGTAAACAATAGCATAGATATTAAGTTTTAGTCATCTTAGAAATTTTCTCTAGCTGAAATACAATTGATAAAGCATGTATTCTTTGACTGGCACAGAGAGAAACATGTAGGGATGGACAGACAGGAGTAAAAAAAAATCCCTTTTTTTTATTACTGTGACATCCATATCTGTGAAACATTGTCATATGACCTTACAGTCCCTTTTGTAATATCATTTCCATTACAATATCAACATAGAAAATCAATCTGAATAAAAGATAGATCCTGTATCCACACTTCCCTTACAAGGATTTAACAAGGGGCCATTTAATTTTGGTTTTTAAAAATTTTGGGATACTCTGGTTAAGTCCTAATGATACACACCTTCAAATATAAGTCTAGGAATTTTATTTGCTGATGTAATAATTACCAGAACAGACAGTAGAACAGAATTTTGTCAGATCCGTGTTAGCAAAGCTTGGAAACAGGATCTGTATTCAAATGAGATTGCATAAAACATTTGTATTCCTTGCAGATATCTTACAAGACAAAAGGCAATATAATAGAAAACCCACCTGCGCCATCACATGCCTCTTTCAGATACATACAGTCCCATTCTGCATCCCATTTTTCGCCCACTAACTCAGTTCCATCATATTCAGCCATGAATGGTACCAGTGGATCATCAGCTTTGTATTTAGCATAATATTTAATGGTGCCTTCAGTAGGATCAATTGTTCCATCCTTCAACAAATGTGTTCTAAGACGAGCAATGTAGTTTTGGCGTACTTGTTCTAAGAAATTATCATCTTCTTGACATTTCTCAGCAACTTTTTGTGCCAGTTTCTATGTTTTAAATAAACAATCAAATTAAAATTTTGATATTCACATTAAGATATAATTAAATTGTAATAAAGTTCTGTTAAGGAAAAAAAACATTTTCTAGAATGCTAGTCGTTTCGTAACCTGGTCGTTTCGTACCTGGTCGATTCGTAACTAGATTGATTTGTAACTAAGACGTTTCGTACCTCGTGTAATTATATATGGTTATAAAGTGTCTATATTAGTTTTGTCTCTGGAAGTGTTTATCTCTCAAAATTGTCTATATATTGAAGCCAAAATAAATTTCTTGAGTTTTGTTCTTGTTATTTATATTTAAAAATTATCAAACTGTGCATCTAATAATAATAATATTGTTATAGTTTCTAAAATTTTAAATTCTTGGCTAATTAGTGATTATGCTTAATGGTTATATGACAGCTATTGACAGGTGATAAAAAGTAATTAGGTGTAAAGTGATTAAGAAGAGGATTAAAAAAATGGCTTATCATCTGAAAAAAAATTTTTTCTACTTTTTTTTCTTATTACATGCAATTATTGAATAACATTCCTCCTTTTCACGCGGGCTGGGGACCGGCCGTTTTTTTTTTTTGTTAATCGTCTTCCTTTAGAACATTAACTTCACTATGTTGTCCTTTGTTTCAACTTTGCATGTTTGTGCTGGCATAAAGCCTGATTTTTCATCTGAAAAAAACCTGGTATAAACAGGTAACAAAGTTTTAGTTGGCCGGAGCAGCAGAAACAGCAGTTGCATGGTCCGTAAACAAAAGCACATCTCCTTAACAATGAACTACATGACATCTGGTTTTGAGTATATTTATCCCAGAATGAGAATATGCGTACTTGTATGAAGCGGGACCTAACACGCTGATACCGTTTTAGTTTACCTTTGGATATATACATCAATAAGTCTATTTATTATTTTAATCGAAATATTTATTTAACATTATTTCCATAACCTACAACTCATATTATTAAATATCGTTATAAGGTTAAGAAACTTTTCAGTTACAAAATAAACTAGTTAGTTACGAAGTGACTAGTTACGAAACGACAAGGTTACGAAACGACCTGCACCCCTTTTTCTAATTTGTTTATTCATAATAAAAACTTGAAATTACACAAATTTGTCCATGTAATCAATTGTCATGAAATAATGATAAAGAAGAAAGCTTTTTCAAATTTACCTTTTCATAATCAACGATTAATTAACTTGAAAGTAAACACTTTCTGTTTGCCCATGTTTTCAAAAAAAAATATTAAATTTGGTTTGATACATGTACATGCAAGACAAAAAAAAAATACCTGACGCCTCTTGCATTTCTTCTTGAACTTCTTCTTTTTTTCCCTGACCTCTTCCTCTTCCTCCTCCTCCTCCTCATCTTCATATTCATCATCAGACACCTCTACATCATCAGCCTCCATTCCTAAAGCTGAAGCCTAAAAAAATCGTAGACAAAACTCTTTATAATCAAATTACTGAAAGCTAGGAATGGAAACTGTTCAAATAATAAACTAAATTCCTGAGATTTGACATACCGTAAAATATGGTTTAAGCCAGCCCTTCAATTCAAATTCATCACCTACCGCATAGCCAGCATAGAATTAAAATGGAATTCTTACAAGAAAGCAGGTACATGTATAACCAGAATAATTCACGAGTCCCTCCCCATGATCGACTCTCTTAACTCTCGAGGACCTGGACTCTTAATATGAAAAAAAAACATGTCCTGAATCAAAGGTTTTGATTGGTGCTCTCTGGGTGACAGAGCCAATCAGCTAAAAGCTTAATGTTATCGAGATAGGTGAATCCAGAGCTAATTCTAAATGATTGCCGATTTTCGATTGACCAAGCCTTCAGGCGTTAATGTTACCATCAAAGAGCAGCGGAATATAACTCTGAATTATTCAGGTTAGGGCAGGTAAGGTTATTCATCATATATGAAGAAAGAACACTTATATTCATATTCTTGTTCTTTGGTCTATTGTGGAGAGTTGTCACATTGGAATTACCTCTCTTTATTTTTGTATTTATCAAAGGGGAGATAACTGAATAAGACAGAAAAGATAGAAATTATCAAATTAAGATGGAAAGCTCAAACCAGAAGAGTATAATTAACAGCTATAAAAGCAACAGTAAGGGAGGCAATTCATTACGATCACTTACATCAGGGGAGACAACTAAGATATGAACGATTTTGTACAGCAAGGAAGGTAATTCAAGACGAAATGAATAGTTGCAATACTTACAGCAGAATCCTGGAAGGCAGCATCACTACTGAACATCATATTATATGTAATATTTGTCTGTTGAGATGGTGGAGCTTGTTGCATCATCATCTGAAATACAAAATTAAAACCATGTGACTAAGTCAAAGTTTTCTGTAAAGGTAATATGTTATGAAACTTGTGAGATGATTATTTTACAAATCACTGATTAAAAATATTAGGGATTGAGGGTAATTTAATTGTTTTACAGCAAACTGAAAATAGTTCTTCTGAAACGTGAATAATTGTAAACAGTGAAGTGTTCCTAATATTTTCCCATGTGTGGCTTAAAGGGTAATATATACGTAGCATTGATCTAGAAATTGAAGGAAATACTGCCACTGTTGATCATAATGCCAGTTAACAATATACGGTTGGGTACTGTGGTCTAACTCTTAAACCAAAGGTTAAAAAAAGTGGTCTTATCATACTTCTCCTTTAATTAAAAAAAACTTACACCCATCATAGGCATCATTGGAAGTCCCATCATTGGAAGTCCCATCATAGGCTGAGCTACAAAAGATATATACAAATTTTTATCAGTACTCACATTAGTTTTGTATTTGGATTTGAATATTATATATATATATAAATATATTACGATAAAAAATTTATATATATTATCAACAATCATTCCTTTAGATTAACACATGCATTTGCTTGAAAATTGGTAATGTCACAGATTTGAACTAAAATTAATAAAAAAAAAAAATGTGTATAGGTGTAATACCACCAAATCATAGTACGTCACATCCGGTTGCATACGAAAATAGGTCGAAAAAAAATATTCCCTTGAATTTGACAGTTGTAGGTAATTGATCCTACATTTCATTGCAGTAAAACATTTCTGAGTCATAAACATATATCTTGGGTATTTCAAAGCACCATTATTTCTTTATTTGGGGTTTCTATAGAATATTTTGGAAACTTGAGGTTACATGGTTACTAAATCTTGTACACAGGTTAAAAAAGGGGGAAAATTTGATTGGTTAACTTCCAGTGATGGTTATTTTCTTATATGCAATGAAATGTTATGTGAAATTTTTTCTATAGTACTGGACAGGATAAAACTTTACTCATGCCAAGTATTTCTTTATTTGAAACAAAGATAAATTCTGCACAATTTTTTGAAAAGTGCAAATTTAACAAAGACTAATAGGGGAAAATCAATGGTGGTATTACACCTAATATGGGAAGCTGTACATGCACCTTTGACCTTGTGAGTACTCTCATGTGTTAAAATTTCTTGCTATTTAAGTGAAATATTACAAATAATGAAATATTCTGAGTGGATTGAGTCTCCAAAATACATTTTATGAGAAAATTTCCTTGAAATAGGACTTTACCATGAATATTAGTTGACAGAACAAGCCATACTTAGAGTCTTGGGGAGCTTTTTCTCCTTATTTCTTATATTCTGCTATACTAGAAAATTTTTCCTAAGAAATACTTTAATAAATATATAGTTTTAAGTAAATGAAATTATTTTTAAAGCAGTAACAACAAATTATTCACCAAAAGAGAAGTTTTTTATGTCCCTCTCTGGAACGCGGCGTAAATTTAAGTTTTACGCAAGGACTTATTGAAACCTCCTTGGAGACAGTAAACTTTTATACGGATAGTTCAAGCAGCTTGAATACTTCAATTAATCATTTATAATAACATTCCTATCATAAATGAGTGAAAGTTACCCCAAAATTTTTATTTATTGGCCTAAAAAGTAGAAATTTTGAGGAAATGAGAGGTATAAATGGACCAAAAGAGACTTTATAAGGAAGAATAAGAGGTCCATTAGTAGTATTTATCATCCTAAAGTCATCTTTTGTATCATATTCAACTGTTTGTAGGCAGATGAGATAAATATTTGATCATTTATTGGTCCACACTATATTCTATCATGATGCGGCTTGGTTTGAATTTTTCGAAGAAATTTTGCTCGAATTGCTGTAGATGTCGTCTTACATTATACTAGATTTTTCTCAAACTATTGAACTGATTATGACAAAACTTGACAGGAATGCTTGAAATAACCAGTATTACAAAGGAAAAAAGTCACATTCAGTTCATTCAACAAAAAAGTCTTCTTTAGGTGTAATACCACCAAATCATAGTACGTCACATCCAGTTGCATACGAAAATAGGTCGAAAAAAAATATTCCCTTGAATTTGACAGTTGTAGGTAATTGATCCTACATTTCATTGCAGTAAAACATTTCTGAGTCATAAACATATATCTTGGGTATTTCAAAGCACCATTATTTCTTTATTTGGGGTTTCTATAGAATATTTTGGAAACTTGAGGTTACATGGTTACTAAATCTTGTACACAGGTTAAAAAAGGGGGAAAATTTGATTGGTTAACTTCCAGTGATGGTTATTTTCTTAAATGCAATGAAATGTTATGTGAAATTTTTTCTAAAGTACTGGACAGGATAAAACTTTACTCATGCCAAGTATTTCTTTATTTGAAACAAAGATAAATTCTGCACAATTTTTTGAAAAGTGCAAATTTAACAAAGACTAATAGGGGAAAATCAATGGTGGTATTACACCTATTTAATATGGGAAGCTGTACATGCACCTTTGACCTTGTGAGTACTCTCATGTGTTAAAATTTCTTGCTATTTAAGTGAAATATTACAAATAATGAAATATTCTGAGTGGATTGAGTCTCCAAAATACATTTTATGAGAAAATTTCCTTGAAATAGGACTTTACCATGAATATTAGTTGACAGAACAAGCCATACTTAGAGTCTTGGGGAGCTTTTTCTCCTTATTTCTTATATTCTGCTATACTAGAAAATTTTTCCTAAGAAATACTTTAATAAATATATAGTTTTAAGTAAATGAAATTATTTTTAAAGCAGTAACAACAAATTATTCACCAAAAGAGAAGTTTTTTATGTCCCTCTCTGGAACGCGGCGTAAATTTAAGTTTTACGCAAGGACTTATTGAAACCTCCTTGGAGACAGTAAACTTTTATACGGATAGTTCAAGCAGCTTGAATACTTCAATTAATCATTTATAATAACATTCCTATCATAAATGAGTGAAAGTTACCCCAAAATTTTTATTTATTGGCCTAAAAAGTAGAAATTTTGAGGAAATGAGAGGTATAAATGGACCAAAAGAGACTTTATAAGGAAGAATAAGAGGTCCATTAGTAGTATTTATCATCCTAAAGTCATCTTTTGTATCATATTCAACTGTTTGTAGGCAGATGAGATAAATATTTGATCATTTATTGGTCCACACTATATTCTATCATGATGCGGCTTGGTTTGAATTTTTCGAAGAAATTTTGCTCGAATTGCTGTAGATGTCGTCTTACATTATACTAGATTTTTCTCAAACTATTGAACTGATTATGACAAAACTTGACAGGAATGCTTGAAATAACCAGTATTACAAAGGAAAAAAGTCACATTCAGTTCATTCAACAAAAAAGTCTTCTTTATGGGAAGCTGTACATGCACCTTTGACCTTGTGAGTACTCTCATGTGTTAAAATTTCTTGCTATTTAAGTGAAATATTACAAATAATGAAATATTCTGAGTGGATTGAGTCTCCAAAATACATTTTATGAGAAAATTTCCTTGAAATAGGACTTTACCATGAATATTAGTTGACAGAACAAGCCATACTTAGAGTCTTGGGGAGCTTTTTCTCCTTATTTCTTATATTCTGCTATACTAGAAAATTTTTCCTAAGAAATACTTTAATAAATATATAGTTTTAAGTAAATGAAATTATTTTTAAAGCAGTAACAACAAATTATTCACCAAAAGAGAAGTTTTTTATGTCCCTCTCTGGAACGCGGCGTAAATTTAAGTTTTACGCAAGGACTTATTGAAACCTCCTTGGAGACAGTAAACTTTTATACGGATAGTTCAAGCAGCTTGAATACTTCAATTAATCATTTATAATAACATTCCTATCATAAATGAGTGAAAGTTACCCCAAAATTTTTATTTATTGGCCTAAAAAGTAGAAATTTTGAGGAAATGAGAGGTATAAATGGACCAAAAGAGACTTTATAAGGAAGAATAAGAGGTCCATTAGTAGTATTTATCATCCTAAAGTCATCTTTTGTATCATATTCAACTGTTTGTAGGCAGATGAGATAAATATTTGATCATTTATTGGTCCACACTATATTCTATCATGATGCGGCTTGGTTTGAATTTTTCGAAGAAATTTTGCTCGAATTGCTGTAGATGTCGTCTTACATTATACTAGATTTTTCTCAAACTATTGAACTGATTATGACAAAACTTGACAGGAATGCTTGAAATAACCAGTATTACAAAGGAAAAAAGTCACATTCAGTTCATTCAACAAAAAAGTCTTCTTTAGGTGTAATACCACCAAATCATAGTACGTCACATCCGGTTGCATACAAAAATAGGTCGAAAAAAAATATTCCCTTGAATTTGACAGTTGTAGGTAATTGATCCTACATTTCATTGCAGTAAAACATTTCTGAGTCATAAACATATATCTTGGGTATTTCAAAGCACCATTATTTCTTTATTTGGGGTTTCTATAGAATATTTTGGAAACTTGAGGTTACATGGTTACTAAATCTTGTACACAGGTTAAAAAAGGGGGAAAATTTGATTGGTTAACTTCCAGTGATGGTTATTTTCTTATATGCAATGAAATGTTATGTGAAATTTTTTCTATAGTACTGGACAGGATAAAACTTTACTCATGCCAAGTATTTCTTTATTTGAAACAAAGATAAATTCTGCACAATTTTTTGAAAAGTGCAAATTTAACAAAGACTAATAGGGGAAAATCAATGGTGGTATTACACCTATATCTTCTATATTTACTAAAATATTATAGATTTTTTATTCTTAAAAAATTATTGATATTTGTATAGAAGTTATTTTAGAAAGCACTTTAAATTGCTGAAAAACGTTTTGAAAACGGTTTTAAAATCATGAAATTTTCCAAAACCAGTGCATAGATTTTTCTAAAAAATTGATATGTTGTTGTTGATACATAAATTTTCGTTTCATTGATATAAAGTAATCATTCATCAACTTCATTTTCATATACTGACCAATCTTTTACCTATTTTTAATGAAAATGGTAGAAAACAAAGCCTTAAGGCTTTACATTGTGACAATGTAAAAGTTATTTCAACATTTCGTGGTATTTTCACTTAGAACTCTACCATGTCTACTTTGACTGATGTCTATCAAATAACCAAGTCTGCAAACCTTTTTTAAATTTACACCATAAAAACTGAAATATATCAGACAACAGCATATCGGTTTAACATGTTTAAAGTAAATCTGCATGTATTTGCAGGTGTCAACAATGGACTTTTTAAAGAAAATTTTAATGATATGCTTTTGGATAGATTTTTCGTATATTCTATACAAATGTTGAACTTTTTAAGGGATTTCCTTTCAATAACATTTTATCAAGTACAAAAGTTAAAATAATTGTTTTAATGATTTTTAGTAAGAGTTCAACATGTTCACAAGGTGATAAAGTTGTATGAACAATTTTACCAAAATCTGAGACATAGCCCATTTACTGTTCCTTGGCCTTTTAAAATAAAAGGAAACGCAGAGAATAATACATGAATGAGACATATTGCATACAATGAAATAAAAAATCCTGTAACGAAAAAAAAAGATGTACATACAGCTAACATTTTTTCTAAAAATAAAACATTTTTACTTGTTTGTAAACATGTTTACTTGTTTTTGTTAATATGTCTTTTGATTGAGTTAAGCCATTTCAATTGATATTTTATAGTGTGTCTTTCTATGTTGTGATGTTACACAAGTATTTCAGGTTAGGGTGAAGGTTGGCGCCTGTTAAAACATTTAAACCCACTGCATTTGTTTGCACCTGTCCTAAGTCAGGAACCTGTTGTTCAGGGTTGTCGTTTGTTGATTTGGTTCATAAGTGTTTCTCGTTTTTTATATAGATTAAACCGTTGGTTTTCCTGTTTAAACGGTTTAACACTAGTTAGTAATTTTGGCCCCTTTATAGCTTGCTGTTCGGTGTGAGCCAAGGCTCCCTGTTGAAGGCCATACTTTGACCTTTAATAGTTTACTTTTTACAAATTGTGACTTGGATGGAGAGTTGTCTCATTGGCACTCATACCACATCTTCTTATATCTATTATCATTTGAACAGTATATATCATTTGATGTCACAGCTCAAGAGCGTTGTTTTTTTTCTCAAAATCATGTGATCAACTAGAAAAATTAGGATGTGATCATTCACACTTCCAGGATGTGGTATTTGTGTATGAATAGCTTATAAAATCTTACCATTGACATTGTAAGCTGAGTTATTGTAAGTATAACCACCACCATAGGGCTGTTGATACTGATTTCCATACCCATAACCCTGAAATATTCAAAATATATCAGGAAATCTAATCCAAATAAAATACACTTTACTTACAAAAAACAGACAAGGCTTCATTCTACTTTTTTTTTCAGTTATATAATTTATAACATCAGCCAATAAAATTCCTGTCTACAATTTTTCGAAAGTGTTAATCATTGCAATCAATACAACAAGAGGATATATATCCCAAAATGTCTATAAATCATAAAGTAAAACTTTCAGCTGTCACATTGATGTAAGCAAACCTTGGAAAATATGTCCGTATTTTAATCATATCATTTTCATAGATTCATTGGAGTAAGTAAATCAAAAGTTAAAGGTGGCTCAATAGTTTAAGTGTATGCCCAATGTGCAGAATGTTACACATAGAGAACCATACAGACAAAATGAGAGTGGGTGTCATAAAAAATTAAAAATTCTATATTGAGTGTTTTGATTGATAAAAAATGTTGAATTATTTGCTTTTTGTTGTTAAATTATAAAATGTTTCATTTATTTTCAAATTTTTCAACAAGCTTATATATGCTCTCAGGCTAATGTTGAGTGTATCAAAGATAAACAATTTGATCCCCTTGCTTTAAAGTTTTAAGCATGAAAAAAATAGGTTTTTCTGACATAAAGTTCTAATACCCTTGAGGGTAACAGTTATTTCAAGTGTTTAACAAACCATACATATTTCCAGTGAGGCTATCATTGTGATGTATAGTTCTCAAAACCATGCAATCAAATAAATTCAAAGAAAATATAATTTTTTAGTAAATTTAATAAATGCACAGTAAGGGTATAGGTTACAATTAACAAATATAGTGTCCTTCATTCTGAACATGAATACTTACACCACCACCTGGAGGGGGATAAGCCATCATCTTGCTAGTTCTAAAAAAAAAATCAATTATTCAAATATTCAATTATTCAATTATTCAATGCTTAATGATAACTTACATGTACAACATGATCAACTAAAATGTTAAATCACACTGAATCATTCCTGACACACAATTAAAACTAATGTTGAACAATTAACAATTACAATTTCAAATGTTATTAAACAATGTGTGTGCAATGGTTAGCCTGGTTAAAGTATCAATGTTTATAAGAATAAGGAGATGTGGTACATGTATGATTGCCAACAAGACCATTATTCACCAAAGTTCATATAAAGTGGATGTAAGCAATTACAGGCAACATACGGCCGTCAACAATGAGAAAAAACCATACTGTATAGTCTGCTATAAAAGGCCCCTGCATATAAATATGAAACAATTCAATTGAGAAAACTAACGGCCTAATTTATAACAAAACAATTTACGAATAACAAATATGACAGACGTCAACCAACAACAACCACTGAACTACAGGCTCCTCACTTGGGACAGACACTTAAAGAATGTGGCCGGGCTAAACATGTTTGTGTGCAATCAACCCTCCCCTAACCTGGGACAGTGGTGTAACAGCACAACATAGGAACAAACTATAATAAACTGCTTCGCTGAGCGCAGCTAGATACGCCCGCAGAGATCCAACCCTGAACAGTTGGGGCAAAAATGGACACAATATTCAAGCTTGAATTTGGATTGTAATTAAATATTTGACATATTATAGGTTTCTGAATAAATGTAGTCAAAGAACTTGAAATTGGTTATATGAATTGAATTTATATTCAATTAAAGATTTCTTGCTGTTGTGCAATACTTAGTAAATCTGTTGTCAGACTATAAACAAATAAAGTTCAATTAATTCTCAATGTCATATTAGAAATTTATGAAAATAAAAAGGGAGCTTACATCAATAGATATAAACAATTCACCAAAGTTTCATGAGAATTGGTGATAGCATTTTTGAGTTATTGTCCGAAAACTGGAAAATTACCCCTTTTTTTAATGAATAAAACCCCATTTATATAACTCATAAATGTAAAATGTAAAATTTATAAAATTCTAAAGGGAGCTTACATCAATACATACAAACAATTCACCAAAGTTTCATAAGAATTGCTGAAAGCAGTTTTGAGTTTTTGTCCGAAAACTGGAAAATCCCCCCTTTTTTTATGAATAAAACCCTGTAACTCGGAAACGTAAAATCTAAAATTTATAAAAATCGAAAGGGAGCTCATGTCAATAGATATAAACAATTCACCACAAATTCTTGCAAGTTGGTGAAAGTATTCTTGACTTATTGTCCGAAAACTGGAAAATCCCCCTTTTTTTAATGAATAAAACCCCATAACTCGGAAACGTAAAATCTAAAATTTATATAAAACGAAAGGGAGCTCACGTCAATAGATATTAACAATTCACCAAAGTTTTATGCAAATTGGTTACAGCATTTTTGAGTTAATGTCCGACATGTTGACGACGGACAGACTGACGGACAGACGGAAGGACGGACGGACAGATGGACAACAGTATACCATAATACGTCCCGTAAACGGGCGTATAAAAATCAGTTGAAAAAGGCTGAACTCATCAGATGGATACAAAGAAAAACATCAACAAAAACACAGACAGGACATGGCAGGGTATATATCCATCCCTCATCCCTAACAACAAAAAAAGACACAAAGCACAGTAACCATTCCATTCAAATATAGGCATGATACATAAACTTGATGTATCATTTCAACACGAGTTCCCACACATGCAGACGTAATTGATTCTTATAATAGTCATAAATTAAAAAATTGTTTAATGTTCATTTATGGAAATTCATATGACAATGTATGAAAGGCGAGGTGTAGCAGAGAGAGACTCATAATATTTAAGTAGGACTGGTTTAGAAAACTGGTGTCTTAAGACATGTAAGATAATAACCAGTAAATTACAAACTAACAGAAAATTTTAATTTACATATGGTGGTAAGAATACATGTTGAAACAGAAAGATATAAAAATATATGTTTAGATAAAAGGTTGTGTTTTAATTGTATTGCAATTGAAAATGAAAAACATGTATTATTGTAATGTCTAATATATACACAGATTTATGTGATGCTTTTTTAATCATGCTAGTTTTTATGCCCCAGCCTTCATTGGAGGGGGCATTAACAGTCAAGGATATAACTCTATAGGGTTATTAGAGAAACATAACATACATTTGTTATTGTGGACTAAAAATCAAAGAACTGTGATAACATATGTATGTTACATGTTTCAAAGGGACAATATACATCATTAGTTTTGTTAAAATGTATACAAGTTCTATTGATATTACTATTGTCTTTATGTATACTTAACTATAGAAAGATATTATACAATTATAGCCTTTGTATGAGGTCGATACGAGGTTATATCGACCTAAGAGAAGCATATTGACTGAGGACGAAGTCCGAGGTCGATATGCTTCTCTGGGTCGATATAACCTCGTATTGACCTCAACCAAAGACTACAATTGTTATATTATTAATCAACAACTATTGCATGAACAATGTAAAATTGGGGATTTCTAGAATCTATTTTTAGTAACATGCTGTATGCCCTGTGCAATATGCTGTTTTTGACCTACAAAAAGCTAAACACAACAGTATTGGCGTGCAAACTGAGCAAATACAAAATGTACATGTGATCAAGTTTTAACGAATCACAAATCCTTAAAAATATTTGATTAATAATATAACAATTCATAGTTTGCCAATCATGCATAGTACACCTATGTTATTACAGAAAAAATATGCCTGCAATAACTGAAGGGTGTTATTACAGCTTCTCTACATCACTCCAAAGCATTTGCTCAGACATACATCATGCTTAATTACAATGTATTTTAATTTATTGTAAGAAATAATGATCAGAGCATGTAATGAGGTTCTGTGCAAGCTTCCCAGTAATTCCCGTGTGTCTCATATAATAAGTTACATGCCTTTAATAACTTAGCCTTGTTATTACAGCTAAGTTTATCCCTTAAAAGCCTTGTCTCATTGAATTACCATGGTTAATGAAAAATGTATTCATTTAATTTGAAAATTAGTTATCAAGGCTATGCATTTAGTTTCTGCGCAAAGTTTCAAGAGTTCCTTAGAGTCCACTAAAAATTTAAATATTTATGATTTATTTTACAAATAACAAACACATGTTACTCAGGCCATAATCTTGCCGGCGAAATGACGATTTAAGTCGCCAAAGAATTTTGAAAATCGCTAAATCTCGCCGGCCGACTGACTTTATAGCGAAGTCAAATGGCTATCAAAATAGGTAAAAGGGAGACAACTTGTGATTGACAAATCTCACAGGTAAAAAAATGGTGCCTGACAAGGAAAAATCGAGATTTTCGAAACGACCCAGGACTAATACTGTCAGCGATCAAATTAAATAAATACAACGGTGACTTTGAACATCCTCGGATATAACATTCAAAACTATTCAAACGGAAAACTGACCGTCTGGTTAAGTTAGGGAGCTTCCATTTGATTTTGATGGGGGGGGGGGGGGGGGGGGGGGGGGGGGGGGCTAGGATGAAATTTGAAAAAAATAGGCAAGACAGGAGTTTTGAGTAAAAAAAAAGGCAGGATGAGATTATTTGCAAAAAAAAAAGGCAGGATGACAATTTATGTAAAAAAAAAGTCAGGATAAGCTAAAAAAAAAAAAAAGGCAGGACCTAATAGAGTGAAAAATAAAAAGGCAGGACCGAATAGAGGGAAAAATAAAAAGGCAGGACCAAATATTTCATCCTAGCACCCCATAAAAATCAAATGGTAGCTCCCTTATCATCGTACGATGATTTTCATCTGAGGATGTTGCATAATCACTCAGCTGATTTGTTTTATTTTTATTACTTACACGAGTCGATCAATTTTACTATTCGGTAGGTAAAGAGTGGGAATTAACGGTAGATTTATTAAATTGAAATATAAAAGGTAAAAAGACAGCTGATGGATAATGTGATTGCAAACGTACGACACTCGACCAGATTGTGATCAGCAGTGGATTTTTTCTCACGACCATTTCGTTGATATGGATGATATTTTTAAAAAATTTGTAAGGGTTCCGCGGAACCCAGTGTCTTGCCTACTTTTTGCTGTTAATCACAGGCTCAGCAAAAATGAGGAAAAAAATTAATAAAAATACTCCTCTCTATACTATCTTTTGATTGTAAGTAGCTTCTGTCCAAGTTTGGTAAAAATCCAGGATAGTTTATGAATCTAATAAATGTTTTAAAAACTTAAACTGCAGACTGTATGTAATGTTAACTGGAAGAAAAACTAAGTCCATTTATAAGTAAAATACGGAAAAAATGGAACAAAATTTCCTTCTAGATACTAGCTTTTAATCATAAACAAGCTTCTGTCTAAGTTTGGTACAAATCCAGGATAGTTTAAGAAAGTTGTTCAAATTTTAAAAACTTTAACCACAGAGTGAATGTAATGTTAACTGGCAGAAAAACTAAGTCCATTTATAAGTAAAATACGGAAAAAATGGATTTTTTTTTTTACAAAATTTACTTCTGGATACTAGCTTTTAATCATAAACAAGCTTCTGTCCAAGTTTGGTACAAATCCAGGATAGTTTAAGAAAGTTGTTAAAATTTTAAAATCTTTAACCACAGAGTGAATGTAATGTTAACTGGCAGAAAAACTAAGTCCATTTATAAGTAAAATACGGAAAAAATGGAATTTTTTTTACAAAATTTACTTCTGGATACTATCTTATGATCATAAACAAGCTTCTTTCCAAGTTTGGTAGAAATCCAGGATAGTTTAAGAAAGTTATTAAAATTTCAAAAACTTTAACCACAGAGTGAATGTAATGTTTCCTGGCAGAAAAACTAAGTCCATTTATAAGTAAAATACGGAAAAAATGGAATTTTTTTTTACAAAATTTACTTTTGAATATTATCTTATGATCATAAACAAGCTTCTGTCCAAGTTTGGTAGAAATCCAGGAT